GAAGGTTGACTCTTTCCAAAGGGTGAGGGTGAGACTTCCAGATGTTTTCCTTGGTGCATGTAGCTCCTTGATGGACTTGACTAGCTTGGACCCTATAAAACTTTTTGGATCTTTATAAACTTGGGCTCTTAATTAAGTTTGAACTTTTCACATGTTTGGGGTTGGTCCATCACACTTTAACTTTTTGTATGCTATTATTATGGTTAGATTGATAGTAGTGTTTATTTGATAAAAAATTTAATTTCAATAATAGATATAATTAATAAATTTAAATTAAATAATATTTAGGAATATTAGTTGGTGGTCACAAAACCCCATTGTCTAAGCTATTTTAAAGCAAAAAAAAATTATTGTCTTCTTACCAATTCTTCTCACCAACTCTTCTATATCAATTAATGTGATATCATCATAATCTTATAAGATTAATGAAATCCAAGAAGTCTTGAACAAAGAGTGGTAACACAAAATTGGGAAAAAATTTTTACACAAGTGTAGCACTGCTCCGGAAAAACACTGTCTAGGAAATGTAACAAGTTTGGTGTCATTTATTACTCAATCTAGGCAAAAAATCAGGTTGACTGAAGAGGATAATCGAGAGAGAGAGAGAGAGAGAGAGTCATATCATGCTTTGTGGAATAATGTGATGCCATGACCACTTAAACTTTTGAGTTTACCAAACTCTTTGGGCAGGATACTCCGTTTTAGATGGGGCCCACCAGAAACTAAACACATGTAACAATTTGGGCCCCACGTTTCTTTGGCATTACTCATATATATATTGTGCATGATACTAAATCTCCAACCGTAATTAGATTTTTGCCTTACAATACTTCCCAACTGCAAATTAGCTCAGCTTCAACATCCATCGTAATATATATATATATATATAAAATATTTATATTACACACAGTTGCACGTATCTCTACATATATTATATATACACGTATAAAGATGTAATATCATAATAAAAAGATAAGAAAAAGAGACCCAAGTGGGCCCCATACCCATTCCCTCCTCACTGAAAAAGAACGTGAAAACCCCCCTTTGCTGCCAAAATTCTTATAAATCAGTTCAATCGTTTTCCCATTTTAAGTCTCCCTTTCTTTCTTGTTCATACTCACTTTTTCCCTCTCTATATATATCTTCTCTTTACCTAAAGGAAGTCTCAGTACACCATCTTCTTCCCCCAGAACTAAGAAATGGCTAGTACTGTGATTAGGCTCACAGTGTTAAGTTTGTGTGCCCGTGCCCTGCTCTTACTCATCATCAGTAACCCTCATCAAGCATTGGGCTCAAGTCGAGGTTCTTTCGGTCTAACCGGCGACATTACTGGACTACCGGCGGATTAGTGTGCGTCTGCGGTGAGCATTCATGGATACATATGCCAGGAGTTTGAAGTAAGATCTCAATCTCAATCTCATATCTCAATAAACCTGACCCTAGAAATCTCAAATCTTGTTGTGGCTAGCTAATTAATTAAGTAAAATTTGGGCAGGTGAGAACCGATGATGGGTATATATTGAGCCTGCAAAGAATTCCGGAAGGTCGCGGTGGTGGTGATGGTGGTGGGAACAAGAAGCAGCCAGTCTTGTTGCAACATGGGGTTCTTGTGGTAAGTTCCTTAATCTCATATATACAAAGTAGTCAGTATATATATATATATTGTGCCATATATTAATGATTGATGTTTAGACACATATCCGTTTCGAGGAGTTGTGGAGTAATATATCACAACAGCCTTCCTCCGGGATAGGACTTAGGAATACACACTAAATAATAAAGCAGATTAAAAAACAGATCAGAAAGCAACCGACTAAAAAAGGGATTTGTCTACAAATTATAAGTTTAAGCGAGACCAGTTGGTATTTAAGTGGGTCCCCCCCCCCCCGTACACGGGAAAGAGAAATTAGAAATATATACAAGAAATACAGAAAGAAATCGGAATAAAGTGTACTGATTATAAGCAGGGGCGACGAAAATAAATTTGAAGCGTAAAACGAAAATATTAAATGCGAGTCTTTTTATTTTTAGTATTATTTTTAAAAAAAATTAATTTATTTTTAATTTTTTATGTAAGAGCAAGACAAAAGAAGGATGAGTTAATATTGTCAATAAAGAGATTTTAACTTTTATTTTTATTTTTTACCACAAAGAGGGAGAGAGAGTGTTTAATTTTAACTTTTATTTTTTATTTTTTTTTACTCTAGAGAGAGAGAGAGAGCATAGGGATGACAGTAGACCGAAACGGGGGCAGGGAGTGTAATCTCTATCCTCGTACCCGCTTAAAAAAAAATTTGTTCATCCCCAGTCTACCCCTGTTAAGGGTATAATTATTATCCTCATCTTTGTCCACAGGTAAATTTGTAATCTCTACTCCTGCCACGTTCCTCGGCCTTCACCTTCACCTCCGCCCCTACCCCCATCCACCTTACTCGTCTAAGTTGGAGACAACATAATTCAAAATTCTAAATAAATCTAACATTCTAAATAATACAACATAATTATAGAATATCATAACATAATTAAAAGTTTGTCATTTAAAACATAATATAGTTAAAACATTGACTACAATATAATCCAACATAATATAATTAAAAGTTTGTCTACCTTGTAAATACAACACAATATCATGCAACACAACATAATGTAACATAATATAATCCAACATAAAAATATATAAAAACTTAAAAATCTACACTTTTATAAGTCAAAATCACGAAAAAAAAAAAAACAAAACAAAACAATTTCTAAAAGAGAAAAATAATTCAATAATAATAAAATAACGGGATAAAGCGGGGCAAAGAGGGGCGGGGCGGGAATAAGTGTCAGTCTATCCCCGCCTTCATCCCCATTCAGACTTATACGAGTATTCCTGTATATGTTCACCGTCTAATACATATGGCCCAAACGGAACAAGTTTGGACGAATATCCATTTTTACCCGATTGCATGTTATCCCTAATACTCCATTTGGTATGATGGAAAAATGGAAGAATGAAAAGTTAAAAGAATAAAAAGTTGAAGAGATAAATAAAACATCATGTGTTGGTAAGGAAAAAAATAAGAAAAATAAAAAAGTTGATGGATTAACTTTCCATCCAACTCACCAAAATAAATCCTTCTAAAATCGAAAGAAAAGTAGATAAAAAGTTAATTATTTGTATTAAGATGTATTTTATTTGTCTATATATTATGTATACATTAATTTCATATAAAAATACAATGATAAAAATGTATTTATATATACTTTTTATTAAAAAAATAAAAATTTTAAATTAAAAAAATATTTGTTTCACCTAAGTTAGGAGTAAAAATTTTCGACTCAACATGATGACATGACTCGAATTCGATATGAATGTTATAACATAAACTTAAAAATGACCTGACACACGCGAACAAGAAATATAAAAACTCATAATTTTATGACTTAACACGAATCTAATACTACACGACACGACTAGATTTTCACCCCTGATATAAAACAAAAAAATAAAAAAAAAATTAATTATTTTTATTTTCTATCCATCCAACTAAACACAAAAGAAAGAAAGTGTATCATTCTTACTTTCCATCTTTGAAAAATAGAAAGTGTATTCCTTCAACTTTCAATCTTTCCTACTTTCCATCATTTCTATCAAACAGAGCATGAGAGAGAGAGAAAGAGAGAGAAAGAGATAGTAAATAAGAGTTGAATTTTGAGTATTTTTTTATTTTTAAAATTTTAAAGTTTTTAATGTTATAGATTGGATTATAGACTTAAATTATTGTAATAAAAAAATTAATTAAATTTAATTTTTTGAGACTTTTTTGTATGATTTAAAATTTAACGAATTTAATTTTATTTGTAGGTTAGTTATGTACTTAAAATTATGAAATCTTCTAAAAATTTAAGGCTTAAAAACTCATTTTTTATTTTCATACTATTGTTTCGGCCCGATTATAAGAAGCTGTTCATTGTTTCCCATATTATTATTCCCTCCGTTCTTAAATATCTGTCATTTTACCCAATTTTTTTTGTTTCATAATATCTGTCGTTTAATGAAATCAAAGCATAATTAATATTTTTTCATTCAAATTTACCCTTTATTTGTCAATGCATTAGATTAGGTGGAGGTTAAGTGTCTTTCATATTCATTTTCTTTTCAATACGTATTGAATAAAGATATTTTAGTCTTGTGTAATTATTTTTTACTCATATTAAAAATATTTAATAGATTCCTTAATCTCTATGCAAAAATTTTAAACGACAGATATTTAGAAACGGAGAGAGTATTAATTAATAAAAGTACAAAAGCACCTTGGACTGTCCTCTAACTACATACATAAACTTTGGAAACAAATCTCTCAAACAACAGGCGTTAAGCACATGAGTAATGTTACATGAACTTAAAAATTAAAGTTGATAATTTTAATCATTGAATAAGTAATGAGTGTCAATAAATATTGACACCCACAATAAAATTAATGGTTGAAATTATCAAATTTAAATTTTAAGTCTATTTTTTAAGTTTACGTGGAATTGTTCTAAGCACATGGTTATCAAGTGTGAAACCGACAGCAAAGGTTGACAAATCGGATAAATTGTTCAGTGTCTGGTCCACTTAGTGGTATGGTCTTGGAAGTTGACTCAATTATTTCAGTCAAAAATTTGGGGTTAGCCTAGTTATTAAATACCCTTTTTACCTCCAGCTCCACCTTGTATATGAATTATTAATGTGAGGTTTGGCTTACCGAAAAGCGCAAACTAATTAAGAAGAAGATAATCATGAACACGAAGGCATGCAAGAACCATCCATCGTCTTCTAAGTCCTAAGGCACGAAGGAAGACTTTTTAACCATTTCTCTATTTTTTTCATGAAACCTTTTCTGTGTCACGACTCACGAGCGATGATGCTCAGAGAGGAAATTGAAATTCAACACCCACCAGATTCCTAGGGGATCCGATATCAGATAACATATGGGGTGGGTCGGTGGTTCTGCCATTACCGAGGTCTTTAAAGTGGTAATAGACTAGTAGCTCTTCTCTGACCGTACGTCTGCAAAACCATGACATAGCTAGGTCCATTTTTCAGGATCTTTGAACGAAGCATGCAGGTTGACACACGTCCACTCCTCCTGTCTTCCCTGATTTATTTGTCTTCTTCATCATTACGTGTGTGAAATGCAATTCGTTCAACTCATCTTGGCCTTAAGGTTGTGTGTACTTGAAGTACGCAATATAAGAGTATAAAAACAAGGAGATTAATTTAAATGAATGCTTGTCAATCTTCAAATGCATATCACAAAAATACTGATGTTCAATTACCATCTAATCTAGAAAAATAATTTAACTTAAATATTTATACATATTTCACAGACATATAATATATGTAAGTGTTATCCTTAAGGCCGACGGTGATATTGTGCGATTGCAGGATGGAGTGACATGGTTGCTGAATTCTCCGAATCAATCTCTGGCGTTGATCTTGGCTGATAATGGGTTTGATGTATGGATTGCTAACACCAGAGGGACCAGATTCAGCAGGCGACATGTCAGCCTTGATCCTGGCAATCCGGTAAACAAAAATAATTCTCTTCTCTTCTCTTCACATTTACCACTTGCTTAATACTCTATACGTTTACTACTGATGAGAATACTGAATACCAAATGTAGAGGGATATGAGTATAATGCTCAACTTTTTAATGTTAGACATACTTATTTTACATGGTCCATTATCAAATCACTCCATGTGAAAAAAAAATCTTTTTTTGGGCAAGTTTTGACTTTGAACAACGAGACATAATTATTTCATGGACCACCCTCAATTTTCTTTTGAACTTTCTTAACAAAAATCATTAAACATGAGTTCCCAGTCCCACCACATCATTAACCAAGTGACATGTTTTCTTCGCTAAATGAGTATCTCCAATACCTACTTTTGTAATGAAGATTATAAGATCATCGATAATCTTAAGCCTAAGTTCATGTATTCTTCTGATCAAAATCATTAATGTGACATAACGGTGACATGCATTTTGAAGTAGATATGTGTGAGGAAGAAAGAAATTAATAATTATGATTTTTGTAGCCATGTATAGTGTGCTTGGACTAAAGAGTTCTGTGACTGTGACCATGGCAAATCCGACAGGACTTCTGGAATTGGACATGGGATGATCTGGTGACCCACGACCTACCAGCTGTTCTTGATTTTGTGTTCAAACAAACTGGGCAGAAGACTCATTATGTAGGCCATTCCTTGGTAAGGACCACATCCTCCCAACTGTCAAAAAAAAAAAAATTATGCAGAACTGCACCTAGTTAATTCATGATACTTTCTTTTCTGCAGTGGGTTGTTCTTTCTTATGATACTTTCCATGAGAAAATAAATAAATAAACGGTAGGCAGAAAGATAAAGGGTGCCAAATAAGGGTAAAATAAAAAAATGTGGATGATTTTTGGCAGGGAACTTTGATAGCTTTGGCTTCCTTCTCAGACGGAAAACAAATTGATAAGGTGACATCAGCGGCTTTGCTAAGCCCCGTTGCTTACCTGAGCCACATGACCACTGCCCTTGGAGTTCTCGCGGCTAGAGCTTTTGTTGGTGAGGTACATACATATCCATAATGCATGTTTTATGATCAGTAGCACTGGAATGATGGAAATGATTGATCACCCTTCAAATGTTTAATACAGAAAAAACAGTTCAAATAGCCTCCAGCTAAGATTAGTTTCTGTTTTTTTTCAACAGATTACTAAGCTGTTGGGTGTGGCAGAATTCAATCCTAAGGGGTAAACTAGTTAGACTATGAACCTCATACATTCACATTTCAAGTATTTACTAAAATTAAATTGAAATTTTAGTTGATTATTTTTTGGCAATAGGGAACCAGTAGCCAAATTTCTCAAGACTCTCTGTGCTGATCCAGGAGTTGACTGCTACGACTTAATGTCTGCACTTACTGGTAATAATCTTTGTTTCTCTGTGTTGTTTTTCTCTCCATTTATATTGATCATACCTATTAACAACTATATTGGTAATTTTCTCATTCAAGGTAAGAACTGCTGTCTCAACTCGTCCACCGTTGACATTTTCTTGAAGAATGAGCCTCAATCTACAGCAACTAAGAACATGGTGCATTTGGCTCAGAGTAAGTTCTGTTCATCATAATTGTTTCCTTGTTTCTGTTTAAATTATGGGTAAATTTTAGATTATCTCCTTCTGATTTGATCCGATGATACAGTACCTTCATATATTTTTAAAACTAACATGTAAGCCTCTGTGATCCTGGATAGAAATTGTGTTAAACTTAATGGCCAAAAGTCAAAACTCCCTACTTTTATAAAATAGCATGTCAAAATGACTTTTATACCTAAACACACGTTATATTTTCTCATTTTTGTCTCTCCAAAATATGTCAATCTATTTCTTTTTGATCATGAAACGTAAATTCTTTCATTTAAATAGGAAAATCCAAATTACAATTGGTCAATAAGGAGGCCTTTAACTCAGATGGGGGGCAGTTGATCCAACTCAGGGGGAGGTAGTTGTTCATGACCGAGGCTGCAACGCAATGAGCAGCCTTGTTACGGGCACTTGGCTTGTGTGAAAGCTGAAGTTATATAACTTAGCATAATGTCTTATATCTTTCATAAAAGAACTAATCTCTCATGGGGGAACATCCTCAGTTGAACTGAGTTTGATGATCTGTTTGATGATCTCCAAGCAGTCGCTTTCTATTATGACATTTCGCAATCCTCGCGAATTTGCTAACAGGCAAGCTTGTCGCACCGCTGCTGCCTCTGAGTACAAGCTGGACACTGCTGAAACACTCTTGGCTGCTCCATCCAGTAGCTGCCCTTCCAGATTCCTTAATATAACACCACAAGCAGCCTTTTGGTTCTTTGTATTGTAAGCTCCATCGCAGCAAAACACAACCCCTACCCTCACAAGATCTGAATTATTTGCGCTAAGCTATACTTTAAGCGGCGCCATGGACTGATTCTTCACATCCAGTAAACTTAACTCATCCCACAAACACTGTGCTCGAATAACAGTTGCATAAGCACTGGGTTCTTCACAGTTGAAAACGTTTTGATTGGGTGCCTTCCAAATTGTCCAGCCCATTGTAACAACCTTTCCCATTCCTTCTAGTGGCCTGTTGGGACCTTGAATGGCTTCAAGAATTGTAGATGATCTTTGGGCTACTCTTTGTACTCTCTTCCCTTTTGATGCATTAAGTAGATCATTTAATTTATATAATTTTTTAAATATGAAGGGAATAATTGTCTTTTATGCTAAATTATTAATTCCGTTAACTGTTGTAGTTTAGTCCCTAATCACATGGAATTATGTGAAGTATAGGGATGTAAATTATTACTTGGTCAAACCATAGGCAGGTGAACTATGATTTGCCTTTATGTTTTTGCGGGTTTCAATTTGAAGGGAAAATATGGTGATAATTACCACCTAATGGTTGGAAAATAAGGCTGTTTTCTAAAGAAACTGATTCCACTGTACATTAGACCTGTTCAGTTGTCAAATAGTCAATTTTTTTTTTCTACGAGAAATGATTAACAAGGAATAGTCTGCAGCTGCTCGTAATGGAATCCTAGCAAAGTATGACTATGGAAACCCCGACTTCAATGTGGAGCACTATGGTGAAGCCAAGCCTCCTGTTTATAACCTCTCTGAGATTCCCCATAACCTTCCCCTCTTCCTTTGCTATGGAGGCCAAGATGCTCTCTCTGATGTAAGAGACGTTGAGAATTTGCTTGACAGTCTCAAGCTACATGATGAAGACAAGCTACATGTTCAATACATCAAGAACTATGCTCATGCTGATTTCATAATGGGGATAAATGCCAAGGACATTGTGTATAACCAAATTGTTGCATTTTTCAAAAACCAGCACTAATTTTAAGGCAATCAATGGCGCCTCGGTCTAATGTGACAGGGCAGCTTTGTACTAGCTAATTTTATAAATGTTAATAAAATCACCCCCAATTTTAGGGCATATTCTTGTTCTTACATTCCAATGATTTGCAATATTAGGCAAGCTGAAATATGGAGTTTACAACTTGTCTGCGCCTCGGGATGAACCACCTCTGACTTACATAATACATCAACCTATGTTGGGCTTGAACAATCCTGTGGATAATGCATAGCTGCATTCTATGTGAATCTTTTCTTCAGTTTGCTATCGAATCTCTCTACTGTCCTGTTTTCCTGTTGGATAACCTCTTGATTCTGAGCTGCCCAAGCCGAGGACAGCTCTTGTGCATTTGCTGTGATCACTTGAGATATAATCCCCAATGGAGTTCAGTTATTAATGGCAGTGAACTCTGTTGATTTCCTTCGTATTTGGATCAGTTTGAACAATACATACATTTTTATGCTTTTGATATCCATGGAAAAGGTCTGTTCTGTTCATGTTGTGTGAAACTGTATTGAGGAATGTTTACATGACTGCATAGAATTGTGTGTGAAATGAGCTTGATAGATCATAGACGTGATGATTAAATCTTAATTTGTTTGACACTAAACCCTCCAGTCTTTGGAAAAGCATTTTCAACCAAATTTTGCTGTGCAGTTTTACGAATTTGAGGCTGAAATGTTACAGTAATATTAAAGGAGCATGCTTTATATAATAAATCTTGAAAACAATAGAAAATGATGAGATGCCGTGCTAAGTGCATGAGGTTCTCACCATTGCGGGGTCTGAGAAGAGTTAGATGTACGTAGCTTTATTCCTGTAAGAAATGAGACTATTTGTGCAACTCAAACTCGTGACCTTTAGGTCATAATAGAACAACTTTATCATTGCGTCAAAACAATAAAAAATTATGCTAAAACGTATTCTATATAATCTTGAAGGCATGGTTTCAAGAAGGGGTTACCCTACTCCCCTACATGTAGCTTACACAGATAGTATCTCCAATAGTTTATGGATCAAGTCAACTTCCAAATGTTCAACCGAGGGCCTAGGATGCATCTTCACATTACTAAAATCAGACCGTTAAGTTTAAGGTAATGATGATCATCCTCCTACTTAAATTTTTTTAAGGTTGTCTTAGTACTACTATATATATATTGCACCTAACAAAATGAGGTCCCAGTCCAGAGAAGCCTCTAGTGACAATTAATGGTGACATTGATGGAAGATACCGTAGCTTCAAAGCCCAGCCTCTCAGCGACGTCAAGACCTACCAGATTTTGCTTTACGGCCAATCCAAATACTAAACATGTAATGCGTTTCACCAATACTGCCCCTAAAACTGTGCCAACACGAGACTTATTTTGGTTCCTGATGATGCCTTTTTCCAGGGGCAAGGTAGTAAAAGTACTAAACCAATTCTTGATGTTCAAGGTAGGATAGGAAACTATACTACCATTGCTGATCATTACTAAGTTTTCAAAACCTTAATTGCCATGGTATATATATACTTGAAGGTTATGGACTTTTTCTGGTGTCTGTGTACATACAGAATAAGGCTAGCCTGGAGGGGAGTGAAGAAGAAGGGCATTGAAAATGGAGGGTGTGTTCAAATTTTACTTGGTATTCGTTTTTGCTACACTACTACTGATGAACAAAGAAGCCATGGCGGCCACACAACACGTAGTTGGTGGAAGCCAAGGTTGGGATCAGTCTACGGACTTCACCACGTGGGCCTCTGGTCAGACATTCAAGCCCGGCGATCAACTTGGTGCGTACATATGCCCTTTTTTTCTTTTTTGAAGTTTCGTTCGTGAAGTTTGGTTTGACATAATATAATTGCGAAATTGTCTCAATTATAAATCTTTTAGATGTGATTATTCACAAATTTCAGATGCACACAATTATTCGTAAGCCATGCTGACCAGTTTACCTCTAATTCTATGTGGCTAAGGAATTTGAACAAAACACATGGAATAAATTAGACTTTGATAAATGAAGCTCATATATAGTTCCATTTGTTTTTGGACAGTGTTCAAGTACACCGCCTTGCACAGCGTTGTTGAGCTTCCTAATGAGAGCGCATACAAGAACTGTAACATGGGCAATGCACTGAATTCCTTGAACGGCGGCAACAATGTGGTTAAAATAGATAAGCCCGGGACACGTTACTTTACTTGCGGAACATTGGGCCACTGTGCCCAAGGAATGAAGGTGAAGATTACAACAGTCTCCGCAGATGCATCATCCTCGACTCCTGGATCATCTTCATCTTCATCGACTACACCTACGCCTACTTCTACTTCAATCTCCATGGCTTCTTCGTTTAGTCATTTCGCGTCGATTTTGATGGTTGCATTGCCAGTCTTCCATGTGATTTTCATCATGTTATAAGTGTATGAACGGTTGGGGTAATTTTACAAGCATAGTTTTGCTTCAATGATTTGTATACAAGTTAATTATAGTGTGCGTCGGCTTTGTGTTTGTATGTGCAAAATATTCGTTATTTGTTATGATGGAGAGAAGAGAGCCAGCGATGTTACAATTTCTCTAGGGCGTGTTCAATGCTGGTAAGGTTGTGTATAATTTGATCACTATATTTTGGTATGTATAATTTTACTCAATAAATGCTGCATTTTGGCTACTTTGGCATCCATTTTTGGTTATAATGGACAATCAAATAGATTCGCACACTAATTGTCCGTTTGGAAAGAGAAATAGAAAATAAAAAGGATAAAAAATTAGAAGTGATAGACTTCCCATTCTAGGAAAGAAAGTTATTTTTTATTTTTATGTATGATAGAAAGGATGAAAAAATAGAAGAGATGAATATTTTATTGTTTTAGTTAGTTTGAAAAAAAAAAAGATATGAAAAAAAACTATTATTTCAAATTCCATAAATACCCTTAATAAAAAATTAACACAATAAAATTGAAGGTGTAGACTCCACCTTTATGGGTTCCCTGATTTTAAATTGCAAAAAGATAGAAAAAGTAAAATGAATTGTCAAAGAAAAAACTGCAAGGTGGGGATCTTACAAAGGAGGGTATAGAAGAAATTTGAATTATTGAACACCTTTCCTAAATGTTTTCCGCCCAGTTTCAGAAGGAAAAAAATTGGTGGGCGGGATGGAACACTTTCGTATCCATTTTTTTTTTTCTCTCCTTTTTTCGTTGCAACCAAATAATGAAAATTCTCATTTTCATCCACTTTGTTTTCCTTCGTACTACACAGGGCTTAAGGAACACATAGGATTATGACATCGAATAACTAAATTTTTAGCATGATACTAAAAAATTATGTTGAGTCGTGGATGCTATTGAATGAAAGAGATAATAGGGAGTAAGGCTGAAATGACTATATGACTTTCAAATTATTTTGGAAACGTATGTTGATTGAACTAATAGATGTTGAGTGAGGGCTTAAAGACCCTATTCACGTAGCGTTCATAGATACATATTTTTCCTCGGGATAGACAAATTTTCCTATAAATATGTCATTGAGCTTCGACTTGCTAGCTTGGTTCCTTAAACCTATTTCTCCCACTTGGTCTGCTCTCTTTGCCTTGAAGTAAGTCTTTCACTTTAGTGCTATCCTTCCTTTTGACTTTGATCTCCTCTTTCCTGCTCCACACATATCAAGTTTTGAGGGCGAAGTCTACTTTCTCATCCAATGGGCAAGTAGGTTCATACGAATTGGGGGCAATGGAATCTCCTTGTGTAGGGAGGGCCAATCGATCCAACTTTTAGACATCAAGATAGGTTTTAAGCATGAGAATCTTTGGGCATTACTGGGGCTAAGTCAAGTTTAAGCCGAGTTAAGTAAAGACTGACTACTTAGAAAAATCCCTCACTATATACTTTATATATATCTATCTTCATTCAATCAAAGACGTTCATACCATAGAGAACCAAGCTCGGCAAAAACAGCATAAATCGTAGGTATAAAGTAAATTGCCCAATGTTTCCAAATTGATTCAACTTCGTACATTTTTGGAATATTTCGTATATCTCCGGGAGGTCGTGTTTCTTTGGGTTGGTAGTAATGAAATGCTTTCATTAACTAAAATGAAGAACATTTCCCACCAAATATGAATTTTCATATAATCTTGGCAATTGATTTTTTTGAGAAGGGTTTATTCCGGCTAATAGGTCTTCTCAATGGTTAACATGGAATAAATTGAATTCGAACATCACAACACAAGAATAAGTGGAATGAAATGAGGTAAATACCACCAATAGCCCTTAAGTTTTGATGGTATGACAAAATATCCAAGGATGAGTTCAGTAACCCATGTCATGTTGCTCAGGTCGGGAGTTTGAATTATCTATCGACTTTGAACTCAGACCTTAAATCCCCGTGTATTTTTCTCAAGAGAGTTTGTGCAAAGGACAACTGCATCCCACCAAGCTCTCCCTCTTTTTGGCGTCCATCACCCAATAGACGTAAATCTCATTGCACAATAAGGGGCAAACGTTACAAGAGAAGAACGAGAATCTCGTCCCAGATCAAGCAAACCCAAGAATACTTATAAATAGGGAGCAAGGTCCTTGAGAAGAGGATATAGTCATTATAGCCTTTCAAAATATTATCTGTAAAACCTTACTCATTGACTAATATATTCAGGAGCAAGAGGTTTCCTTGAAAGTGGATTAGTCGAACTCTTAGACTGGTAAACCACTGTAAATACTGTGTATATTCATCCATAAATCACAAATTCCTATCCCTAAGAGGCTTGGAGCTCTGACTAATCTATTCAGTATCCCTTATATTCATCTCTCTGTCTTGTCGCATTAATAACATCATAAAATTTAAGGCTAATTAAAAGGTGACAGTGACACCCATCAGAAATGTCAAACAATACTAAACATAAACAATATTCTTAAGCTTTCATGAGTTTAGTTAGAAGAAGACAAAAAAATTGAGATACTCATTTAATCACATCTAATTAATATTTTTATTAATGGCTAATCACTTTCTCACAAAAAACAAGGAGATTTGTATTCTTTTTTATTTATAAATTGTGTCAATTTTCATAGATAAAAATACTACTTATGAGACGGCGGTAATTTTTTTTTTTGTAACTTTCTTGCTTTCTAAATTATAAACTAAATTTTATGTAATATTTTTAATTCTTTGTCTAATAAAAAACAACTCTCTTTTATTTCCATTAGTATTCTATGTTTTAATTAAACTGTAACTTTTATTTTCCTTTTTAATTTCACTTTTGATCATTTGTTAGGGACAAAAGAAAAGGACTAAAGAGGAAATGAGCATCAAGGGCATATTCTCTGCTTGAAAAGGCCGCAAAACTGAATATGACGAAACAGTGAAAAGCGCAACAACTTACAAAACTGCTCAGAATTCTGCTTGCTCTGAAAACTCTTCGAAGCACTACTCTACTCGAAGACGTAGTGAGACAAGAGAGAGAAACGATGCCGGACGAGACAACGGCGATAGATTACGTGATGGAGGCAGCGTCGGGGCCTCACTTCTCTGGTCTACACCTCGACGGCCTTCGCTCAGCTTCTTCATCTCCTCGCTCTGCGGTTCCAACTCCTACTTCAACCCTAGCGGACTCCAACGGCCTTAAACAGCCCTTTGTGATCGGTGAATTTCAGTCTCTCTTTCACTCACTTCTTATTATTTGGTTTCTCATTCTAACTCTAATGTTCGCCCTGTTGTGATTCTGAGAAAATGTTCCAACATCACTACTTTTCTTCCGATTTCATCTGCAATTAAAAGGACTACTACTCTGACAATGTAATATTTTTGTGCCTTTTGCTCTGATTGATTAACATTTGATTTCCTCTTTTGCTCTCTATTGCGCAATTGTACAGGGGTTTCGGGTGGTACGGCTTCGGGTAAGACAACTGTGTGTGACATGATCATTCAACAGCTTCATGATCATCGAATTGTGCTTGTCAATCAGGTCTGTTGGAAGTTCATTTTACGGTCAAAATTCTTCAACATTTTCACTTAGATCATTCAATGTGACCGAGGATTATTTGTACCTAGGAAATGGAGTTAAATCTGCCAACATTAAGAGGAATACAACACCAAGATTAGAACAATGGAAAGGTGCTAAGGCCCTAAAAAGGGAAATTAAGAATTATGAAATTTATTACAGAATTTCAAAATAAAGACCCTCCATATAAGAAAAACAAAAAACTCTTTTAAGCGCTGTAATTGTTATTGGATGTTGAAGGCGTTTAAAATGAAAATAGACTAGTGCATTGAATAGGAGAGAGAAATTAGACTAACTGGAGGAATACATTTGGCGTATTATATGATAGACATACTTTTTAAGTTGCAAGGAAGTTTTGTCAAACAACCGTTTCACTAACAATGCATTATGGTGTATAACATTGGGCAATTAAAAAACAACACATGCAAAAATTAATTATTACACAAAAAAGTATGTAAAGATGGATGTATTGTGAAATCATCAATGATAGAATTGGGAATTAGTATATTGGATACGTAGTTCACAGATTGGCATAAAATATGGCCCTCAGTAGAGTATGATGGAGAAATAGGGTTCATAAAACTAACCCCAAATAATTGGGATAAAGGCTTTATTGAATTGAGTAGTATTGCGTTGAATATTGAATTTTGTGGTTGAGATGAAAAGCAAGAGTTGTCTTGACTTCAAGCCGGGTTTATGGTTAGTGTGAAATATTGCCTCTTCTTCCACTACCCCTATATGACCAAGGAGATGGCATTTTAAGCTATCATTTCTCTTACCACTTTTCTTTTATATTTTCCTTCAGAGTAGGGGTCAAACATTGTGTAAAAATCTGCCTTGCACAATCTTTCAACCATGCTCCTTTTCCATTCGTTTTTGCAACATTTGATTATTTATAAATGAACAGCTATTTACCAAATTGCATGATATTTGTGTTGTGGCAATTCTGCAGGATTCATTTTATCGTGGCTTGACTCCTGAAGAATCATTACGGGTCCATGAGTATAATTTTGATCATCCTGGTAATCAAGTACAAAAATCAATCCTGTTGTCTTCATGTGTTCTTTTAGTTGACGTTTCACTTTCAGTTGTAAATTAATCTCCATGTGATGTTGTCAACTCTGCACAATTTATAGTGCAGCCAGATTTCGGCAGTATCTTGTAGAAGAGCATTCCTGTAAATGTTTTGATCATTTTTTGTTTTGTGTGTAGATGCTTTTGACACTGAGCAGCTTCTAGAGTGCATTGAAAACCTCAAACGTGGGCACTCTGTCCATGTTCCAATTTATGATTTTAAAAACCATCGCAGGTGTTCAGAAAGCTTCCGGCAGGTTTGCACTTTGCGACATTTTTGTTTAAAAGCTTTTTACGAGTCTGTTCATATTGAGTTTTTATGTTCATTTAAAGGATTTTTCATCTTTCTTGTAGTCATTTGTCTTTTCTCTCTCATAGCATTGCTTGTTTCACTTTCTTTTTAGTATAAAATGTTAAAAGTTGAGAAGTACATGTTGTATCTTTGGGTGAGAGCTTATGTTAGGACTCCAAGACGTCCTTGTTCTTGCAACTGTGAGCTTCATTGATAAAGTCCGTCGAACCACTTTCTTGTTCATGCAACTGGTAGCTTTTGGGAATGTTCAAACCTTTTAAACTTCAAATTTGGTTTGTGGTTCTATACTCCCCTGTATTAATCAATGAATTGCAACTGTCACACTTTGCATCAAAGATAGCTGTGCATGTGCCAGACGCACATTTAAGACCTTGTTAATGTGCAAGATTTCATTCTTGCTCTCATTTTTTCCTCATTTTTCTTAATCTGCTTTATTCATTATTGATCCTTCCTTATTCATTTGCTATCAAAGCCCCGTCGCTAGCACCTACCACCACAAGCCATCATCACCACCGCTAACAACTACCTTACTTTTGATCTTGACTGCACTGCTTGACCTTGATTGCAGTACACTATTGTCTTGATTGTAATGTTTGCAGTCTCAAGAGCTGAGCAACTCAGCTCCAAAAAGTGAGAGGGTCTAGGTTTTACTGGACCTGCTCGTTGTTTAAACTGCATTTTACTGTATTATTCTTTCAAAATGAGGAGGGGTTCTTTTTGTAGATTTTGTTGTATGATTGTTTACTGGTGGTGGATTTATTCACACAAACATAATGAGGAGGAGGAGGAGAAGAAAAAAAAAGTGCTTTGCTTGTCTTCACCCCTCCCCTACCCCCCAAAAACACAACACACACACACAAACACAAACACAAACACAAACACAAAATTTATCAGCTTTCTGAAATACTAATATGAAAAGCATTGTCAGGTAAATGCATCTGATGTTATTATTCTAGAGGGAATCCTGGTTTTCCATGACCAACGAGTCCGCAGCTTGATGAATATGAAGATTTTCGTAGACACAGGTTGCACTTCTTTCATCTAATAGTTGTCCATTGTCACTATCACTGGGATTAGTTAGTGGTTAATCATTTTTATGTACCTTGTGGGTCATTTTGATTATATAGTGTCCTGTATTGTGTAGATTTACTCTTCGCTTCTACTGCATGTAAATTATACTTGGAAGATGTTGAAGTCCAACACAAAAATTAGAATCATGCGGTCTATCTTAAGGCTTACTGCTCATAGTATATATGCAATGCAACCCTTTGAGGCTGACCTTTTTAATGTAAATTTTATACATCGACCCATAAGTGGTTCAGTTTCCCAAGATCTAGTCTTAACCAGTGTTTTGGCAACTTAAGCTGGTTGATCGGGTGCAGCAAGTAACATGTGTTGGACATGACTTGCTATAAGCATAATGATTATGATGGAACTATTAATCTTGTTTGTATTGGTTATTTTATTCTTTTTCTTTTTTGTTTGCCTTCTGTGACTGGGGGGCACAGGGCCTGCTTTACTTGAGTAGCTCTGTTGAATTTAGATAATTTTCATTGGTTCCCCATACTGCCTATAGTAAAGGTTGTCTTTAGATAAGGTGAAATTATGCTGGCAAGTGCCAACTACTGAAGTTACTGTTAAAATACCCTTTTCCCCATGTTGGTTAGATATCACTTCTGTCGTGTGGTGGGCTTGAATAGAATGGGTGGATTGACCTCATTGCCCTCACCTTATTTTTTGAGTATTTTCTTCTTTGACTATTTGATTCCAACTCCATCTCCCCCAAATTCCAGTTGAATCACCCTACAGCGATGGCCCTCCAAGAAATCCCAAATAAAACCCCCTGTCCAGTATACATCCCCCCACTTTCGACATCCTCCCTCCAAGTCTTTCCTTTCTCCATATATATATGTATATATGAATAGAGACCGGGGATATAAACCCCTCAGTAGAACCCCCATCCACTGTGCTACTTTCAACTATCATTGGCCCTTCATCCTATCTCTCCCTATATAGATGCTTGTGAATATAAATGTCTATGTAATATTTTTTGTGCAAATACCTATGCGTTTGGTGGTGGGCATAGGCTTGGTTTGTTGTTGTTTTTGTTTTAGTTTTAGTGTTGATGGTGGTGGTTTTAGTTTTGGAGGATGTGGGTTTGGTTAGGTGGCTAAGAGAAAGAAGAGAGATTGCGGGTATTTTTTTTTTTTTTTTTTGGGGGGGGAGCCAGGGGGCTGAGAGAAGGCGGAGGGGTGGGGCCAAAAGAGAAGGAAGAGATGGTAGTTTTTTATCCTTTTCCATTTTTGTGTCCTATTATTTATTTTTTGCGGCAAAGTAGATACTTGAAAGAATTTCTGATAAGTAGATACTTAAAAGAATATTTGATAAGTCAGCAGAATCTACACAGTCAACTTACGCAGAGGGGTTGAGTGTAATTTGAACTTAAACCTCAAGGGATTGATTCTAAAATATTATTGAAACTCCAAAATTTGAGAAAAAGAAATCAAATCAAATAATTGAATTGCCATAACCTACTTCATTGTTTGCATCTGAGTTGTTTGTCTCAGTCTCTTTCTATGGTCCATTTCCATACAATCAAAAAACAAAGTAAAATCCCAACTTTGCGTGTTTCTTACATGTTTGCATGGCCATAGAAAGTTATTTTGTGTGCGTTCATTGAATCTTTTGCATGTGTGTATATAGATATATGTATGTATATGTGTATATAAATATGTTATTACTGCTGGATATGACTCAGTTTCTTGCTGACTTCCTTGATTAACCATATCACTACACTGATATCATTTCTTTTGTCACATCAATGAGATACTTTGTTAATTAGCCTTCTGCATAAAGATCCCAACAGTTGTTTACCCTCTTAATTCCTTGTCACACTTAACTTTTTTGCGGTAATTTATTGATTCTAGATGCTGATGTGCGGCTTGCTCGTCGAATAAGGCGTGACACAGTTGAAAGGGGTAGGGACATAAACTCAGTTCTTGAACAGGCAAGCTCTTTACTTTGTTAATCTCTACCTCGTTGGTGTAAACACTGGAATCAGGGGTATCCAGCTGTACTGATATTCTCCATTATTATTATTATTCACAGCTAGGGGATCATAGCAATATATATGGGAAATCCTTTGTATACCTATACGCTAAATAGAAATGGATTTCTTAAGAAATATTGGTGATTAGGGATATACTTTCGTAAACTTGATGCGCACGAAAGGGTATCAGTGCTTTTGTCTCTGTGTGTGTGCGCGCACACACGTTTGTGGTACATAGATGTCAGTAAGATACAGGGGTTTACCTCTTATTTGCAGTTGGTCGGCACCCGCTTTAGCATCCCAATGTTTTCATCTAGCTCATTTTTTGTTATATTGTTCGACGTAAAGTAATTGTTAATCTCATTAAGGAGGTCATTTGTTTTGTAAGGACTAAAGACATATTTTCTTTAAGGGTTCATTTGCTTAGGAAGAAAAGAATATAAGGACTAAAGACATATTTTCTTTAAGGGTCCGTTTGGTTAGGAAAAAAAGAATGAGGGAAAGTGAAAATGATAGAAAGTGAAGTAAAAGAAAAGAAAATGAAGGAAAATATATTTTCATGTGTGTATTTAGTTAACATGAAAAAATTGTTAAAAAGTTTTAAAAAAAATTCAGTCTATTATTATTTGAAAGAAAGGAAAGTTACAAGATTTTTTTTTTATTGTCTAAATTACCCTTAAGTATATTAAATCAATCTAAATAAGTAAAAAATATTTATTATAATTAAAAATTTTAAAATTTTAAAAAAGTGGCTCCTAACCTAATTCTAGGACAAACACCAATACCAAGTTCTCAAAACTAAATTATACGGTTAATCAAATTCATACTAAGATTTTTTTAAATTAATAACTAATAAAATATTTTAAGAAAAATAAGAGTAACATTAGAAGTTAAATAAAGATTACAACTTTCTTGCATTTTCTTGTATTTTTTACAAGAAAAAAAAGTTAGTTAATTGTGAGAAAATCTAAGTATGGAAGAAAATTATTTTTTCTATCATTTTCTATTTCATGTTAACCAAACACATGAAAATTTTTAAAATTTTCTCTTTCTTGTATTTTCTATTATTATCCTGCTAAACAAACGAACCCTAAGAGTTTTATGTGGGAAAACACTTCTACCGCTTTAACTAAGAGTTTTATGTGGGAAAACACTTCTACCGCTTTAAAATGTGATTTTTTTTTTAAAGGTAATGTGGAAATGGTGGTCAATTTTTGCCACATGAGCTATGAATCATGACCATGTCATTAGGGTATGCTTTGAAGGTTGTAGTTTGGTAGGTGCCAGTGGTATGTGCTAGCTATTTTTGGTGGTCCGAAGTCCTTTGTGCATTAGGAGTCCTCGGTCCCGCTAGCATCCATGATACCACGAGTGCTACCCCGCTCAACACAAAAAATAAAAAAACTCTCTTGAAATGCCACTAGTTAGCTATTTGCATCTAAGTAGAGAATGCGATAGATAGTGAAAGCCACGTGCCCTCATGATGAGAGGCAATGGAATGGGGGCATATCTCCAACTTGTTGGCTTTCCCTCTCATGTGTTTGGGCCATATATTTGACCAAGTTTATAAATACCCTCTTTTGTTCACTATTTGCAGATGACTATTCAGGGTTCATGCATAATTCACTCTCAGGATATGGGTATTTCTTTCTCTCTCGTCCTACCAATCACACTCCTTGGTGTCTCCTGTAAGATGTATAGAAACTCCATATGGAAGGGTGTCTGGCCAGATCGAGAAGAACCTTCAAATGATGGAATTCGTGCCAGAAGCCCCATAGATAGGCACAATAGAAGTTAAAAAAGGCTTTGGCTTTAGTCCGTATGTCCCGTACGCTTTCAAACCCTCACACTTGGGTCTAACCTGTATACTAACCTTCAATAGATAATTGCATTCTCTAATAAATGTTTAGAAGGCCTGATTTGGCGCTCCATGGAGTGTTTTCGTTATAAAGTGTATTCATGTAAACCATTGATGTGGCTTTCATATTCTGTTTTGACACATGCAGCCATGTCAGAGTTTGTCTAGGTGAGGCAAACCTAGAGTGCATTGCTGTCTGAAAACAACAAATCAGAGAGATTTACTGTCAAGAAGTTTACTGACAGTTACTTTGATTGTAAGACAGATTGCACTGCTGCTTGCTACTAGATACTCTTGGAGTGTTGACATTGACGAGTTGTACTACTAGGAAAGATGAGATGCCAAGGTAAATGTAGTGGGTGCTTTTCTGAAATTATTAGGATGTGTCTGCGGGTTAGGATTTCCATTAACAGCAACATTTAAACAAGTTTCTTCATAAAGAGGGAAGACTTTGGCAGGACTTCATTATTTTCTTCACCTAATTGGCAGAAATTTGATGATCTGTTCCATTTAGAACACTAGGCGGAAGGGTTAGAGGATGATAATTATTGTGTTAGTTATTGTATTTTACCATGATACTATTTAATCAGCGTGTTACATGGTGTTGTATGCAGCCTGATGCAAATGATTGACTGACAAGTTTGCATGAGCAGGAGCTGTACTGCTGGAACATACTGCATTGATCTTTGACTTATGCTGCAGCTATATGCCTGTTCTGTTGAACCCCATCTATATTTGTACTCATGCGGGGATAATACGACAAAAAGAACTTTACATTTAGTCTAAGGATTGGAACTGATACTTGATACGAATCTTCAGTAAGATTATTAGAGCTCCCTACATTAAGAGATTGATAGGGATGATAAAACCTCTTTGTACTATGACCACTTTGGTGCTATGATCGTGTATTATTAACTGGATATGGACTAGGAGTCTAGGAGTAGCATGTAACCCCAAGTGCTCTTATACTTTGCAATAGTATTGCCATTGATAGTTCTATGAACTTCCTCATTAAGGTCTGATTGTTTAAATTTATTGGGTTACAATTTCTGACCATCAGTACATTGCTACTCTACAGTATGCAAAGTTTGTCAAGCCTGCTTTTGATGATTTTGTTCTTCCATCAAAGAAGTATGCTGATGTTATCATCCCCCGGGGAGGTGATAATCATGTGGCCATTGATCTGATTGTCCAACATATTCATACAAAGCTCGGTCAGCATGACCTTTGCAAAATATATCCGAATGTGTATGTTATTCAGTCGACATTCCAGGTTTGTCTTTGGTTACATATTTGTTTTCTGTTTACTTGCCATTACTAATGTTGGGCTGTAAGCAAGCATATCAAAAATATATATATATATATATATATTCATTGTGGTGATTTTGCGTCTCTTTGATGGGTATTGCCTCTCAGCAGTGAGTTACATTTTACACAAACCATTATTAATAAATAACCACAACCATCACTACGTACTGTGAGGGTGTAGCAGTATATCGTATAGTGAAGATGGTCTTCTTTTACAGGATTCTGGTTTCCAATTTTTTTTTTGTCACTGACAAATAAGGGCTTGTGTTTGTACGATCAGAGTTCATTTGAAGATGGTCATTCTGATTATGACATAAAGAGAGAGGAACTTGTTTCCTTTGATTTCTTTTTATTCTCTATGCTCTAAAATCCAAATTGAGAAACGTATGACCTTATTAAGTTGTAATTGTTATTTTTGAATTTATGCTCATATTGGAAAGCCATGTTACAGATTAGAGGTATGCATACGCTAATTCGAGACCGAGATATATCGAAGCATGATTTTGTTTTCTATTCAGATCGGCTTATTCGTCTGGTACTTCAACTGCTTGGCGAATCCAAACTTTGTAAATTATTGAATGATTAATGACCTTATCCTTTAACCAATGTTTATGTTCGTGTTCTTATAATATTTTAGGTTGTGGAACATGGCCTTGGCCATTTGCCTTTCACTGAGAAGCAAGTGGTCACTCCAACAGGTGTGTTAAGTGGGAACTAAGGAATGCCTGAGCTCGTTTCTACTGCTTCTGTCATGCTCTTCGTTTTTCTTCTCCTTCCTCTCTCAGTCTGTGTGTGTGGGTGTGTGTTATTTTGTCTCATTTAAAACTAGCTTACGGTGCCATTAGTCTTTCTAAGGGATAATTTTGTGATACAATCACTAATCTGATGGCCTAAGTTAATATAAATATGCTTCAACACATAGCAAATCAGAATTATTGCCTGCCCCTGCCCCTGCTCCAATAGAAGCAAAAAAAAAATTGAGAGAGAGTTGATCTTGTCTTTCCCCCCCTGACAAATTTGGAGGATTCTATTGCAGGATCAATCTATACAGGGGTTGACTTTTGCAAGAAATTGTGTGGAGTTTCCATTGTTCGAAGGTGAGGGCTGTTCTGATTTTCTGGAATTTATTATAAGTGGTGAGTCTTGAACATTTTATGTGAATAGTACTCGTTAAGATATTAATGTGCATGTCTATAGGGTGAGAAAGTAGTGAAAGGAATAGATGATGTGGCTGGGTCTTCCAAGGAGGTGTTATGTTGATCTAAATCCCCCTCCCCTTGACAAAAAAAGCCCCAAATTACTCTACCCTGCAGGTTGTCCTAGCTTTCTAAAAGTGACACTCTGTGTGATGATGAAATGGAAGTTGTGTGGTGGCTGTTTCTGGTTTAAGCTGCAAAGATATGGTGGAAATAAGATGCTTATTTGCATTTATCTTTTTTTATGTTGGTGATGATAATCCTAACTGTAGTTCGCTTTAGCATGGTTGTGCGACTCCATTTACTCATAATTTCTTGTCAACTTGTGTGTATTATTTTGCAGTGGGGAAAGTATGGAGAATGCTTTGCGTGCTTGTTGCAAAGGGATAAAAATTGGAAAAATACTCATCCACCGGGATGGTGACAATGGGAAACAGGTTACTTTTTCTTGTTTTAGTTTCAATAATACTAATTACTAGTATGAGGGTGGACTTTGGCACAGCAGCAAGGTTGCTTCATTGTGACCGATTCAAGTCGCGGAAATAGCCGCATGTAGGGTAAGGCTGATCCTTCTCAGACCCTGCTGTGGTGGAAGTCTCTTGCACTGGACCTCCCTTTCTACTAATTACTAGGATCTCTGCTTGCTTTATATTGGGATGTTCACATAATTAATTCTTGACAGTAGTTTGTCTCATCTAACATTGGGCAGCTTATATATGAAAAACTCCCCAAAGATATATCAGAAAGACATGTCCTGCTTCTGGATCCAGTTCTTGCTACAGGTACTGTGTGGTTCCTTATCCGGAATCAGTTTCGATCATTTTCTTATTGTTGTTAGAGTAGGTCATGATTTCCATACTTTTTCTACCTCTTTCCTTTTTTTTTTCCTTTGTATTGGAGGTTTGGAGAGTGGAAGAAATGCTTGGGGAAGAGTATTTGTTTAGTTACTTTGGGTCTATTGGGAAAAGAAGAGAAAAGAAAAAAGGGGGGGGGGGGGGGGGGGGTTGGACTTTCAAAACAAATTCTCAAGGAGAATATGTCAAGGAGAGCAATTTCTGTTGGAGAATTTTAGAAATGGGAAACCAAACTATTCCTTTTTCTACTTCCTTTCCATTTCTTTTCTGAATATACTGCACTCATTCCAATAGTTCAAATTTAACTTAACCTTACTGGCTTCCTTGAAGGTAATTCCGCTAACCAGGCAATTGAACTGCTTATACAGAAGGGAGTTCCAGAATACCACATTTTTTTCCTAAACCTCATTTCTGTGAGTTATTCCACTATGCTGGTTGCAAGTACACACCTTTCCAGTTTAAGAATTGTATTAATGCCATTATATATAAGTGACTGCTTCTGTTGATTGTTATGTTTAGGCCCCAGAGGGAATCCATTGTGTTTGTAAACGGTTCCCATCCTTAAAAATTGTCACATCCGAGATAGATGTAGCATTGAATGAAGAGTTCCGTGTCATACCAGGCATGGGAGAGTTTGGTGATCGTTACTTTGGCACTGATGATTGAAATATATTAAAGTTCATAATCCAATTCCTTGTTGGGCAACAGTGATTTGAACTAGACCATATACTGAGGACGAAAATAGGTCAGCTAATTGTGTGTATGATAGAATATTATCCTTACTACGTATCCTTTTTTTTAGCTGTTTTTTACTACATTTCTAGCGAGTGTGAATAAGAAGGTTCAAATCGCTGGTATTTGCAGGTTGTTTCTCGATATTTGTAAGACTTGCATTATGCTCTGCTTCTCTTTATAAGTAACATTACAGTAGCAAATAATAGCATGTTGCTTTGGTACACCAAAATTTCCAAGCCATGTGGTACGAGTCTCTGACTGAACCTTCACTATACAAAGACACATGTTCTTGTCGAGGAAAGAACCTATTATAGCTCGTCAGCCAAAGAAAGAGAGAATTAAAAATAAGGGCGCGCATTGCATGTACTGCATTGGAGAGAGAGAGAGAGACTATAAGTGTATTATTACAAGTCACTTTAACCACTGGACTTGGGGTTCCTTTTGTGCGTCAGCGTTATGCATTGATGAGGTTTTTTAAGGTTATTGAGTCAAATACAATTTAAAAGTTGTATATATCTAATTTTTTTTAATTCAATAATAACAAGTTTTTAAAATTGAATTGCCCTTTTTAGCTGCATGAAAGCTTCACTCTTGATCTGAATATTTTACAGAAAAATAAAGTTTGATTAATTGATATTATATGATCTGAAAATATAAAAATATTTTAAGACTTGAGCCTTTGAAACTTGAAGTCATCATCATCTACATTGCGGCTAGTTTGGGCAAGTCAACGGATGGAGCATAGCATAGGTCTTTCACGATTAAATGCGGAGTTTTTTTGACCTGGAAGTAGTGGTCAATGGTCATATCATCGTGACGCAAAGAACCACAAAGAGTTTTTGCCTCAAGAGCTTTGGACCAAAGAACCCTGTCATTCAAGATCCTCAAATAACGACCAATGAACGTGAGAAGAAGGGAAAAATATTAAATATAACGGTTATTATATCATATAGTATTATTCAATAAAAAAAATTAACAAATGAATAATAAGATACTCCCTTTTATATGGAGTAATTACTAACTTGCATGGATGGATTAGTTATTAAATTTTATAAAATTTACTTGTCAATTTGTAAGTTTATTACTATTACACAACGTAACAATATTGGTACCATCATTACTACAATGTCATCCTTCTAGTGAGGGAGGTGGGTCTGGAGGGTGGTGTGTGTGGTGTGGGGTTTGAGGCTTGGGAAAAGAGATCCGTGGTTGGGGTGGCCTGCCGGATGGTGAAGGATTGAAATAAATATAAGCCTCATGGTTGAGTTGTATAATTGCTCAAAAAGAGTTGAAGTTGTTATCATCTTTGAATGAAGCGAAGTCCAAAAAATAAAATGACAATGTCCGAAATCTATTGCGAGCATTGATATTCATGCTTTAGCGTGTGAAGAAGGCTACACCATTTCCATCTCCAGTTAGCTGGACAGAGAAAAATAGCCAGATTTTGGAATAGATATCCAGTCTCCCCGTCTCATCTTCAAAGTTTTGAAAATTCTCTTTGAACCTCACGTAATTACTTTTCCTATTTACACTAGACCTCTTGAGGGCCCACCTTCACAAGTAAGTATTGGATGCAACGGTTACATTATGTCAGCATACTGACTTTGTGTAATCGTTCAATGATAAGATAACAAATGGACAACTAGATCCCACATAGGGTAATTATTGCATGACATGGTAGTTATTTAACTATGTAAAATTCACTTATAGATTTATTATCTTATCATTGAACTGTTACACCATGTCAGCGTAATGACGTGGTGTAACTATTACACCCAATATTTATTCCATCTTCGCATGCTTCCAGTCCAACTTGTAGGTTACGGTTCAGTACTTGACCGGATCCTGTGCATGACCTCCGCTTACAAAAGCTTGTATGATATGGACATCAGATCATGCCCTTTAAGCAGGCAAAGAGCTTGATATATACACGTCCCCATTTAAGTTGTACTGGACATAACACTCACCTAGGCATGGCTATGAACTTTATCTCCATTCAACTTCTCTTTCTCATTCTCTTTTCCGGCTTTTTGTCCCTTGAGACCTTTAAACTTAGCTCCTGCAATGGCGATCTCAAAGTGGGTTGCAAAGAGGCCGAGAAGAAAGCGCTCCTCAAGTTCAAAGAAAGTCTAACAGATCCCTCAGGGCGACTCGCTTCTTGGGTTGGACCCTATTGTTGTAGATGGAGCGGAGTAAACTGCAGCAACAAAAGTGGACACGTCATCAAGCTTAAACTCCGCAACTCATTTCCTGATAGCTATGAGACCAATAAAACAGTACACGCGCTAGGCGGTGAGATCAATCCTTCTTTACTTAGTTTGAAATATTTGAACCACTTAGACCTCAGCATGAACAATTTTGGAGGAATCCGAATTCCAGAGTTCCTTGGATCCCTCACAAAACTGAGATATCTCAACCTTTCAAGTGCATCCTTTGGTGGCGAAATCCCTCCAAATCTTGGAAATCTTTCGAGTTTGCGCTATCTTGATCTCAACTTTCCTTTTGATGGATTGAAGGTGAATAACCTGCACTGGCTGTCAAGTCTGTCTTCATTGAAGAACCTTAATTTGGCAGGCGTAGACCTTAGTAAGGCTGCATCTCACTGGCTTCAAACCGTAAATATGCTTCCTTCTCTTTTGGAATTGCATTTGCCCCAGTGCAGGCTTACCAACTTTCCACTCTCGCTTAGATTTGTTAATTTCACATCCCTTTTGGCCCTTGACCTCTCCCACAACGGTTTCAACTCCACAATACCTCACTGGTTGTTCAACCTTAGCAGTGTTGCATATCTTGATATGAGCTCCAACAATCTCCATGGTGGTCTTCCGGATGCCTTTGCAGGGTTGACTTTCCTTCAAAACCTTGATCTGTCTGAGAACTATGGCATTGAAGGCCAGTTGAAAAGAAGTTTGGGGGATCTCTGCAATCTGCAGACTTTGAAGCTTTCCTATAACAACATCAACGGGGAAATAATGGAATTTGTCAATGGCTTGTCTGAATGCACAAACAGCAAGTTAGACACACTGGATTTGGGATACAACAAATTGACTGGCAATCTCCCCAATTCAGTGGACCACCTTAAGAGCTTGCAAAATCTTCGACTCCGACACAACTTGTTCAGAGGTTCGATTCCGGAAACGATAGGGAATTTATCGTCTTTGAAGGAACTGTACGTCTCGGACAATCAAATGGGTGGAAACATCCCTAAAAGCCTGGGGCAGCTCTCTTTGTTAGTTGCATTGGACATCTCCGAGAATTCATGGGAAGGTGTCATGAAAGAAGCTCATCTGGTAAATCTCTCGAGCTTAAATGACATATCAATCAGTAAAACATCTCAAAATATTTCCTTGGTTTTTGAAATCAGTTCTGATTGGATTCCTCCTTTTAAACTCAAATATATCAACATTCAATCATGCAAATTGGGCCCCAGATTTCCTTCATGGCTTAGGAATCAAAATGAGCTAACCACTGTGGTCCTCAACAATGCAAGAATTTCAGACACCATACCAGATTGGTTTCTGAAGCTGGGTTTGCACCTCGATGAACTAGACCTTGGATACAATCAACTAAGGGGCATGGCGCCGAGCTCATTGCAATTCAGCTACTCATCCAGCATTGATCTAAGCTTGAACAGGTTTGAGGGCCCTCTCCCTCTCTGGTCATCTAATGTGAGTACAATATATTTGATGGATAACTTGTTTTCTGGACCAATTCCTACGAACATTGGTCAATTAATGCCCCATTTGACGGATATAGATATCTCTAGGAACTCCATAAATGGAAGCATTCCCTTGTCCATTGGTGATTTGACTGATTTGACAACCCTAGTCATCTCGAGTAACCATCTTTCTGGAGAAATTCCTCACTTTTGGAACAATATGCCAAACTTGTACATTCTTGACATGTCCAACAACACTCTCTCTGGTACGATACCGAGCTCAATTGCTTCTCTAAGCTTCCTCAAATACTTGATACTCTCTAGAAACAATCTTTCAGGAGAGCTCCCTTCTGCCTTGCAAAACTGCACTTATATGTACAGCCTTGATCTTGGTGACAATCAGCTATCTGGAAGCCTTCCAGCTTGGATAGGAGAAAGCATGACATCGTTACTGATTCTCAGTATGAGGAACAATTCCTTTACTGGAAATATTCCTTCACACATATGTCGCCTATCTGCCCTTCACATATTGGACCTGTCACAAAATAATCTGTCAGGATTAGTTCCACCCTGTATAGGGAACCTGAGTGGCTTGAAACTTGAGCTTACATCTGAAACTGTAAGGTACCAGGGGCACTTACAGGTGGCTGCGAAAGGAAGAATACTTCAATATGATTCTATGCTTTACCTCGTCAATAGTCTAGACCTTTCGAGTAATAATTTATCTGGAGAATTGCCTAGAGAAATAACAAGCCTTGCTAAATTGGGCACCTTGAACTTATCCATGAATCAAATGACAGGAAATATACCTTTGGATATTGGAAGGTTGGAATGGTTAGAAACTCTTGACCTTTCAAGGAATCAACTTTCAGGCCCTATTCCCCCAAGCATGGCTTCTTTGACGTTTTTGAGTCACTTGAACCTGTCATATAACAACTTGTCAGGTAAAATCCCAACAGGCAACCAGTTCCAAACCCTCAATGATCCATCAATTTATGAGGGTAATCTTGGACTTTGTGGGCTTCCCCTACTAACAAAGTGTTTTAGCAAGCCAACTCAATATCCTGGGGGGAATGAAGGAGAAACAGATGATGCACTTGAAAAGCTGTGGTTCTCCATTTGCATAGGACTGGGATTCTTTGTGGGATTTTGGGGAATTTGTGGCAGTTTGATAGTCAAGAAACAATGGAGACATGCCTATTTCCATTCTCTTGAGGGATTGAAAGACAGGCTCGTTGTACTTGTCTCCCAAAAGTTAGCCTTGGGACCTTGAAAATGAGCTCATAGGTAGAGGGGTGAAAAAACAAACATATTTCACAAGGGATGTGCCTCACATGCAGATTTTATATCGTCTCAGAATCAATAAATCAGTATGGCATACGGTGTATAGAATTATTTCTAGAAATCTTGATTAATGTATGAGACTTTCTTATATGTTACTATAAGGCTTCATGTTGCTCGCAAGACAAAGTGGTCACATTTTCAGATATAGTACTTTCGGGAAGACCAGCTTATAACAAAAGACAAGGAATTCACCTCCCCCGATGTTTGTCCAAATAATAACTAGACCAGCATTATATGTCACAAGATATATACATTTCTTTTGTTTTTAAAAAAATATCAATATTGTTGTTATAGGACCTACAAGTGTTTGGCCAAACCTCAAGTGGTGGACGTGGTAACTAACCATACACATACAACTTACACTTGTTACCAAAAACACAATTATCCATAATATGGATAATTTAAACTTATTACCAATCAAAACTTTCGCATCCATCAATTACACTGCCTTCCTCCCCCCCCTTTCCTCTCCCAACTACAACTGTGCCATCTTCCACACCAAAGACCCAGACCGCTCCTACACCCAACGCCTATATATAAATATATATACCCCAAAACACACACCCAAGGCCAACACCTACTGATTGAATTAGATTTTTCAGTTTTAAAGTATTAGTAACATCTCTCATTAGCACTATTATCAATTTAAAGTTTCTAATAAAAACAATGAATCGGTGTTACAGACAGGAGAACTCAGCATTACTGTCAACACCTAAGGGGGTCTAGTAGTTATGTAGATACCCTCAAAGGAAGTGAATATAATTAATCATTCATTAAAATATAAAAGATTCCCATTTGTTCCATATTAGAGTAAGAGTCTCGAGCCTTGGAACTGTAGCAGTCTTTGGTGACCTCCTCCTCTCTTTATAAGCTTAGCATCACAATTAGGGAAGGGACCTTAGATCCAAAGCTATAGGGTAACAATGAACGCAATGATGAATTACTTCATTCATAAAAAACACAAAGGGGATAATGTACTACGCAAGTTAAGAAACATGAGTCTTCTGGGAACTTACATGGACTAAAAGCCTCTCACAAGAAAAAGAGCCCAATCCAAGAAAGAAAAGGGATAGGCAACTTCAGTCAGTAGGTAAGGCCACCTTCAGGAAGGCACCTTATACCTTCTTCCTCTTCTTCCTTTTTGGTGTTCCAGGCTTCCTGCCGTTCTTGTGTTGAACCTCTTAATTGGGGGCAACTGATTATAAAACATACAGATGATCAATAGACCACCCATTGATAAAAGAAATATAACAAGTAATTTTTCCTAAAGTTGCTATTGGGAAGTTGTTTACAAATGGAAATTAATTTTACTGCAAAGGGGCTAGAAAACCACATATACAAGCGCACAAAAACAAAATACCGAGTGTTTAACAGGAATAGCATATTTTTTAATGACAAGGAACCTCTCCAAAACAGGACCCTCCCTTCCATAATAAACTTCAAATACTTGCAATTAACCACTAACCACAAGCATCGGATAAACCTAGAGTCACTTGTGAAAGTACAACCCTCCAAGCTAATGCAGCACCACTAGACTACCAATGCAGGTTAGGCATGTCATATTACCTGGGAAAGGAAAAGGTTATTGCGAAAATCATGCACAACGTAGAAAACCCACCTTTCTAATTGACCACAACACCAAAGAGATATAATGTGGAGAGACCTCTATTACAAGGCTTCCTAACCGAAAAGTAGAGTTAAACAAGACCTTACTAAAATATTAGAGAGAGGAGAACAAAGAAAAAAGTAAGTGCTTTTTCGGATGTCCCCTACACTGAATTGCCTCATATTGCTTTACAGGTATTGATTTATTATTTGCCATATCACCAGACGCAGCCATTTTCCAAGTAGAAGTGAATTTCATGAGCCAAAATGTAAACAGCGGTGAAAATCTAAACAAGCATTCAACAAATCTAATTAACAAATTGGATGCCAAAACGTATTATGATTGTTGTGACTTAACAATGCCTTCAAATTCTACAAGAGGTTTTGGATGATGTGAACTGCCATCTTCATAACCATTAATTGCACTCGAACGTAAATTAAAGGCTACGGGAATCAATTCAAACGAGATAAAGTAGAAAAGAAGAAATAGAGATAGTGAGTAGAGAGAAATGACCTCCGACGACTGTCGCTTCATCTCGTCGTGCTTGGTTTCACAGAGCCTTCTTCGCTTGCACCCTTGGATTTGAAGTTGCGCAAAGTAAGAAGGGGTTGGTGATGGACGAGGAAGGATGTGGATTGAATTTTCTGTGTTTGGTTTGGTTTCTCATTCTCTCTCCTCCTTCGGATAGATTAGACAGGGGATTGAATTTCAACCGAACTGGGACTGAGCTGAATTGTCGGGCCTGGACCTTGTGCATCGGGTCTAATTCATGGGCTCGGCTAGTTTGCAAGGGCCTACAGTCCCTGGGCCTTGGATCATTATTTGCAGTTGTGAAACCACGCCAAGGCTTCAGTTACCTACCCAGTCCACAAAAAAAAAGGAAAAATTGAAATGAGGTATATCAAATTAGATTTAATTGTAAAAAAATATATAGAAAAAAATGTTGCGTAATTAAGTCCTTAATTTTGACATTTATTTGTATCTAAGTGCATTATTTGAATTTTACTGATTTTTTTGTGACATTTTTGCCCTCTTTTAATTCATGTGTATTTAATACATCACTTTTCTTTGGAAAGTGATATATTAAACATCTTATAGTTTTATGGGAGAAATTTAATATATATATATATACGTATATATATACTTGTTTGAATTTCAAAATTTGTATATAAAAATATATATGTATATAAATTATATTTTAATGCACATTGATTCATGCATTATATATATATATATATACTAGTCATAACCCGTGCCTGAAGGCACGATAAAATATAAAATTCGAGCATCCAAAAAATCGATCCCACTATATTAAATTTTTTCAAAATATATTCACTACAAATTAATTAAATATTAAATAATTAAATATATGATAAAAATGAGTGGTGTGATATTTTTAGAGAGAAAATATATAAATGATTAAATATGTGATAGAAATGAGTTATGTGATTTGACATTTGAGTCTGACAAAGGGATGATGGGTGATATAAGTGATTGGTGATAATTTTAAGGGAGAAAATATGACTGAGATAAAATTCAAACACACTCCTGTTTTATTATATATATATATACACACACACACAAAAACTTATGTATGTATGTATATACTTATTGTTAAATCTCTTATCTAAATTTTGAATTATCTTTTAATGCACCTTAATTCATGCATTTTTTTTTTTTAGAAAGTGATTTTATTTTCAAATTAATTTAATATACGAATAGTATAATAGTGTAACAATAACAGTGTAACAATAAAGGTATAACAGTGTAACAATAACAATGTAACAATAAAAGTGTAACAGTATAACAATAACAGTGTAACGAGCTATTTACACAAAATATTGTACTACTAGTCATAACCCGTGCCTGAATGTACGATAAAATATAAAATTTGAACGTCCAAAAAATCGATCCCATTATATTTTTTTTTCAAAATATATTAACTACAAATTAATTAAATATTAAATAATTAAATATATGATAGAAATGAGTGATGTGATATTTTTAGGAAAGAAATATATAAATGATTAAACATATAATAGAAATAAGTGATATAATTTGACGTTTGAGTCTATCAAAGAGATGATGGGTGAGGTAAGTCATTGATGATAATTTTGAGGAGAAAAATATGACTGGGATAAAATTCAAACACACTCCTGTTTTATTATATAGATTACATTTTGTCAAACACATAATTTCATATAATTTAATTCAAAATAGTTTATCTCTATTTTGAATTTGTTACTACATACACAAAACTACTGAGTACTATTTTTGTTACAGTGTATTTGTTACACTGTCTTTGTTACAACGTATTTGTTACACTGTTACACTATTACATTATTCGGATATTATATTAATTTAAAATAAAATCATTTTTCAAAAAAAAAAAAAAAACACTTGAATCAAGGTGCATTAAATATAATTTGAAAATAAAATCACTTTCCAAAAAAAAAAAATACGCTTAAATTAAGGTGCATTAAAGATAATTTAAAATTTAGATAAAAGATTTAACAAATATATATATATATATATAAAATACGCTTAAATTAAGGTGCATTAAAGATAATTTAAAATTTAGATAAAAGATTTAACAAATATATATATATATATATATATATATATATATATATATATATATACACATACATATTTACATGTATTAACAAATACACATGAATCAAGATGCATTAAATATGTATTTATATGTATTAACTAACGCATGAATCAAGGTGCATTAAATATAAGAGATTTTGAATTAAATGAGCCTAAAATGGGCATTTATGTCTTTGAAATTCACATTTTGTTCTATGTACTTTTTGTCAAATAAATCTAATTAGGTGTACCGGCTTCCAAAGAACAAAAAAAAAATGTATTGGACTAGGGCCAATAATCAAACTGACCCCGAATAACTCAATTATTTTACATATAAACAAGCGAAACTTTTAAGCTCATTTTTTTAAATGAGTTTAAAAAATTATTCGAGTTCAACTCGTTTAACATTGAATCCTAACCGAAGCCGAGGTCGAGTTCATCATTTGTACCCTATATTTAGGTCGGATCATTAATTGATTGAATTATTTTATATCCAAAAACTTTTACCATATTTTTATTAGGAAACTATTAAATAGACTCAAAAATTTGATTTGATGAATCATTACCATTGAATAGAGAGCGAATTCCAATAAATACTGTGATTCACAATTAAATCAATGACAAATATAATAATGACATCATCAAGTCAAATTTTAAAGTTAATTTTTTAAGTTTGTGTTGCATTATTCTTTTGATTAACATGGTTGGATTTAGTCCATAATACAATTCACCAACAAACCCATATCCTTCAACATGTTTGGAGATCAATTGCATCAAGAAGTTGCAATGTCCCATTTGATATATAGAACATCAAAAGCATGGCCAAATCCCTTTCTTACTATGTTTAAGATTTATCATTAGAGATGGGCTCCATAAGAAAATGACAAGTTTAGGTATCTGAGTCCATTTAAGATTAGTTTATGACCCCTCTTCACCTCCAATAAGGATGTAGGTCAAGAAATTATAAATCAATCAAAAGAAGAGTTAGTGGGCCAATTGCATATATTTTTATAGTGTTTTTTTTAACTCAAAGACAGGAATCCTTCAAACCCAAATGCTAAGCCTACACGATTATGACAGTGAAACTTGGATTAGAATATATGAAAAAGCAGAACGAAAGGTGAAAGGCAAATCCACCAAACTAATCAGTGGACAGACAGCACATAAACTTTGAATATAGAATACACAACACCAGAAAAAGAAGGACATATCCGATGGAGGACTTCCACTTTCTAGGGTTTCGGCGTGGCATTTTTCTCTGCAATTGGGTGGAGATTAAAGTAAACCAGCAGAATTTGTTGATAATGTCTCATGGTATTCTTGATTACCATGAGCTGAATAGGACAGATCACAGATGCAATGGCCCTGAAACTCAGTTATAATTTTTTTGGATAGTGTTTTATTTTTGGGTTGGTAACCGTCAATCAGATAAACATCCGATGTATAGGTTGCTAGGATGCGTAGGGTTTAATCTTGGTGCAATTGAAGTTATAAAACTTCTCACTTTATCTCAATTTGATACAAACTCAAGGGTTGCCTTGAAATTAGAGTCAATTAAGGCTAAAACTTAGATTGAAACTTGGGTTACATATTCGTGTGACAACAAACGAGTTCAATTTGAATTGAAATTGAGATCGATTCAAAATTAATTCTTATATTATGTTCAATTCCCTCTAAAATTCTATTGAATTCGGACCAATTTGAGCTTAAATTAGAGTTCACTATTTTAGATTGGATTTGAGTTGGACAATATAACCAAACACCTTAACCCTTATGAGACTTTGGATGTGTTGTTTTGTTTTATTTTCTGCAGTTTTGCTTTGCTTTTGTAATAGAGTAGTTGAAATCTTTTTGGTATCTTACACATCACAAAAATTAAGGCTAGTGGAGGGCATCCATTGCTTCGAGATGTACAGTTAGATTAAGGATTAGAATACGATAGATAACTGACTTTCGGCTTTGTCCGGTGTTTCGAAAAATACCAAACTAAAATGAGAGAGGCTGAGCTTGACCTTCTTTAGGGGTGCGTGGATGACACTTTTGGGTCACCGGCAAGGCTTCTTAAAGCGAGGCCACTCTTGTTCTTATTGCTCCTATGAACACCTCTGTTGTTGGATCCACAACAGTTGAACAATGGGTCTCATCATATCAAGTAAATAAAAAGGCTTTGTCCCCACAAAGTCTAGATTGGATTTGATAGAAATAGCTCCTTTTCTTTTCTTTTTTTTCTCTTCTTTTTTGTTCCTTCACCATGTATCAATTGCCTTTTTTAACATGTGTCAATTGCCTTTTTTAACGATAACATATAAAAGCAACTAGTTAGTGTTAGTTGTCCAATATGTGACAAGTTACACTAGTTGCATTGAGATTAAGAATTTCTTTGTTATTTTTTATGTATCGACAAGATAATCATAATTATTGAATGATTGAAAAGATCAAGTGAAACCCACTAAATAAATAGATTATATATAATTGAAAATAGTAAATTGGTACATAATTTTATCGGTATATCATTGCTGTCGAATAATTGGATATCACCTTCCTTTAAAAACTTAATGATTATATTTCACTATTCCTTAATTTGAGTTTATCCTTTTTTAAATTTAAGTTTATTCATTAAAATATTTTATATTAAATCAAATTTTTTTATTTAAATATCAACTTAATTTTAAGTAAATTTTGGAATTAAAGTTGAAGATGTTATAAAGATAGTTTTACTAAAGAGCTTTTGGTTCAATGATATTTTTTGTCTTATAAATGTTTTGTCTTTTTGAAATTAAGAGTTCAAGTCTCATTCTCCTTCTCCTTCCTCCAACCCAAAAAAAAGAAAAAAAAAAGATAAACTAAAAAAAATAAATAAATAAAGATAGTTCCCCCACCAAAAGTGAAAGACACATGGGTGCATAATAGAGGATAGTTTTACATGTGAGAGATGTGCGGTTCCCACTACTACTTCTTTGGATGTAATTTTGTTTTATTGTTTATGTTTGGACACCTAGAAAGTAAAAAAGTAATATTTTCTCCGGCAAATGTTAAAGCATCAGAATGATTCTCCACCACTTTCTCAAATGACCTTTCACCTAAAAGGCAAATCATTCAACATCTATCAAACCACACCCATAACCAAAAAAGGTAATAAGGGAACTGATTGCACGGTTATGTATGAGCGTGGTATTGGACCAAAAATTTGGTGAGTTTCACACATTAAGAGACGATGTCAAGTGATGTCCACGTCCAATAAGATGCGGTCACAAAAATAATTTTTATGGCATATAAGTTAGTTTTTTTCACGATTATCTGTAAGCGTGGTATTTGACAGTGTCACACAGTGTGTACATCTAATAAGATATTGCAACCAAAACAATTTACAAGACACAATAGATGGGTGTCGGACATTTATTTAATATATTTAATTTTTTATTAACAATGTACATTATATACTACTATCAGGTGGTGTGTTAGAGCATCTAAAAGAAAATGGTTAAAACTTCAAAATAGTTAAAATTTAGCTATTCATAAATAAAAATCATGCTCCAATAGATGATGTCCAGAATAGATAAAATACAATTTTACTATAGTGATGTTCTATATTTAGTGCATCATTATAGTATTATGTATAAATAATTTATAATATATTCACTCTTCTTGTCTTTTTCTATATCTTTTGTTAACTTTTTATTTTTTTTCTCCATTCTTTCCCTATCTCTTTTTAACATTTTTAATAAAAGTATAAAATGTGAAAAATTAATATTTAAAATAAATAGTTAAAATATAGTAAATGAGTAGTGAAAAAATGAGTAGCTAAAATAAAAATTTTATATATATACATTTTTAGAAAAATTGCATAACATATATAAATGGATAGAATTTAAAAATGGAAATCAACCCCACCTGGAAGCTCACATGCAATTCCAAATCTATGCGGACATGGAAATATTCTAATGGAGAAGACAGCACAGCAACACAGCCTTCTCTCTCTCTCTCTCTCTCTATCTCTCTCTCTCTCTCGTTAATCGATCTTCCCCTTTTGTGTAAAACTTCGCATTTAATATGCGAAATCGACGATGAAGTTGTAGTTTAGGCATTGGCGTGTCTAACGATTTGAAACTATTTTAATCGGTATTCGCAAACTAGTTTAACTATAAATCCCCACCAACTTGGGGGCTGCGATCATTTGCAAACCCTTTTAATATGCAATATAATCTTCACCTCTCTGCGACTTGATGGCTTGGCCGTTTGTTCTATTTATTTCTCACACTATTTTTGTATCCCTGTATGTATTCATCCTTCTCTCTCCTCTTTTTTGCTCGAAAATATTATAGGGTTTGTGCAGAAATACCTCAAATATGGTTTCATGAAACCCTGACGACCCATTTAAAACCCTAGAGAGTTGTGAACAGTGATCAATTTTACTTCTTTTTCAATGCTGCTTCTCTAACCGTCCTTTTTGACTTCTCTGGTACGCGTCTCTCTCTCTCTCTCTCTCTCTCTCTGTATTGCTATGTGCATATAAATATACGTCTTTTTGGTTAGCTGCTTCGTTTATCAGGAGGTTTCGATGCATAATAACTCGACTGTTGGGAGACTGATCTGAAGATTTTGAAAAAGTTGCTTTCTTTTTCTCATCTGGGTGAATGATTTTGTTTCCAAGGTTAGTTTGTGAATCCCCTTCTTGAATTATGTTCGATTTCAGTTCAAAAAAAAATTATGTTCGATCTATGATAAAAATTCTTTTATGTGTCTCAAGTATATTAACCGTTTGATCTCTTGGTGTTGACCAACTCATGACATAGCAGCCTATAGTGTAGGCTTTTATCTCTTTGGGTTTTTATGAATATGGACTTGCTTGATTAGTGACATCTAAAAACTGTTTGAATCTTGGTATCTATTCACTTTTTTCCCTTTCTACGCAGTGTGAATCATTTCCTGAACCCACCCAGATCAGAACTTTTTCCAGATCTGATAGACTAATTTTTTTTCCTGGATTTTACATATCTATCCACTTGTCTCTTTAAACTTTATCACCCATCAATTGTGGAGGAAAATCGGTCTTTTGGTCTTAATTTATCCTATTATCAGTTATGATTCCAAATTTGGTGATTAGTATGCGTTGTTTGCTATTGAATCTGATCAATCTATTGGATAAGGTGTATGTTTTTTGTATTTGCTATCTAGTTTGGGATTTGTAGAGCCTTGAATATTGTGATATAGTGTGTTGTTAAGGGCTGATCATTTTCTTTGACCCATCCTTTTTCTTTACATTTATGGGAATACAGAGTGTTTGACGGTGTTTGACCGATGTCTGGACGAAAAGAAAAAGAAACTGAAGAAGGGGAGGGGGGATTGGGTTATGATGGGGATTCTAGTGATGGATTTTGCACCAGTGTTGGTAGTCCTCCATCAAAAAGGATTTATGTGACTGATGGTACATCATGTAAAAATGGGCTCGGGCATACACTCAGTGAAGGAGGTGCAGAGGGCCCATCCCTTGTAGAACCTCAGGATGCAGATTACTCTTACAATATTCCCTCTCTCAGTTACGAGCTAGAGGGTCTGATATTGGCTAGGTTTCCTAGATCAGAATATCGGAAGTTATGCTTCGTTAACAAAAGATATCTAACTCTTTTGAAGAGTGGTGAGCTATTTAACATTAGGAGAGATATTGGCTTTAAAGAACCCTCTGTTTTCATGTTGGCAAGTGGAGAGAGTAGTTGGTGGTCATTCGATCGCAAGTTTAAGTCGCGGATGAAGCTTCCAGTTTTACCATCAGATTTTTGTTTCACATCTGGGGATAAAGAGTCACTTTGTGCAGGGACCCATTTGCTTGTTTCAGGCAAGGAGATTGATGGTCTCGTCATTTGGAGATATGAGTTGGCAATGAACAGATGGTACAAGGGTCCATCTATGATCAATCCAAGGTGTTTGTTTGCATCTGCCACTTGCGGTACCTCTGCTTTTGTGGCCGGTGGAATTGGTATTGGAGCAAAGACAGGAATCTATGATACTGCTGAGAAATATAATCCAGACACTAGATCATGGGATCCACTTCCGAGGATGAAACTAAGGAGAAAGCTTTGCTCAGGGTGCTGCATGGATAATAAGTTCTATGTGATTGGAGGGCGAAACGAGGATGGAGAACTCACTTGTGGGGAATTTTTCGACGAGGCAAACAACAGATGGGAGCTGATCCCAGGCATGTTAAAGGACGATCCAGTTTTAAGTTCTAACTCCCCACCTCTGGTTGCCGTTGTGAATAATGAGCTGTACTCACTTGAAACTTCTTCCAACCAGCTGAAGGTGTACTTAAAGAAAAGCAATGCTTGGAAGCAGTTAGGGCCGGTCCCTGTAAGAGCGGATTTCAACAGAGGTTGGGGTGTCGCATTCAAGTCGCTAGGAAATGAGCTGCTTGTAATAGGTGCATCATCGGGTTTTTGTGCTGATAATTGCCTGGCTATGTACACATGCTGCCCAGATCCTGATGCCATGGAACTGCAGTGGAGAGCTCTTGACAGTGGCAGAAATCAGCTTAGTCACTTCATTCTAAATTGTTCTGTTATGGTAGCTTGAACTAGAACTCATGAGGAGTCTCCGCAAAGTTGTGTGATAACAACAAGAGTATCTAAATAAAGAGAAAATTTGACAAACTAGAGTTTGGCTTTTCCTAAAGGCTTTTATGTGGCTACCAATATATTTTCATCACATGTGGTCTCCTGCATGATTGCATTTGGATGATCACAATCATCCTTCCCATTGGTTAGATTTAAATTTCATAGGAATAAAAGAATAAGCATTTGAATAATTGGTTCCACAGTCCCTTTGAGGGTTCGTTGGGTAGACTTACCATGGGTTAAGGATATTTGTTTGCGGTAGGGTCAACGTAATTCTTTTCTTAAATGACTTTTATAATTCTTCTGTTAACTAAAACCTTCAGGCATAGCCAACGTTATTCGGTGGATAATGCAAGGTAGGGCATGGCCAACTATTGCACTCGATTGTATGTGGGGATATCTTGAAAATATGAGAAAGTTGATAGATGAGAAGAACAGCTGAGAATTTGGGTACTCCAGAATCGCTTGAGGCATTTAATTCACTCTTTCCGAAGGTTTTGAGACAAGAATTGGTCACTGGGATACCATGAAGCTAGTCCTTGTCAAATGACTCTGGCTCCATTGCAATCACAAAGAACAGGAAATTTGTGTTCGTTTGTTTTGTTTTTTGTTTTTTGTTTTTTTTTTTTTGGAAATCTGCTCCACATATGTTACATGACGGATCTTCTGTGATCTTCAATGGCCGCCAACTTGGTTCAGAGTCCATCTTGTCTTGCGAACCACTTGAAGTAACCTGCCTCAGGGTCCGTTTGTCTTTTCCCCCCTTCTGTTTGGGTCTTTAATTTCCATATTCCCGCCCTTTGTCCTGCTCATTGTTATCCGCTGTTGAGCATATATGTTTTTTTCAATAAAATAGGAAGAGTTATTTTGGAAATGCCAGGCATCGGGGACAAACCAGATTACGGAGAAAAAGTACTGGCTAGTGCTCCAAGTTAGAAAGTTCTATGATCAACCTTAACTTCTTAACAATACTACGGATCATCATGTTTTAGAGGATCGAACAATATACTCAGTGTGTGGAAAATGAAATTCTTCCCTAATGAAAAAGCCCAAGGGAATAGTGGATCAATTCTAACAGGCCTTTCAAACTAATAATTTTTCTAATCAATTCTTGTAACTTCTTCAACAAATACTAATTTTTTAATTGAGTGTTGAATGACTTCCTACTCAAATCGTTCTTTGTTGCGAAAGATAACCTAGATCGATTGGATAAACGTTTTATCAAATATACTTTTTTTTTTTATCAAGACTCTCCCTGTAACCGCACATTATATCCAACAATTTGCACCTACCTATGATCATCAAAATTAGAGTCGTTATCGCCCATGAACCTTTGACTAATAAGGTGATGACACATGGATGCTTATGTGGTGTCTCTCATATTCTAAGATTAACAAGGCAATGCGTGGCATAACACGACACAAAATCAAATTTTGATATTAGAATAGAGACACTTGGATTGCGTTCGGCATAATTTCTCGAGGTAAATTTCATTTTTTTTTATAAGTGAACTCCATTTTGATAAGATGAATTTTGTAATGTTTGACTTTGAGGAAAAAAAATATGAGAGTTTTAGCAAATTTTTATAAGGAAAAGTTTTTTTTTTTGTGGCAACTTCTCTAAAAAGTAAAATAATGCATACTTCCAAAAACTATTAGTTGTTTGGTAATCCAAAAGATTTTCAGGGGAACATAAAGATGTCTCCCACATTACTCAAAATATGTAAAAATATCAACGTAATTTAATAAAGCTATTTGATCTGAATATTGCATGAAGAACACAAGTCAGAGGATTGAAACCACCAGGAGAGGCCTCACCATTGGGGGAGGGGTGACAAGTTCTAATTGTTGTTTGTCTTAAAGATTTTTGAATGTGGTCCCTTGTAATTTTTGAAAGGCAAATAAATTTTTATTTTGGAATATAATTAAATAATTTATCAATTTAAAAAGTTTCATTGGGGTATTCATTGCCATTTTTTAAATGTCAAAGGATAAACAAATAATTTAAATAAATGTCAAAGGATGTTATTGAATAGAGAATCCTATTGAGACCAAATTTGACGGTTTGAAACAGTATGGTTATTGAATTAACACCTGTACTATGTACACTATCAATCCAAATCTAACGACTATAACACAATATGTTGTCAAATTAGGTCTTCAAGATACATATAAATAATATTAATATGTTGTACATTTTTCAATCATTGTTATCTCATTTTTTTTTCTTTCAATGGTAAAAAATATTTGAATCAGTTTATACACACCTCAACTAATTTTCTTTTTAACCCCGTCAAAAACACACAAACATTGTAATGCAATCAACTTACGAATAACAAAAAAATCCAATAAGAAGGAAAATTGGAGAGTTAGATTAGGCTAAAAGACGAGCTTAAACACCCACATTCAATCCCAAAGAGAGGGAGAGATGGTTGGCTGTTATAAAAAACAGAAAATACGTAATATTATTCTCCAAAAAAACTGTTGAATATAATGTGGAACAACCTTTTTATAAGTCCCTAGGGTTGTTCTAATTAAAGAATCAATCTCAGCCTTTTAATTAAAGTTAATCTAAGGCCTCTAATTTTGTCTAGCAGAAAAAAAAAAAAAAACACTAAAATCACGCGATAGTCCAAACAGTCACATGACTGACTTTTAAAACTCACATGACTTTTAAAATAAAATCCTAACGACCAAACTACTCCCGAGTATGTCTGATAATCAAAAAACACACTATGTAAAACACAAAAACATGTTAAAAATAGAATTTAAACTAAAATAAACGACTTAAGAAAATATAAATAGTTTGTGAAATAATCACAAGGCTGCCACCATTAAGGTGTCTAGACTTGGTCTTCTTTGTTCAAAAGCTCACGAAAAAACTTCTTCTATACATCTGCATCACATTGTTATCTCAATTTCGATGTGGTGTTTGCTATCTCAAATGCCTTTTGAAATGGTGCGAAATGGCCATTGTGCTTAGAGATTAATATTTGGGCTGCCAGCCCGACCCGACCATGGTATGTGCAAACCCATGACAACCAAACCTCAAAGAAATGGGCTGAAAAACACATGTGACATTTTCAGGAGAACCACCGTTTGACGACTGAGGAAAACGCCCACGAGTGTGTGTGTGTGAGAGAGAGAGAGAGAGGCGCATCTTTCACTCACTGGCCGTTCTCTTGTGGAAGCAAGCTATGACCAGCGAAGGATTCATCAGGCCCGTAAGACTTCCCGCAACCTTCGATCCAATCTCTCTTAATTATTGCTAATACTGCAATTGTTGTCATTGTATTTAGTCAGTCTCTCCACCGATTTCTTCTGATAAATCAACACAACCGCTGTTCTTTTCACCTTATCTTCTACCATAGACCCTAACATGAGTTTTGAATTTTTCTTGAGCTCTATCTCTCTATTCAACTAGTAATTTGAATTTCTAGAATTAGGGTTTTGCTTTGGAATGTTAGTTTTGAAGTCACTGGTGGCAATCGGATTTCAAAGTTGTGAACTTAGGGATTTTTATTTTTTGGGTGTTGCGAAATTTAAGGCTTTGGTGAATGGAATTTAGGTTATTGATCCCTTTTCAAATGGAAACTGCAGTCATGGGCCATGCATCTAAGAAATTCGGTTTTTGTCAGTTCTTGATGTAAGGATTCTTGCTAAAGGTAATGTCAATTTGGTTTCTTGGATTGGTCTCTCTTGTTAGGTCATAGTTGAGAATTGAGAACTTCATATTGTGCGATGTCGATGAATAACAATAACCCTCCAAAGAATATTGGGGCTTCGTCCCCCTTTGGCAATTCTCTGCCAGCAAACCCGACTGCCCATCTCCAATCGCAATCGCACTCCCAATCTCAACCACAAGTTGGTTCGGGCTTTCCGGGTCAATTTCAGCTGTCTCAATTCTCCGCAGCTAATCCCCAGGCAATTGCACATTCAAAGGCTATGGCTCACGCCCAAGCCCAAGCTCAAGCGGCACATGCCCAATTCCAAGCTCAGTTACAAGCTCAAGGGATGTCTCTTAACCAGCCCAACATGAGTGGATCTTCGCCCTCGGTTTCTGGTGCTGGCGCAAAACGGCTGCCACAAAAACCACCAGTGCGGCCGCCTGGCTTTTCAACTGCCAACACTGCTTCGCCTATGAGAACTCTGGATCTTTCATCCGCTGCTCGTAGAAAGAAGCAGAAGCTTCCTGAGAAGCAGTTGAATGAGAGAGTTGCAGCAATTTTGCCTGAATCTGCTCTTTACACTCAGCTTCTTGAGTTTGAGTCTCGTGTCGATGCTGCCCTTTCAAGAAAGAAAATTGACATCCAAGAGGCCATTAAGAACCCTCCATGTATTCAGAAAACCTTGCGAATTTATATTTTCAACAGCTTTGCAAATCAGATCCACACAATTCCGAAGAAGCCGAATGTTGAGGCACCCACTTGGACCCTTAAGATAATAGGGAGGATCTTGGAAGAGGGTATGGATCCTGAACAGGCTGGCATGTTTCAGAAATCGAACTCTATTTACCCGAAGTTCTCATCTTTCTTTAAGAAAGTCACCATTACATTGGATCAGAGATTATATCCTGAAAACCACATTATTATATGGGATAGCGCGCGATCACCTGCAGCTCATGAGGGCTTTGAGGTAAAAAGGAAAGGGGATAGGGAGTTTACTGCAACTATAAGGCTTGAAATGAATTATTTGCCTGAAAAATATAAACTTTCAGGACCTTTGATGGAAGTTCTTGGTATTGAAGTTGATACCCGCCCCAGAATCATAGCTGCAATCTGGCATTATGTCAAGGCTAGGAAATTGCAGAACACAGACGACCCTTCGTATTTTAATTGTGATCCACCACTTCAGAAAATATTCGGAGAAGGAAAGATAAAATTCACTATGGTGTCACAGAAAATATCACATCATCTGTCTCCTCCGCAACCCATTCACTTGGAGCACAAGATCAAGCTTTCAGGGAATAGTCCTGCTGGAACTGCATGCTATGATATCTTGGTGGATGTGCCCTTCCCTATACAGAAGGAATTGAATGCTTTACTCGCCAACACAGAGAAAACCAAAGAGATTGATGCTTGTGATGAAGCAATTTGTACTGCCATAAGGAAGATCCATGAGCATCGCAGGAGGCGGGCATTCTTTCTTGGATTCAGCCAATCACCAGTGGAATTTATCAATACTTTGATTGAATCTCAAGGCAGAGATCTGAAGCTTGTAGCAGGGGAAGCAAGTCGTAGTGCTGAGAAAGAGCGTCGATCAGATTTCTACAGCCAACCATGGTAAGCTTATACACCACTTCTTGTTACTATAAACATTGTGCAAACACCACTTCTGAATGTTATTAAAAATTCACTTTCAGAATAATTCTTGCTTGTAGTTGAGTTGATGGGAAGTTTGCCACCTTACCATAGAAACTAACAATCCATCACAAATAAATTTTCTCATTTGGCAACTATGCTTAATGGCTCAAGTAGACTGCTTTAAATGGATGGATGCAATCGTTGTTAGTGTGAACTTTAAAACAATATTGTTCTGTTGCAATAGTAAGATGACTGCCATGAGGCTTATCTTTTTTTTGATTACAAACAACTCAATTTTATACCATTTGATTTGAACTTGAATAGTAATGAATTGAGTTTGTCTGAGCTTTTGTTCTTCATTTGTGAGATATATTTGCAATTTTGGGATTGCACTCATTATGGTATTCTGTTTTGGTGATTGAACAGGGTTGAAGATGCTGTTATTCGCTACCTAAATCGCAAGCCAGCTGCAGATGCTCCTGGAAGCATATGAATAGTTAGGGGATTTTTGTGCTGCTGATGGGCAAGTATGTAATAGCTTCTTTGGGCTCCATGCTCATCCTTTCCAATGGAGGAAAGATGCATGCTTGCGTAACTGTAGAATTTAATCCTTAGGCCATTTAAGCTCTTCTCGGTGTTGCCAATGGATGACATGCTTTATGTTTATTTAACCAAGATGACATTGAGGTTATCTTTGCACAATGTTTAACTGTTAATGCTGGATTCGGTGGCGCTTTGGTGTTCCTATCATCTTTAATGCGTATCAATATACTTGTTTCAAGTAATAATTTAATGCATATTCACGTAGATTCCACGTGGATATGGGATTTTACAATTGTCCTGGGACATGATGACCTCCAATTTCAATGAAAAGCAGTAAAAATTCTTCTTTTGGTTTTTCTTAATGGTCCTAGGACTTTATGAATTCCTGTTATTCATGTTCGTTATTTTTGGGTTTGATTTTGCTGTATCTTATTTTATTTCTTGCACTTAGTATAATGTAAACAAGTGTTTTAGAGTGGGAATTTATGATAAGGTTTTGTTTAGGATTGGTGTATATTCGACCTTTTGAGATTGGGTCAGAAGACCTTCATAGTTGGTGATGTGCTTGCATTCAAATATGACATATTCTCGATAAGTAGAATCACACAGCTCCAAATAATCCGACAGTGCTAGTTTTTTTTTCCCCTTTTGAGTTTACTTTTTGTCTTTGGCACATAAATTTCAGGAAGTAGTCTGTTATATTTCAACACTAATTCTGCAGCATGCTTCTGTGTGGGTTCCCTTTTTTAATATCTAATTTTAACGAAGCAAACACCTCATAGATAAATGTGGTTAGTTTGGCCATTAGCATGCCTACTGTTTTTTTTTTTTTTTTTTTCATTTTGGGCAGGTTGGAGAGCAAAGCTTTGAGACACATTGAGAGCAATTGGTACTGATTATGGTGGCATTTGATAACAAATAAGTTGTAGAATTGCAATTGAGTCTGCTAACTGTGGAGCAGGATCTTGGCTTACACTGGGCGGATTAGCTACCTATATATTAGAATCATGTTTGTACTAATCAGTTCAAAATGAAGAAGTTCAATTGCAATTTGGGAGTGAGGGAGATAACCCATTACTTGTCCCATTGATCGAAATCACTGTGGTACTCGTCCGTTCAAAATGAAGAAATTTTTTTACATGTTGGGGGCAGCAGGGGGGTGTTTAGGTTGGAGGGGGGTTTTGACCAAGAAATTGTCCCCATTTATTGATTAATTAATAATGCTAGCACTTGATATTACATATACGTGGTTATAATTTCATATTGAACTAACAGGTGAAAAAAGAAAGTAGATAAGAAAACCAAAATTTATAAATTGGAACCCAAACGAGTATTTAATTCAATCATGGATGGATGAAGTTGTACTTTTAAAAACAATCAATAAATGGCTACTTGCAGATTAGAACCAAAAATAGATAGATGGTTAATTGTTTTTTGACACGGCTCTAGCAAATTGGCCTGAGCAACTGTCAAGTGCTATACATGTGTTATTGTTCTGTCAATAATTTAAACGGATGGCCGGCTGTTTGAATTAGAAATCCATAACTATGAACTTTGAAGATTTAAATTGTTAAAATTTTACAGCCCAAAATGCAACAAGTGATAAACGTCATGGGCGATAATGGAATTTATTCATAATAAAACAATTTATTTGTACGTCAGCTCTTTTTTATTTTATTTTAATACTTAGATAGCCCTCTCGCGTCGCGTAAAAGCAACCAAAATAATGGCGGGAAAGGAGGACACAAAACAAACTTCTTCACCATCACTCCCATCGACCTCGAAATCGAAGCAGATGGAAGAAGAATCGGAGGTTTGTTGGAGAAAAGAAGTCGATATGAACCTCAAGAGGCTCCATTCTCTCCTATTTGGAGCCGATTTGGCTCTGGAAAAGGGGGATTTCGGTTCCGCACAACTACTTGCTCTCCGTCTCATCGGCTTCCTCGATTCTCACTCTCATTCCGACGTCGATGAGGCCTTCATTTGTCCTATTCGCCGCGAAGCCTTTTCGAAGGTCGATGCCGCCCGACGCTCCCTCATTTCGGAATCCGATCGGTACTCTTTCTTTCTCTCTCTATCTCTCTCCCTCCCTCCCTCCCTACATGTGTATGAATAATAAATATATATGTATGCGTTCAAAGGTTGTTTCACTCTTTGGACGTTTTTCAGATTTTCATTCTACTAAAAAGTGCAGTTTCTAATAGTTTGAATTACTTAAAGAATTTGATATTTGAAGATTTTTTTTCGTCTTACCCGCAATGGAAGCTGTATAGAGTATATTTTGAACGTTTTTAATAATTATATTCAGATTTCAAATGACTACTTTGTTTGCTCAAAGTCAGGGAGGAGCACGAAGAAAAAATTTAGTAATTGACTCGAATAGAACCTAGTGTAGATTTGGAGGAACTGAGAGTTCGATATGTAGACTCAACTCTTATTGAACTGGAATAATGACTTATAACGATGTACTCAATCACTCCAATAAGTATCATTTACTTGTAATTTTATTGTCTTCATGTTGCTGAACATTTATTTATATTTGTTGCCGGAACATTCTGTCAATTATAGTTTGCTTTATTGACTAGAGTGTCTCACCAGTTTGACTTTAATATGACATCAGCCAAGCATTTGAGCAAGCAGGCAGAGCTCCAGGATGTGTGTTTATCAAGAGAGGAGATATTCACATTGAGAAAATTAAGCATTCAAAGTATTTTCAAGCTATTTTTCAGCAATCCGAAGAAAGAAATTTGAATGACTTGGTATGACGTTCTGAATGGTGCACTATTCCCTCCACATCTCATTCTTTTACTCTATGTATATTGATTGTGTAACCTGCTCTTCATTTTATACTTTTGTTTTTTATTCCTGTTGTGGACGCTGTTCAAATTATTATCCTATCACCACCTCATTTTTAACTTTTCTCAGTTAAGTTTCTTATAAGTTCAACCTCTTCTTCATTTGGTCTTTAGACAATGTGGCTGAAAAGTCTCTGAGTTGTGTGTTGAATTTTCATTTTTAAGTTTTAGTGGACTAGTTGTGTAAGTTTTTGAGAGTAGTTCTGGTTTTAACAGATTGCATGATCATCAAAATTCTTGTTTGTACTTCGAAATTCCAAATCTGATGAAGAACACAATTTTTATTAGGGAGACCAACTTGACAGGAAGGAGAATTCAAGTTGTATGACCTCAAAAGTTCTGACGCAAGCAAAATTGACATCATTGTATGGGGGCTTCTCGAGGACAACTAATAGTTCTTATAAGAGTTCTCTGAACTGCAAAGGTAAAAGCTGTGAGACTGAATTATCTTTGAAAAGGCTTACTCCTGTCATAACCATCCTAAGGGTCATGCCATCTTTATGTTCACTGAAGCTGATGAGGAAGATAGATCTCATGGTAATGGTTTTGGGACAAAACGTATGCATGTGGAAATTAGTGGCCCCACAATGGACAATGTGAAGTCTCCATCAACCAATGAAGAAGCTAAGGATGATGTTTCTGGCAATGGATTTGTCACTGCCAGAGCAAAATTGGTAACCTTATTACTTCTCAAGACAGTTTTTCGCCTTTTAAAGTTGGTACCATTGTCATTTACTGATTGAGATTATGTCTCTTTATCTGTGTTCTTTTGCTCTAATGATCGGAGTTTATTGTCCGAATGAACATATAAAAAGTAATATAGGGATCCTTATGGAAGCGTGCATGAGTGAAATCACAACCTTTTCTCTGTGCTGCTTTGGATTATGAGAAGCTTCATTACCATGATCTTATTGTCTTATTTAGCTAGATGATAGCTTCGTAAGTTAAAATAACTGAAATCATTGGAAAACTTGCATCTAGGCAATTGGACGGCTAAATAACCTTCAGTGATTCAGAATGCTCTTGGTGATAACTTCTGTTGCCAAATTTACTAAACTCTCTGTAAACATTAAATTAGAAATAAACTTGGAAATTACCAAACATGTTGCCGCCATAGTCAAATTTATATCCAGGCAAAGAACACTGGTACAAACTTTCAACAGATTCCTGATTATGTTTTTGTGTGTGGATGTCATCAACTAACCAATTTTTTTCCCTCATAAGTCATGAATGTGGCATCAATTAACCAATTTTTTCCCTCGAAACTGCAGTGTTTTTCAGTTAATAGTTCTTAACCACTTTTCACACCGAGCTTTATAAAGCTTTAAGAGAGAATAGGGAGTAAGGGGGACCTTCACTTTATTCAAAATTGGACCCGACCTTCTTTCTTCTCCTGTGGAGCTCTGTATGAAAACTTTTTCTTTTATTGGCGCTTGATAGGTAGGCTATTAGATGAATTGAAAGTATTTGTGTGGGGGGAAGGGAGTTTGGAGATGTAGAAGAGGAACCATCAGTTTGCATTTTTCATCACTCCTTGATTGTCCTATTCCTATATGCTTAAGCTTCTAGGCAACCATGTAGTTGTAGTTTCTAGAAACCTGCATTTTGTTTCTTAGGTGTTTTGATTACTCTTCCATACCATAGGAAATGGATGCGAGGCAAAGGCGAGGGCTGACTGGATCACCAAGTGCTTCTGGTTCCCCACAGAGTGATAGCAATGCAACCAACAGAGGTTATGGTGTCAAATCCTACGGGTTTTCACGCCGTGGCATCCGTGGTAATTTTGTCCCCCCAATCAGGTCGAACGGGGGTAATACAGGTAATATGACTTCCCGCATTGCGGGGAAGGGCGAAGAGGCATTAGATGACTCAACCAGGAGATGGTTAGTTTTATAAATGTTTTTTCCCTATATCAGAAATGTAGTTTAAATTCATCATTGCTTTCTCTCCTAAAAACTTGTAAATTTTTCGATTTTGCTCTAGTAAGTGGTCTTTAAAACAGAAGTTTGACTCATTATAATATTTGTTCTATCTCTCTCTCTCTCTCTCTCACTTTAGTTTGGAGATTTTATGTGGTCCTGATGGTGAGCTTCCCGAGAGATTAAGGAATTTAGAGCCCCGACTTATTGAGCATGTCAGTAATGAAATAATGGACCGGGATCCCAATGTTCGATGGGAAGACATTGGTATGTTGGTAACACGTGCTGAAGATTTTTTCATGTTCTGAAGTTCTTGTTGCACTTCGTATTTTGTCCTAATCTGTTATCTTTCATTGAAAAATTTTAGCTGGTTTGGAGCATGCCAAAAACTGTGTAACGGAGATGGTTATATGGCCTTTATTACGGCCTGATATATTTAAAGGCTGTCGTTCTCCAGGTCGAGGTCTTCTTCTGTTTGGTCCTCCTGTAAGTATTTAACCAAACTTCATATGAGAGATTGGACCATTTTATTCTCTCATAATACTTCTCTCTTGCCTTAGGGGACTGGTAAAACCATGATAGGGAAAGCTATAGCTGGAGAAGCTAAAGCAACCTTTTTTTACATATCTGCCAGTTCATTAACAAGCAAATGGGTAAGCGTTATTTCTGCTATTACAATTTTGTGATGGTTAAGTGTGGCATAATTCTATTATGTACTTTTGACAGTTATGAACGATTTGCTAGTTTATGAAAATGTTGGCTATGAAAATGTTGGCAGGGTTCTTTAATGCACTGAAATTATCAAGATAACTGCCAGCAAGTTTCATTGTTTCTCGAATTGTATGTGAAATATCCTGAAAAACTATGTTGAACCTTTTCTTTGCTGAATTCTTGACTTGCTTTTTAAATGATGCTGAATTATGTCAGAGACCCAATAATTTTTTTTTGATTTGTTCACCATGATCTCATGTCGGGACCAAATAATTCTCAACTTACAAATTGGTCACTTTCTCTCCTGTCTTTACACCATTGTAATGTTTCTAATGTTTTGTATATGATTTTGATCTGAGTAAAAATCAATATGCCTGTGCATAAATGTAATGTGTTCTGGTAATTAATATGTGAATTGGGATTGTAGATTGGTGAGGGAGAAAAGCTAGTGAGGGCACTTTTTGGAGTTGCCAGTTGTCGTCAGCCAGCTGTAATATTTGTTGACGAAATTGATTCACTTCTTTCTCAGGTATGTCAGATCCAGACCCTTAAAAAGAAAGACAACCTGAAGTTGAGTCAGGGACCTACTGGATGGATATGGTCCTTCTAGCAGAATATTAGACACTGATTAATTTTTGTGCTAAAATGACATCTCACTCATTTGCCCTTATTGGTTATTAGTTAAATATGGGGAAATTGCAAATTATTTGACAAAAATTTGTGTTCCAACTTAACGATCTTGGTGTGGATTATGGATATACCATCAGAGACCAACATTGTGGTTTACAGAGTGCCACATCAGTATCCTTTTTAAACTGTTCATAGTATCTTGCCTTTGAAGATAGGTGTTCTGCTAAGAACCTCGTATGGTTGCAGCGCAAATCAGAAGGTGAACATGAATCAAGTAGGCGACTCAAGACACAATTCCTCATTGAAATGGAAGGCTTTGATGGTGGGACTGAGCAAATACTGCTTATAGGTGATTGTTTTAACTGCTGGAAAATTATTGTTTCTGAATTTTCAAGTCAGAAGTGACAACCAAGAACCTAAGTCTAAATTGGCACCCGTGCTAAGTCACTATTTGGCTAAAATTCTGGGAGTACTTTTCTCGCTTTAGAAAGAAGAACTGTTGATTGTTATCTTGCGTTTCTTAAGAAAGAAAATGTAGCTTTAGTTTCCTTTCTTTGAATGCAAATATGATACCAATGTCTACAAGTTAATTTGTTTGTTATATGAAATGTTGATCAAATCTTTTTAAAGGCATTTTTCCATTGAGTGTGAATTCAAAGCTCTACCTAACATGTTACTTGACCTTAAAGGGAAACTTTGAAATGTTTATCAATCCTAGCAACATATGTTTTTTGGTACAAAATATTTATTTCCAAAATCAGTGTTACCTCCAATTCTAACATTTGAAAATAATTCTGATTTTTTACATTAAACAGGAGCAACAAATAGGCCCCAAGAACTTGATGAGGCAGCAAGGAGGCGACTTACCAAGCGACTCTATATTCCTCTCCCCTCTTCAGGTGCATTATAGGCTTCTAGTATTTTTACCTTTCTCATTTGATCCAAGTTTGTGTCTAAGCATTTGTATTCGGGAATGAAGAAGCAAGATCCTGGATTATTCACAACCTCTTAAAGAAGGATGGGTTATTTAAGCTTTCAGAGGAGGATACTGATACCATATGCAAGTTGACCAAAGGTATCTGCTTCTTTCAGTTTCTATATAGTAAAACCTTGAGTTTCTACCTGGCTCGAATTCTCTTCATTTCTAGGTGGGAGTTGGTAGCTGCTAAACTTCTCTATCATAGTTTTGGGTACTATTTTGTAGTTCACTTCTTTCAGGGTATTCAGGATCTGATATGAAGAATTTAGTAAAGGATGCATCCATGGGTCCACTTAGAGAGGCTCTTAGACAGGGCATTGAAATCTCAAAGCTGAAAAAGGAGGACATGAGGCCGGTAACTCTTCAGGTAATAGCATGCAGACATGCCAAAGAATCACACATCACTTAGTTATGGTAGTTCATATCAGTTTTACGAAGCTTGGTTCTGTGCTTCCACTTAGGACTTTGAGAATGCATTACAAGAGGTTCGGCCCTCTGTTTCTTTGAATGAGCTCGGAACGTATGAAGAGTGGAACAAACAATTTGGAAGCTTATCACTTTAAAAACCATTTTGGTTGACAAGGAAAGAGACGGAATTTTACAGCCACTTAGAGCAGGATCTATCAGTGTGCATGGACTAACGATAATATCAAATCTATTTGTACTGCCAGCAGGTAACTTTCCAACTCGACCTTGCATTAATAGATGTAGTTCTCTTCCTGAATTGAGTACATAAACTCAGTTTAGTTTTCTACAGAAATCCTTTTTGTTAAATGTTAGGCGAATAGAACTAGTCAAGTTCTATATGGTATTTCTGTTCCAAGATTTATGATTTGAAAAATCTTGTTCCAGATGCACTAAAGTCGTGTCAAAGGGCTAAGACTACGTCCTTAAATCAAAGCCATGATTGTGAGTCGTGGTAAAGAAATAATGTTGTTGAATGCTAATCTTCCAAACGAGACAGTTATTATATGCACCAGTTGACATTGTCACCTTTGGCTCTCAGTAATTTGTTCAATTGTTTAAGCATTTGGAAAATATAGACATATTCACGATGTGCCTGCCCTGTTATATTACTGATCCTCATCTCATGAATTATCTTCGTGACAAATGCATGTAGTTCACCAATTGGTGTCTTTAAATCGTCGCTCTGATCCAACACCAAGCATTCTTTTGATTTTCCATATAGCAAAGGCGCCGCTGCTATGTCCAAATCTTAGGCAAAACAGGTAGAGAAGGGTCTGAGCAACTAGGATCGACCCTAATGAAACTTTCCGACTTATGTCAAATGAGTCTCCTTAGCAACTCTTGCACGTCCACTATGTCCATCTCCATTGCCAATGACAATATGATGGTGACGCCCATCTTGGCTCGAAAATCATAAATAAAAGCAGGTATGTGACTAATTTACAAGTTTGCACGCACGTTGCAGTATTTGTGATTTGGACTATAAAAGTTTGCACGTTGGGGGATCGCCAGTGTGGTTGGACGTGCTGAGACCTTTTATCAGGCAATCATTTTCCTTAATTTTTGACTTGAACGCTTGACACATGCACCTAAATTATGCTCGTGACTTGAACATGTTAATAATAGCACTTTGTTTTTCCTGTCGCCGACCAAATTAAGGGCCCTCCACTGTGACGGAGCCAGAGTCCTTCCCTAGCGAGGAGACAACCCTTTGGGTTGAAGAAAATGATAGAATGATAATAATCAAAACTCCAATGTTGAGTATGCCTTCAATGATTGGATTTGGATTTGGATTTGGACGTGTATCAAAGGATCCAAATTTAATCTAAAAACTTCAATCTAATATGTTTTCAAAACTCTTTTATAAATTCAACATAATTATCTAATAGATTTTGGTTAAACATTCTACATTCGATAGGTTAAATATTTGAAATCTTATTGAATTTGTAAGTCAATTAAAAATGAATTTTAACAAATTACATCTTAATTTTCATTTTATTTTATTAAACAACACTAAGTTTCATCATATACCAATGAATACATGCATATACAATATCTAAAATCAAAATTGGTGAAGTGTTACTATATAACTGAATTAGACTTAAATTGTCGGTCAATAATTTCAATTTGTTATTGGCTAATCAAATTGAATTTATTAACAGGCCTAAGTTTCTAATGTATGAAAGTATCTCATTTAAATTTCTAATATATGAAATTATTTCTAAATAAAAAAACAATTCCAACAGGGAGCAAGATTTTTAAAATGCAGGGGCGACAACTACCCCATTTGCCCCCACCCTCTGCCCCAGGCCCTACAAATCAAGAAATGTGAGTAAAACCAAGGGATCATAAACCAAGGATGGTTTAAAAAAGACAGGCTAGTATTCGAGATTCTCTCAAAAAATTCCATATCAATAGTTATAATCAAATAAAGCTAAATTACAATTTAAACATGTCAAGTCCTGTCTTGACAATTTGGAACAATCCCAAAAAAAATGGGATCAATTTGAAGTTTTTAGAATCAATTATAATGTGTAAAAGATCAAGCCCAAAAATTTAGAACCTCACTTGTTCAACCAGTTTCGAGTGGTAATTTTTTCAAATTTTTTTAGTAGCTACCAACGCGGTGCCATAGACTTTTCTGTGTAGATGGTTCAACGCGCATGAGGAAAATAGCTGGCTGAAAACATCATTTTTTGTGTCAGCTTGAAACTAACAGTCTACAACTGCCATTTAGCTTCGTGAATTCAAAAGCAGGTCCACCAGGCAGCAAGATGATCAAGCTAAATACCATTATTAAAATTATTATGTATTTTAATAAGCACGAAAGTGAGTCCCAGAGCAGAGCGTGTTAAAAAAGATACTCCCATTACCTTGTAATCTCGTATTTAGCCTACAGATTGGAGTGACCAACCCTCACATGCACCCGATGCCAAGAAGTGTTCAGGATCCCTCTCAAGTTCCAAATGACTTCAACATTTTCAGGTTGGACATTTCCAGCCGTATCCACCTGCCAATTACAAGATGGTATTTGTATTATTAAACAATAATAATTGCAGAATCGCAAGCAGCAGGACTCAATTCCATGCCTACGAGAGTCCAACAATAACAATTTTAGCAAAGTAGTATGAGAAACAATTAAGCCCATATGGGTTTCATTTACATTACATTATTATTGACCTCTCAAAACATTAAATAAATAACTTGGAATATAATTGGCTGCTACTAATTTAAAGCACACTGTTCTACTGCAATAAAGAAGTGATTTCATAAGCTAGAAAAACGTAATGTAAAGCAAGGATGAGCTAGGGTGAGTACAAGTCGGCCTTTATTACGCATCAAGAATAACAATCGAATCAGCATCCATGCTTGACCTCACACCAGCCTGCCCATTCCCACCCCTATTCATCAGAATATTCACTGTTTCCTTTTTTTTTTTTCTTTTGTAGGATTATTTACACATCAGATAGTTTATTTCATCAGTATTCGAGCTAAATGTATAATCTCAAGATCATATGATCACCAACTGCTATTAGTCATGGTTCTGAGAAAACATAGATAAATGGGCCTACGCTTGGTGCATATAATGCTGCTATGATACTTACCGCTTTGGCAACTATCTCTGCGCTTTGGGGGATATCAGCCGTGGCCTCAAAAAGCACCCATGCCCATTTGTCGCTACTTGTTTCATCGGCAATATACGGAATATCAGTTTTCTGGTATCTGGACGCTTCCAACCAGGTTTTGCCACCATCAATAGACACATCTACTCTCTCAATCCCACGCCCACCTCCCGTAACTGCATATCCCTTGATAGTTATCTGCACAACAGAACACATGAAAAAGAGCCTTTTGATAATTTACTTTATGCAATATCTAGAACAACCTGATTGGGTAGGAAGGAGAAGCATAGAAAGTTTATGGAATGAATCAATTCAAAAGATACGTGATAGAGACTATTAAAAATGTCAGGTATTAAAAAATGCAGAGGGAAAGCAACTATAACCCATCTCTTCTACTAGTCAGCAAAACTTTATGAACTTTCAGATTCTTAAAAATATAGTTAGTCATGTTATTTGATTTATGAATTAGATTGGCATTATTGAGTGATTTTGCAGAGGCTTCTAGATGCTGGAAAAGATTATTCTTGCCGGATGAAATTCAATTATGAAGTATGTTAGGAATATGTGTGTAATTGACTAATTTCATGAAATCTTATGTAATCTCAACCTAATTTCATGATCATCAAACTTCAAAGATCAAGATCCGAAACAGTCAAAGAAGGGAGTAGTTCAAGCAACAAAGCCTATCAAATGTTCTTCTACGCACATGCAAACTTAGAACAAAGATAACAACCTAGTGATCTAGATCCCTTGGTTTAATTTTAGACTTGATATGATTAGGGTTAAGAAAATGGAATTGAGAATATCTGTAAATGACACCACTTGATCAACATTCTTTAGTTCTCAAGGGGAGAAGTTTTTACTTGATTTTTGGCTTTAAAATTAGTAAGGACCACCCTCTACTCGCTCGTTTTCGACTGGAACAGTCTCTGAACGCTTAGAGATAAAATCAGAGAAGGCTATCAAGTTGAGCTGTAGAGATTGTCCAAAGGACGCTCAAGCAATTTGCAGACGACTCGAGCGGTCTTTGCCTACCAGACCTAATTTGATTCATTTTTTCATTTCAATAACAACCACCCTCTCACCACTCTCCCATTGATTAAGTGGTCGTTCACAAATTTTAATTTACTTGATTCCCAAGTTTGACCTAATTTCTAGCCTATATACAGAGGGAAGTCTTTCCAAGCTAGGAAAAGCCTTTTGTAAGCATATTCTCAACATTCTAACATCTAGTGTACCCAAAACCCAAAAAAAAAACATTCTAACATCTAGAGAGCCATCTAGAAAGCTAGATCCCTAAGAGACCGAGGTCATCCATCTTGAATTTTCATCTAACGTCACATAATGAATAAGAGATTCTTGCTTAGAGTTTACAAAACCTATTGAAAGAAAGTGCATTCCGATTATCTTGGGGGAGAAAATCGCTCAAAGAACCTAAACGATTGTTCAAGTGAAGCTGCCTATAACTTTGGTGGAGAAAACCAAAGGAGAGATTTACTGAATGATAGGAAGGAATATCTAATCATAGTATTAGTTGATGTATAAGTCTCGAATACTTATAAATTAACTTTGAATTAATGAATTAAGTTTGGTGAACCCCGAATGGTTCCCCATGCCAATTGGGTTTCCATGTTAACAAATTGATCGTGTTTTTTATTACTTTAATTTTGCATATATACTGGCAATTTTACACACACACGCACTATGTGTTTAATGGTTTTATTGTTCATCTTTCAATTCATTGAAAAATGGTTTTGTAATTAATTGGGTTGGTTGGGATCATTATCGTGGTGAGATTTTGTGTTAAATAATCAATTGACATATTCTTGCACTAATTCCCATGATGGGGTTTTTAGAGTGTTAAAAAGGGTTCATTGTATTGGTAATAGTGGTAGGTTATATTTAAAATTGGTGATTGTTCAAGCTTTAATTTGAATCAACCTATTCACACACCCCCCCTCCCCAACTGTAGGTTGTGTTTAGTCATAATCATAAGCGACGATCCACCACACATTGCATTTCCCCAAAGTAGGATGTGTACAATTCACAAGGTTTGTGTATACAGGTTCTTTGCAATGAATAAGGTATTCATACACGCGTACAAATATCAGAACCTGTAATTGAAGATGTCACTGACCTTTCCATGCTTTACCACATTCACATCCTCCAAGGAACATATTGCACACTGTCAAGCAGCAAACATTTTTGTAGGAGTTAGATAATTGTCACCCTGCAACAACTTCAACTTCTTAAAAAATAAAAGCAAATTGTTGCCATTTCAGCCACCATCAGGCGGTGACTCACAATAGTTACAATAGATCCTTATCCAATGCTTGAAGAACCCAGACTGCATCAGACAACCAAAGCTCTGGAAACAACCAATGGTGTTGTTCTGTTTTCATAGGCAAAGTTTTGCAATACAATAACCAATAAAATATGGAAATGGATTTTAAGGGCACATGTAAAGAGTTAATACTACATTGAAAGAGTGGTGTAAAAAATAAGTATTAAGATACATTGAACGGGTCACCACCTACACACTACAACATTTAGGCTAGTTGTGTTCTAAACATGTATGTTGGGTTTGTGATGTTGGACACCCCCCAACAAGTGATACATGTCCTGACACGATCTTGGATGAAGTATCCAACTGATGACTCACACTAGTATAAATGACGGCTCTTAAAAACGATGTTTGGAGTCATCATAACGCAACATTCGCGCACAGTGTGCTCCCAATAAAGTAAGTTAGGCCTCAAAGCTCTCAATGGAGAGGCAGTGATTGGACTCTCAATGAAACAGGACATGGGTCAATTAGTGTAACAACTCTCGAAGGAGTTGTGGATTCTTCATGGAACGGGATACACGCCACTGGGTGATAGAGTGACGACTCATGAAGAGCTATCAAAGCTTGGTTCTTGGAAGCACGCACTTTTGTAAAGAGTGGTTCCGACACAATACTTGTGTAGAGTGGTGGATCAAACTCAGAGAGTTGAAGTCGAAGTGGTTCATAATTGAGGGAAATAGCGACCCATGTAAGGGACTAATCCCACACTGGAAGAGTGGTGCCAAAATTAAGGACCGACATACATTGGATGAGCTCACTAACTGCATACTTGAATTTTTTGGTTGGATTGAGTCCTAAACACGTATAATGGGTCTTGCGTTGCTGTACTCGATTTCCCCAACAAGGAGATCTCTAAATAGATTACTAAATGGTTTCATCTTCATGATTTGCGTTAGATATTATTTTCCAATCCAGCCTTTGGTGCATTCAAATCTTTACAAGAATGCGTCTGTGGTTACAAATGTAGAGTGTCACGAAAAGGAAAAATCAAGAAAATACCTGTACAGGGAAATCCATTTGCGGTCTACGGGTAGACCAATCGATGTTGTCCCAGTTAACTGAGGGAGGAAACATTTTATAGTCCTTTTGCATAAAGAAACCCTGTAAATTGCAATATGAGTTCAATCTCAATGTACACTGAAGATGAGAAGGTATGACCATATTTAAAAATAAGCAATGTGAACCTGGCATTCTTCTGGGATTATATTGATGGAATCAAGCCATTTAACAGAACGGGCACCAATGACACCTGGGACAACCACACGCAATGGATAGCCATGATCCCTTTTAAGAGTCTTTGGCATCATTGCGCACCAGTAAACCAAAATTTGAGTGGTAAGAATACATTCATAGGAAGAAACGAAAGGATAAATGATGTAAATGCCAATATAGCAAATAATACACAGCTGAGCAACAACATGTTCCTGGTCATGAAAGACATGTACAAACAAGAACGATAGCAAATAACACATGAAGTTTCATGGTTAATATAGAAAAAAATACACAGCTGAGCAACATGATGTTTCATTGTCATGAAAAACATATGTACAAGAATCATAGATTGATTATCTTGTTAACGTAGTATAATTGCCTACCCTAATTGTTGTAGAACAAAAGAACTGGAGCCGATGTTTAAAAAGCACTGGATATATAACAACCGTGATCACCGTTAAGTTTGTACCAAGAGTCATAAAAACAAACGCAGTCCTGAACAAATAAGCAAATATTACCGCTCCATTCATCTCATATGCAAGTAAAACATCAGCTTCGGGGTTCGTGGCCTGACTTAACGGGATTGATGCCTTATAAGGACCACCATTCTCCTCCTATACATAGCAACTTATCATTGAGTCACGTCATTAAACAGTAAAGTAAGAAAAACAATTTTCTCACATTTGTTTTTGGGGGTTGGATGGGGATGGGGGAAATAAAGTATCATGTAAATAAGATTTAGAAGGTTTAAGGCAATAACCTTACACTTATCAATGCTCACGAATTCCACATGTTTCCCACCTGATGGCGTGGTGCCAGTAAACTTTGGTATTCCAAACAGTTCAAGGACATCTGCCAATTTGGCACCACCCCAGACAGCTGAAAATTCATGTTAGGCATATGAGAAGTTAGAAACAAATATTGGAACAAGAAGAATCAATCAGCATAAACAAATATCCATTAGAAGACATATTCAGCTAGATATAAGCTAAAATGAAAAACATACTCGGCTGCACACAACCTTATCCCATGTATTTGAGGTAGTCCATTAGAATCTTGTGTCGATATTTCTCTGTCTATGGCTGTCACCCCATTTCAATTACTCACCACCATAAACACGTGTTGCTCATGGTATATACATGAGAGAAACACAAATGTTGCTTTTCATATTCTTACTAAGCTACAAGAAGTTGCATCCAGATCTCCATGCTGAGGTATTGCCCAAAAGACCAGCTTAATTTAGCACTCACAAGCATGAATACCTATGTTTAAAGATCAAACTGTGTCCCCCACGAAGCACACAAGATTATATTTCATCACATAGGATTTGTGAATCACTCAAAGGTGAGTTTAATTGAGTTGTCACCATTCTCTGCATAATTACAAATTCAACAATCTGCTGTTGGCAGATCATCCAATATTTAACATCAAGTCCTTAATTTAAACCTTTTAATTTTCACATTTATTGAATAGTTGTGACAAGGAATTACAAAACTCAATCTAGAATCCATGACGAAGAAACTAACCATTTCCCAAAGTAGCAACGTCCCAGCCAACTCCTTTCACCGTTTTGATTTTGCTCATCGCAGTCCTTCTATTACCCGCACACTACAGAAGTTGAAGCAAGCGATATTAACAATTACTAATTAATTAGGAAAATACCTCATCAGACTCTATTTTATGACCTAACCGGAGACAGTCCCCAACCAGACAAGTTCAAGAACAATATGCCCCCGAGATTTGTTGAAAACATACCTGTAAAGTGGCAGTGATGTTATACTTTGGAAGCTTCCTGTTATGTATAGATACAAGTTAATAACTCAAGCACTCTACATTAATGGTAATATTTTTTAATAGCATACACTACAAACCACAACCAACCACTCACCAAATATCTTTCATGAAAATATTTTTGGGATTTCCAGTTAGACCAGTTATGGAAACACAATATCTGCTCAGCAAAAAAAAGGTCATGTCTATAAATTAGAGCCCATAGACTCCAAATATAGGGGAAACTAATCAAAAGCAGGCCAGAGTAGGACAGGACAGTGACCTTTCTATGTCATCAACAACTGGTATTGGTCCATGGTTTCTCTTGTAAAACAAATCCACCGGAGTCACATATGAGGAAATCAAGGCTGATCGAGGTGGCTCTGCATTGAAGGGTTCCTGCACCATAAATGGAAGAAACAGTAATTGCTTATAAAATTAGGAAGTCAAATGAAAAACGAAAAAAAAAAAAGAAAAAAGAACATGCAAATCAATATATTATAATGTGCTGATAAATTGAAAATGATGGAGTCAGAATACAAAATATCTCTGGAAGTCAAATTTATATGAATAGTATTAAGTAAACAAAGTCCCAGAGTGCAATGACCCCCAACTTTGTAATAGCATGCTTTTATCAGGTTAGGACAAAATTGTAATATAATAGCTCCATTCACACCAACTCCTACAATGCGGAGTTATCGATTCAAATGAGCAAGGGCAAATGGATATTAATCTATATAATTTTACAAAGTAGACGAAATGAGCTGACATCCAAGAAAAAAATATAAAGTTTCAATTAAGAAAAAATTCACAAAATGTGGTGCATCAAATGGACTCTCAAGAGCACATCCTCATAATGCTAAAAATGGAGGTACTACTAGAAGGTAAAAACAAAAATAAAGCCATCATCAATACATCGTTTTCCTTTTCCGCGCGTTCTGAAAGAAGAGAATGTGCACAAACGATCCATAATTTGCTTCTGATCTATTCTGATTCGGAAAAAAGGTTTACTGGTAAGTCCTGATAAAGAACGATCATCCACACACACACACACACACAGAGATCATATTCATGGTTCAAAACTTTGCTAGAATAATCGGATCAAGTCCAATAATACAGCTCATCAAATTTAAATTAATTCAGGAGCACGATCTAAGAAATGAATAGGTTTAAGCAAATAAGGAAAAGAGACAGGATTGAATGGAAACTCTCTCGCCTTCGCATTAACTTGAAGGCATGGATGACGAGGTGGTTCTTGTGAATAATCAGATGGTCCTATTATTCCCGGCATTCCTAAACTTCCTTCCTTCTTCAAGGCACTTGCCTACGCACAGAATGAGAAAGGTGGCGACTGGAGAGAGAGAGAGAGAGAGAGAGAGAGAGAAATACAAAACAGAACAACAAAAAGCGTGTTGTTTGGTTTTTATTGGGTCTCACAAGGAGATCAATACAAAATATTTCTGGTAACGTTACTAGTCGGTCACGAAGTACAGCAACACCGCCACGAACCCATTATCGGAGCTGATAGATGAAACCAGGAGATACAAATTGTATTGCAAAATAGCGGTGAAGATTCCGGCTGTGAGCTTGAGTAGTCCGTGTCATGTTACGATAGCAAAATTAAGTTGGCTGCTTAGTCATCAGGGACCCATCACACCTCGGTATCCACGGTGGGTGGCAGTTTGTAGATTTCCGTCAATTGTTATGTCCCCGTTCGTTATGTTTGTTATTGAGAATGGTGTTAAATCTTAGGACAAATTTTAAGAAGGTAATATACTACTCAATGGTGATTTTAAAATTGGCACAGAACCAAGTCCGGTTAGGTCTGCTTTACAACAATGGTCTTACACAAGACTCCAAACACTACTTCATCCCACAAGGCAATGCTGCCATTGAGATTGTCCGAAGGAGGGTGTTTCAGCTGGCATACAAACGGCGAGAGAACTCAAGGAGGGTCGTAGTTAATACTTTGGAATTTATGATGGGGGATGCAAATGAGTGTGTATCGGAGATTTCATAATAGGAATTCAAGCGGGATCTACGGCACAGAATTTCACCATTCAGAGCAATGGGACCGGATCACCCGAGCAATTCTCCCTTACATTCAAGGGAGAGTCAAGTCCAACTACAATGAGTAGTACAAGGCTAGATAAAGATGGTGCCTTCTGTGGTCCTGTGATTGATAGTCTGGTTTTTGAGTGCTTCGTATGCGATGAATCCACTTCTACAGAACACTGTTCTAATTGCTCTGTTTTTCATGGTGGCTCTTACTTCATTAACAAAGACCATATCTTTTTTTCCTTCCTCAATGATCAAATAGCACTGCTGCTCTTAGTTGGTAGATATCAATTTCTTGTTTCTCCTTATAAATTAATGCACTTGGGTAACATTTAATGTATTCACTGCCGTAAATTGAACAAGATTACCAACATTGACACTATAACAAAACCGCGAAAATATAAGTTATATAATTGAGCATGTTTTCACTGGGCAAACCAAGAATTGTTCAACGATGCAATATAATGATTGTATATGGTATGGTAATTGGGTAAAGCTTCTTCAGAACCTCACATCCTTTCTATTTACATAAGATTGACCAACAAAAACTTCCCAAGTCATTTTTTTATATATATTTACAACAGCTAGATAAACAGCGATTTTCTTGCAGAAACTTCTGTTCATATTCAATCTGCACCCCTCTCCCGCACTCTTCTCCATCTTGCAGGATGATCTGATACATAAAACAGATAAAATCAAGAGAAATCAAAGTTGAGGACAGCTAAAGAGCAACAAGAACATTTCAGCAGCAGAACAGCATTACACTTGATGTGCATCATATCATATGGTAAGACATTTCTATTGATGGGGCCAAACTACAAAATCCACCATGCAAAACTGGACGACTAGCAACCTTTTTTTTTTTTTTCTGGCAATTTATACACACAAAGAAATATAAAATCAAAACGGGGAAATGAAAATAAAAAGGGAACAATTGTACAAATAAATCTGATGGGTAAAGTCATCTATTCGTGTCAATACTCATCTTCAAACCCCAAGTGCAATATACATAAAGAGGCCAGCCATATCCGTTCCTTCTGCCATGGGTAGGACCATACAAAGTTGGTCATGAATCTCCAAATGAACACAAAAACTAGTTTCTGCATTTCAAAGGTTCTGGAACGCGGCACATTAAAAAAAAAGTTAATAAGATTTACCATATAACTGAAAATACTCAAATCGTATTAGATTTCAACATCCATCTTCAGTACATCACTAAGCTTTTTGCAAATTATTGATCTGGCCTGCACGTTTCAGAAGGAATCTATATTCTTGACTTCGTGACCAGTCGTCAATCTCACGAGCACGTAGAACAGGGAGAGGATGTGAAAGTTGCCTTGTCTGAGCATTCCTGAACACAATTGAGTAAATTAGGCAACTGTATCAATGCTTTAGTATCTCCTCTCCACTTTTTTAATGCTCCCCACTTGCTTTTGCTTACCTTATGTACCATCCCACTGGGCTTGAAGAAGCTTTGTCATAGGAGCGAGCTTGATCCAAGAATGCATCCACATTTAGTTGATCAGCCAGAGATGGGCAGCCCCCAGATAATTTCATCAGAACGGATATGACCACCTCTTGTAGGAGAAGGAGAAGAAAATAAAATTGTGCACTGTGTTTGACAATGATAATAATCACTCCAGTGAATGAAAATCTGATTTTGTATACCTTTGGGTCCTGAGCAACAAGAAGGGCTGCGCGATCACAAGTAAGCTCTGCAGCACGGATCCACCGGAAAAGCTGTTCTTCTAATATCTGAGCAATTAGACCACCCAGTCCTGTAAATAATAAATTTATCAAAAAACAAAAGATGAATTATGATAAGAGCATCGACAATCTTGACATCATGACAACTGTCTGAAAATGGAGTAAACATGATCTTTTTTTTTTCCCAGAGAGATCCACAGACAAAGTTCACATTACATGCATGTAATTAGAACTTAAATCTTAACTTCAGTCACCAAAATAAAGAAATGGCCTTCTAGTCTCAGTTATGAAGGTAAACAACATTCTTATAAGCACAGGCGCATGCACGGCATAGTAGAAGTTTACTCTTCTGAAATGGATCGCTTCGCCTGTATATAGTTATAAGAAAACAATTATAGTCAAGCTTGTTAAAAATGAGTGTATCCTGCACCAAACACACAATTTCTTAAGAATCAAGGATAACAAACACCCGAATAGTGTACCATAATCATACTTCTAACTTGTATTCCATATATTAACATGGGAGAGAGAGCAACAGGAACTGAGGAATGAGTGATCATGTCTAAGCTTGTTAACCAAAATTCAGGTAACAACCGAATCTGGTAAGTTAACATGGACAATGTTCCAAAAACAAATCATAAATATTCGACTCAATCAAGTGACACCAATCAAATAGAGGGAAAAAACCATTATGATTTTGACTATATGGAGGAAGAAAAATAAAAATAAAAGAAACACCTACCAGGTACACTATAGGCCCCAAGAATAAGAATATTTGCAAATGTCAGCCATACACCATGGTCACATTTCAGGTGACCCAACTCATGAGCCAAAACGGCCTGTGTATGAATTGGACAGCAAAATTTCAATAGCATCAAACCATACCAACAACAATAATACATATGCAAAACATATACACATGTAGACTAATAACCCTCAACCTTTTACCTCCAGGTGAATGTGGAACCTACCTTCTGTCCCCTTATGGTTATGTACTACTGTGTATTATTATATTGTATGTCAGACACCAAAATGTCAAATTTACTCGAGAAATAAACAAGTTGAAATGACATGCATCCTCTCATATGTTTCCTTCTTCTTCAAGTGCTACCAACAAAATCTCAATTGCATCAATCATACCTGCAACATGCGTAATAGTAGAACGAATACAATAGAAAGCAAATACACCTGTAGGCTACTACTAATAACCCCAACACTTCATTCCCTGTCATTCTACAACCTACATTTTCCATCAAAATTGACAGTCAAGCACCATAAATTTAAATTTTTAAATAATTAATACTATTTTTCTTATCATCATCATCATTGCAAGATGAGGAGGTCATATCTCAATGTTGAGAAGCCAACACAAATGAACTTAAAAGATTCTATTAACTGTGAACATTTGATGCATCCTTCAAACTATCAAATGAACAAATTGATAATTGAGCATAGCAAATAATCACAAACATGCTTGTTATGAAAGGAATAAATGGATACCTGTAACTCCTTTCTTGACAAAAGCTCCACAAGGGTAGTGTGAACAACAACAAAAGGCTTTTTACCGCTGATAGCTAGAGTATATGCATTGGGTATTGGACTTTGACGCACATACAAGTCAGGAGCCTCAACATTCAGTACTCTCGCAGCCTCAACCATCAATTGATGAAGTTCAGGAAGCTGAGACAACATGTTAACACAATCACACAAGCAGACAGAGGTATACCATTGCAACTAGAATGATGCTCAGTTAGCACAATCAGACAAGCAGTATAGGTACACCATTGTAACTGGAATGATCTTGCAGGACATTAGTGATTGATTCTGAGAAAGACGAAATATTACAATATAGGTACTTGTTTTCATATGAGACATGAAGCATCCAATAAGAATTTGGATAAAAATACAAATAATCAATAATCATAACACAATATCTGAACTTGCAGGGTATTCTCCACTAAGAAAAACATGGTGTACAGAATGTGGAATGCGCAAAACAATCGCAAGCCGGGAATGCCTCAAAGCTCCACTACAGAAGAAAAACATGTGCTTTAAAAATCAGAACTCCGATGATGTTACGATCGAAATATATAAGGATCCAGATTTGACGTCTTCCATCAATCCTAAGGCTTTGGGTGTATTGATCTGGATTCCTGAAGAAAACTACCACAGACGTAATGAAGAAGATATAAACGAAAATGAGACACCTAGGGGAAGCGTTTCTCAAAGGTTCATATGGAAACTTCAGTCATGGGGCATACAGTTCAAACTTCAAACCATTGAAGTAACAGACACCATATCCAAAGTAATGAATATGCAAAGATGTATGAGATTCCTAATATCAAGAACAATGACAACTTAATGGCCTTTGATATGTTTGTAACATTCATATAACAACTGCAAGAGAAAAATCTCCACAGAAACATACTCGAAAAAAATTGAAACATTATGGAAATAGAGTCTTTTGAAAGGTGTACATTTGTCTGCATAAAATAGACAAATTCTTCATAGAATGGATAGTTACTACATATGTCTACAAAGAATGCATCCATCAATACCAAAGAGCATAGAAAGACAAATTCAAAAACAACTTCAAAAACAAACAACAAATCTGGATGGGACTAAGGATATCTAAAAATTCAAAGAGGTCCAATATAGAAACAATGTAAAATTTTCCAATAGTATCTGTCTTGCTCAGCAAAGTTGTTTACTGAGCATCAACCAACCTGATTTTCAGAAACAAGAATTGATGTCCCTATATTCTCAAGAAGCATGACCTGCTCTGCAACAGTTCCTGCAGTGAAATTTTCAGACAAACTGGTCAATACAGGTACCAACCTAAAATTCTAGATGATGAAAGAGAAGCACACTAACATATGTTCCAACTGACAGGAGAACAAGAAGATTTATGATTTTTATATTACTGTAAGTAATAAAAGTTGCATTTCCACTATCAGTGGACTTTAACATCAAAGTATAATTCACTATATTTTTTTTTACAAAATTATAATGATTTATGAAGAAAAACAAAAAACTTGGCCATCTCCTCCCAAGCCATAACGGTGGGCAATTCAAATCCAGCTCCCATCTCTCAAGCATTTTCCATGTAGAATTCTTCTTTCTGTAACAAGGTGGTATCCAAGCTTCTAAGAGCACCCCACACGAAGTCCCCCAGTCCCACGTGGCCTTGACAGTTATTATAATAAAACCCAAGGATTGCCATGAGGGGAGATCCAATATCAGGGGCTCTAACTTCTTGTAGTGGGCTCCTAGTCACCTTGTCTACCGGATTCTTTTTCTTTTTCTTTCTCGTTTGGTTTTGCTGCCGGGAGTGCATGATTACTCCAAAAAGTGAATAGAAATAACCAAAGAACATCCATGAAAGCTTGCAGATGCATGTGTGCACACCTACACAGGGTGGCCATGGCCCTCAGCAAGGTAAGGCCTTTACCTTTCTAACTCTTGATATCTCACAGAATGTGAAGGCCAGTGAAAATGGGATACTAACTGAATTTGAATTCACCAAAGTATGAACAGTACTAAAGCGCAGACAACAAACTCCATTACAGACGAGTATAATGATCGTGCAACCAATCTTAGATTGAGTGTTATTGATATAAATGAAGCACTCAAGAAGTTCACTAAATCTCCATCGCAATATTAGTCAAATATGCCTACTCAATTACTTGAACTTAAAACTTGTATGAAGTTTAATACATAGTAAAGCTCAAGTTTAATTAATATAACTACCACTTTTCATCACCTAATAAAGCCTTTCCAACCTCGTTCAAACCTGGAATTGCCCTCAAAATCAATGTATTCTGAAACAAAGATAGAAAAAGGGGGAAAAAAAGATCAACATTAATTTCGGCAGAGAGTGATGAAGTACTGAACTGCAAACAAAACTTATGAATTAGACAATCGGTTACAATCAAAACTGAATATGAAATCACTCCAACCAAGTTGTCGTGAAACAAACTAGATTGATCGGATCGATAGTTCACCTGTTTATCGAGAGGATGTCTGAAATCATCAGCATCGAGATTGCAAAACACAACAGAGGTAGCTCTACAAACAGAAACCCAAGTTCTTCGATTCTTCTTCCGTGTTCCCACTCCAACAGAAAACGAAGTCAACAAAGGAATGTTGACAGTATTAAACCCGACAGAAAGAGGCGAACCATTCGCAGTGAAGATCGATGAAGAAAGATAAAAGGAATCCATAGAAGCACAGCACAGAAGCAAATACAAACAAAAGAGTTCCAGAGCCGTAAGTTAACGACTGAATTCTGCTATCTGCTCCATTGGTGTAATACACACACACACGGACCGTGTTTGTTTGATTTGAGCGTAGGTTTTTTACGACCACAGCCGTACTCGTGGTAGTAATTCGCCGCCATCTCCTTTTCCGTTGACCTTTATTAGACCAACTCTATCCCAACCCTTCAAAATGATTATTTAAAGGGAAAATTTCAATCATACCCTCTCTAATTTATTATATCTTTAAAAACACTCTCTCTAATTTCTGAATTTTTAATGATACCCTTGTCAGATTAAAAATATTAAGTAGAATGTAATTTTACTAAATTGTCCATAATATATTTGAGGACAAACTCCATCTACACCCCCTCTAGATAAACATTTCTTCAATGAAATCCTCTCTAGATAAGTATATTTTCAATGAGACCCCCTTTATTTTTTAATTTTTTTTACGTAATTAAATTTGGATCGATTAAAATTCGATTTAAGCTAATTAAAATTTATTTTTTTACATATTAAAATTTTTGCTAATTAAAAATTATATATTTTTTACGTATTAGAATTTGGGCTAATTAAAATTTTGTTTGAGCCAATTAAAAATTATTTTTAATCGACTCAAATCAAATTTTAATCAGCCCAAATTTTAATATATAAAAATATATGAATTTTAATTGACACAAATTTTAATAAGTAAAAAAATATAAATTTTAATCGACTCAAAAAAGAATTTTAATCAGCGCTAACAACTTTGGTAGAGTTCAAATCAGCTCAAATTTTAATAGGCTCGATTTTTTTTTAAATTTACGAATTAGTAAATACACCAATTTTAGTATTTACTAACAAATTATTTTATGTTTTTTTTAAAAATTTTAACAGCTCGAATTTTAATAAAAATTTATGTAAAAAAATTACTTGAAGTTATGTAAGGGCATTTTTTGTATTTTAGATGAATTTTTGTTGTTATAAATAGTAGTTAATGTTAGGGGGTATTAGTGATGTTTAAATTAAACTAGAAGCGATGTCATTGAAGATTCAGAAACTAGAGGGGTGTCGTTGAAATTTTTCCTTATTTAAAAGACAAGGTTATTAGAACGTAAATTATTGATCTAATTTATTAACTTAATTCACTATAATTTTTGAATTAATTATAATTAAGTAATACTAAGTGGATTGAAAAATTAGATTTAAAAAATAAATTTGATAATCATAATTATTGATTTTAATATAGATCTTAGTATTTTATTGAAACCCACTATCTATTTAATAGTTCTCATTATCAAGTTTATTTTTTAACTCTAATTTTTAAGTCCACGTCATATAACTCTAGTTAAAATATATTTAAATATTATATTATCTATTTTTGTTTATCACTTTTACAATTTCATTTCAACCACGTTTTCTATTTTAATTAATTATTTTTCCTAATTTTTATTAATTTTCTATAATTTAAAGAGAATTACAATATATATAGAGAGAGAGAGACAAATTGGAGAGACTAAATGGTTCTTTGAAGAGCCATTTGGGGGCTAATCTTAACTTAGATTAAAGATTACTTAAATTTTAATTTGTACTTTTAAAATTTAAAAATATTAATTTATACCCTAAAATAACATAAATTTATATTGATATACACTTAACGCAACTCCGTCCATTTTTTCATTAAAAAAGTTTGTCTAATTATTAATTATACCCCTCAAAATTTAAATATTTTTCATATTTATGATCCAAAAATAATTATATTCATTAATATTTGTTAAATAACTCTTAATTGTATTGTATCATAACATATATATGTTATGTCCGAATCAATAAAAAATATTTTTCAAAATTTTAAAAAAATTTATAAAATACATATTTTTTGCTTATAATACTTATTAAATAATTATTTTCTGTTTACAGTTAGATATAAATCTTTTGATTGTTCAATCAAATTAAAATTATATACAAATAATAGAATTATAGACAGAAAATAGTTATCTAACGAGAATTATAGATAAAAAAATGGATATATTTAAATTTTAAAAAATATTAAATAGTATTATATAAATTGTCGTAAACGTAAATATATGATACAATGTAATTGACTCGATATTAAAATAGTTTTTGTGTTAAAAATATTTTTTTATTGACTCGAATATGACACAAAAATATTATGACATGATACAATTGAGAGCTATTTAACGAATATTAATGGATAAAATTCTTTTTTGGAACATAAATATGAAATATTTAAACTTTGAGTGGTGTAATTTATAATTAACCTAAATTTTTTTAACGGTAAAATATATGAAAGATAGTATCAAGTGTACATTGATATGTATTTATATCTTTTAGGGTATAAATTAATATTTTTAAATTTTGAGGATATAAATTAAAATTTGAGTGATCTTTCAGGATATAAATTGAGATTAACTTGTCATTTGGGTAAAATAGAAAATAGAGAGTTAGACAAAGAATAGGTTTGAGAGTGTTTTAGTCTTTGACTAACAAAAATAGCTAAAAAAGAGGAAATAGAGAGTGAGTTAGAGTTGCTATTAGTACACAAAAATTCTATTTAATTAGAATTAGGGGCAAGGGTGGGTTATTTACGGGAAAGAAGAAAATTTTAAGTGCAGTTTCGTAATTTGACGGTCATTAATACGGCGTCGTTATAGCTTTGAATTCTTCTTTTCTTCTCAATATTAAGGCTCTGTTCCCCTGGTCCGCCATCTAGAGGAGTTGTTGAACACAGACTTCGCAGGGCAGAGTTGATCGGAATATAGCAGCAGATTATTGCTTTGCTAAAGCAAAACCACATGTACTCTATCTGTCTTCCACATTCGGAAAAAACAGAGACTTCGCATGACTGTAGCTGTTATTAGTATTGATTGTGTAATTGTGATGTTAAAATTTATAGGAGGCATTCGGTGAATCGTCCTCCGACACCAGATGTACGGGATGATCAAGAAAAAGAGCCTACGCTTCAAGAAATTATCAACATCAAGGTTCCTTTTTTTTGTGTGTGTTTTGTTTTCTCAAATGTATGGGTCTTGAAAGTTTTCTTTGTATTAGGTTTTAAATTGGTCGTGATTTTCAAGGAATTAGTTGATGTATATACTTGACTTAATATAATAATGGGTTGCATAATTTTGGGTACTTGGTGAATGGCTCGATTGGTTGCCTCTACAGTTGATTGAGAGTGGAGAAAAAGAGAGACTGATGGAGCTTTTGAGGGAAAGGCTTGTGGAATGCGGGTGGAAAGATGAAATGAAATCTCTTTGCAGGTTTTGGCAATTTTGTTGTGTTTTACTAGTTTCCGTACCTTCAATTTTTGTCATATGTCTATGTGCGTGCTTTTTTCTTTTTGGTGTGTGCAATGTGTTTCTTTTTCAGCTTCTGATTCTGGTTTGTGGAGGTATTAGGTGTGCTTTTTGAGTAACTGGGATTATTGATCATATTTATTTGTTTGATTGGCTAACTATAAAATGCTGTAAACTTTTGCGGAAATCAACCTTTTTGATGAACTGTCAGATCCAGCGTCTTGGCTTACTATGAGTGGTCAAATGTGCCTTGCAATGTGAAGTTGATAGTCAAAAATCTAATGCACTCTTGCTGGCTCCGTTTTTCTGAACTTGCTATTCAAACGCCTTCACTCAGCGCCAATGTCCCAAATTTTGATCTCCCACTCATCCATCCTTGCTTTTTTACCTTGAGTTTTGACCCAAATGCTGTTAATCTGATAAACAAAATCACCGAATCTAGTTTGACCAGATTCTATTTCCCAAAATATGTTTGTTTTGCCAACTTGGATGCCACATAAGACCTGAGCGAGGCACAATTCTAAAAGTGTCCATTTGAAATGGAAGCTTGGAGGCTTTTAGAGGGTGGCCCAATGCACAGATTCCACCATTGCAAGGTCTGAGGAGAGTCAGATGTACGCACTTTTACCTGCGCATGCGGAAAGACTGTTTCTGTGACTAGCTGGAGGGAAATTATCCGTTTCATCAATTGAGGCTCTTTTAATAAAACAAATCGTATGTTTCTATTGGAACGTAGATACGTATTATAAGTAAACCCTTTGTCTTCAATTAGAAGGCCACCTGTATCTAGAGTGGTGCTATTTGAATTTTGTTGACATTTGGAAATCTGTCTCAACTATTTGTCATCATAGGGCATTTGTTAAGAAGAAAGGAAGGAATAATGTTACTGTGGATGACCTAGTACATGTGGTCACCCCAAAAGGCCGAGGTAATATTTTCTTCCCTTTTTATTAAAGAAAAAATTCCATTGTCAATTCTTTCAGTGTTCCATAGCCATAGGCATGGATTTCTTTTCTGTTACTACTTTTATTAGTGTGTTTATGGGGGGTTGATAGTTATAACTTTCCAGCTCATCATTCTTTATGCATGGAATGTTTATATGTTTTTGTGTGTATTCTTTGAGTCCTCCATCTTGGGGCATGGTATTGGCGGTCTTGCCAGTAGTAGACATCATAAATTATGCAATCCTGGTGGAGATTGGGTGGGAAGACTGTGGTCTTGAGCCCTTGGAAGTAGAAAAACGAACTTATATATCAAGGTATACAAAAATTGTCACCTACGTTGGACAACTCCAAAATTTGAAAGCCAATGGTTGAATGAGGTAGCAAGGCAAGGAATTGGTAAATGAACTAACACAAGCATAACAACCACATGTTATTTTGTAGGTAGTTTTTGGGAGACTGTTAAGTTTCACTGGTTCCTCCACATCCTGGCACTTATAGATTAGTTCCTCACTGCATCATGTTTTCTGATTCGAGACATTTCTGGCATTAACGTTTTTTGGCTTTTCTATGTTTGTTGAGGGGTAGAACGTCAACCTGATTTTCTATGAAGCTCGTCACTCTTGAACTGGTGTCTTCCATGGAATTGTTAAGGACCCTTTTTTGTTCTTGGGGTATGAAAACTAATCCAACTATAGATAAAGGATTTGGTGCTTAGAGTGGAAATTGGGTGTGCGGTTGCATTTGGTGGTTGGTTTATTTGGTTGAATCACCACTATGATTTTCTCAATTTTTTGCATTAATTTGGTTGGAAGTTATTATTTTGCTTGTCTGTAATCTGCCTCTCTTTGTTGTTGCAGCTTCAATCCCTGATTCAGTAAAGGCTGAATTGTTGCAAAGGATTCGAACCTTTCTGGTTTCTACCACTCTTTGAAGTATCAGCCTAATATGGGAGGGCAAACAGGATTATGGCTCTTCGCTTCTTTCTTTTGTCTGTGTGTGATCCATTGTGAGTCCGTGTGTTTTCCAGGGTCTTTACTGCTTTGAAGCTTCTAATTCCTCTTCTTTTGCTTGCTGCTGATCTCACGTCAAGTTTGATATTTCCCTGAACACATCTAAATGTAGTAAGATTAAGGAACTTCATGAAAATGATGACTGATAGGCGATAGCTGTGGGTTCAAATGTCTCTTTTAAGGCTTGGGGAAGTCGTATCGTAATACTAATGTTGAATGAAATCCATTTGCAGACTCTTTGTAATCATTCAAATTGATATTTCCCTGAGCACATCTAAATGTAGTAAGATTAAGGAACTGAGATGCTGCATGCTTATAGTTAAAGAAATTTTGTTATCCTGTAACAGCTATTTTATGGCCTACTTGTCCAGTCAAATATATGAAATAGCTAATTAATTTATATTGAAGAGTCAAAGAACAGAAAATATCGTTCATTGTGGATGGATGTACTCACAATTGACATAGTTTCCTTCGTAGTATCTGTGTGGACCAAGGAAACTCGAGTTCTCCCAGGATATATAAATTGAGCAACCGATCTCATGGGTATGAAAATGCAGCAAATAGTACTGTAGTCAAGATTCTAACATGGACCAGCAGGGCATGACACCCACATATCAGTGAGCTCCTTGCAGAAGTTTCGGCATAGTGTTTCCTTACTGTGCTTCGATTCCAGATTCTTATCAAATTTCAGTATGGTTAAAACATCACGAGAGAGAGAGAGAGAGAGAGAGAGAGAGAGGGGCGCAGGAAACTCATCCATTGCACGAAATGAAAACACATGAAGGTCGTCTTCTTTAAAGGACTCACACTTAGCAATTGTTCTCTTCAGAGTCATCTATTACTATTACAAAGTTATAATATTTGTGAAGCTACTTGAGAAACCTTCACACAACAACATTATATTTTATTTGGCTGGCCACAAGCCAATCCTACACTCCATAAGATCCCACAAACCAGACTTGCCTCCCAAGCTTGCGCTCTAGGAAAATCTGCGATAAGCACACTACTGACATGACAACAAACCCTACAACATTCTCATACACACAATTTGCTTAAGCTGCCGGGTAGTCAGTTATGTCAGCAGCAGGATTCTAAACGCCAGCTTGTTCACAGAGATCTAGTAAGTCCAGGGTCTGCAAAGCCAAGCAGGATTAAGAACCATCAATATCTATAGAAAGGGCAATTAACGGATGGAAAACAAAAAAATGCATAAAAACATCAACAACGAAAACTTGAACTTCGTCACACCTCTGGGATGGACAGCTCAAGACGAAACTTGGGACCATCATAATGATGCAAAACGGGCCTAAAAGCATCTTCCTCCAAAGCCTTGCAGAGTTTCCTAACACGGATCCTCACCTAATTTGAAATGTGATACAGTCAGTCGACCATCATAAAAAGTGGGAATCCTACGAAACTGCCGCGCACTGTTTGATATTCACACATCCAAATTTTACCTGAGCAGGGAACCTTGACTCGCCTTTACACTTCTTATCTTCCCAAGCAGTTGAATCGATGTTGGAACCCCCAAAGCTCACTGCCTGTATAAAAATTAGTTTGAGAAACAATGCTGTTCAACAATTTGGTCAGCTATCAAAAGTACATACCAAACAACTGTAAATTAAATAGTAAAAGTGCTAGACTTCCTAACCTGACCAAGGAGAGAACCATTACTCAGCTTAAGATATAACAATGATAAAGAAGAATTTCAAAATGGATTTGTTTCATGGTAATATCACAGTGTTCACTAACATGCTAACCGAGGTAGCCTAGTTGACCATGATTTCTAGCCCCAATTCTCAGATTATAGATCATGAATATTGAGAGAGGCATAGAAATAAAACTATCATTTTCAATACATTCTCATTCGGCAAAACTATGCTTTTCATGATTAAATCCATCGATCAATACTGTATCTGGTTTTGCAGGAGAACCCAACAGGAAATTGCAGAAAAGTTGTCAAACATACCTCAAAAATGCCATGCAACTGGTGAGTGGTGTAGTTATAGAGAAACAGAGGTAAGCCAGGTGTTATTGCACGAACGGAGTCTCTATATCTTGGTGGTAAACCTGCACAATAAAGCAAAAATTCATAAGCATGAACAACTATAAAGGAGAGATACAGAAAAAAAAAAGGATTTATCAGAGTCCACATGTATTGGGGATCTTGACTTTGTGTTGCACAGGTTGAGATACAGGTGCAACTAAAATTAGCATCACATTTGACAATAATTTGTGTTGCATAAAAAGTGTCAAACAGATCAATTGGTAACTACAATAAATGTTGTCAAACAGATCAACACTTCGTTTATTGAAGTCCAATATCCATCAGAATAAGGCACGAGCATCTTAAAATCCTCTACATTCATTTACTATTATACCCAACACACAACACGTCTCAACTTTTTCCTACCCATTACCCTGAATTCCCCAAGGTTAAGACAAAGAAGGGCAAAATATCATTACCAAATAATTGTCTCTTTAAATCTTCCTGCATTGTGTCGTTGTTGCAAACAAAGATGTAACCACCAAGGACCTCGTTACGGGGGAGACACTCCGCAGCTGGCAAGGTCTTGAACCTTTTGTCAACAACATTGTTTGTGTTGGTAATATCATTATTATACTTGTTAATGCTGATGTTGTTGGCCTCCTTAATGTTGTTGTTGCCGTGGTTGCCACTATATTTGCTGGCAGTCACAGTTCCCATACTGTTAATATTGGCCTTCTGATACACAGCATTCAGATTGTATATGCCATTCCTGAAGGAACTTTTGTTCACATTATCAGTCATTTTCGTCTCCAAATTTAACATGTTGAAATTAAGACCTTCAAACTTGTTGTCTTCCGGCAACCCAACATTATCCCTAGCTCTAATTTCGGCAGAGCCCTTTTGGAGATCAAGATTATTCATTCGCTCGCCCTTTGACCTTGTCTGCTCAGCCAATTTAGAAGCGACCATTGACCACTTGTGGTCCTCGGAGACTTTTGTTTGTCCTCGAAGCTCGTCACCCAATTGCCAAAAGCTATGTAAGCTCTCCATGCTGCAAAATCTAAAAATAAACATGCATGAGAAATCACTGTAAGACAGTTTCAGATTAGGACATCTAAAGAATTTGCATGCCATATATATCCTTCGAAGATGCTAGTCAAAGGAGATCAGAAATATATTACAGATACATAAATACTATATTAAGTATTTATTCCAATAAAAAGCATAAAACCAGAAAGTGCAGCCAGAGGGCATCCGGCCCACAGAACGCAGGGGTCCCAGATGAATAAGATCAGAAAGTAAAACTGAAAAATGAACAATAAGAATAACAGATTCTGTCATGTAACAAAGGTCAGAGAGCAATACCTGGTCTTCTACCAGAAACTGTAGAATCACTTGTAAAATACAGAGATTGACAGAAAAGAACAATTTGATCCAAAATAATCACTCCAACAAAATATTACTAGGCAAAAATGCCGCCATCCGAGATACAAATCAAATAACAATAGTGTGTAACCAAAAGATATTTTCACAAACACAAATCAACCATAAATTATTGACCAGCTAGAAAGAGTAGCCTCAAAAAAAACATCAATATTTGGGGAAATGCACGATTTCAAAGTCAAGTAACCCTAAAACAAAGATGCATTAACTCATTCAGCTTTTTTATAAAAAAAAAATAAGAGGACTAAATATTTTCAGGTCTAAAGAGCCAATGTTTTCATGAATCAAAGTAAGTACTGAAAAAATATGAGAACATCCAGAACCTTCACAATAACAACATATCGAAACTAAAACAAATTTTTCTATAGATTTTAACTTCAATTTCCTTGAATCAAATATTTTCCAGGACACAGACAAGAGATATATTCACTGGAATCAAGTAACATTAAATTTCCAAATAAATGTAAGAAAAGTTTCGACGCATCATCCAAATAATATAGCTCGAAATCAATGGAGCATTGAAAGAAAAACACTTTATACGACATAAGATTGCTAGATTTGTTCAAATTATCCAAGGTCACAGAGGGAAAAAAAAACCAAAAAATTAACCCAATTGAAAGTGAAAAGATCCAGCATTTCTCTCATTCTCACTGTACGTCATTCAAAATAGACCAACAATACCAAAGTCCTAAGCCGATCCGGACTAATCGACTCGATTACCACCAAACACTAGCAATAATCAGACTATATGAGCTAAATCAAACATCAGCATAAAAAAATTGAAAAATTTATGGACTGTCACAGAAGAAGAAGCGAAGAAGCAGTAATTGCTGATTTCGACTCACTAGTACTGAAAAATGCCCAAATATTATGCAGATATTAAGCTTCAAATCAAGTCTGGAAGACGAAAATTAAGGGCTTGATCTAACAGATCTGCCAAAATAGTCGTCGGTTACAAACACCCTAGATTTGGGGATCCAAAGCTAAAGCTTAAAGCTAGAGAGAGAAAGAACACACCTTTTATCTCCTCGGCTGCGAAACCCGGAAGGAAATGCGACAGAGGAGGAAGAGAAGGCAGATTTTTCGCCATTTATAGTTGGAAACTGAACTCAAGTGCCCATACTGTTTACCTTTACTACACTACTGCCACCCCAATTTTGAAATTCTTGTGATAACAGCTATACTAATTGGTGATGATTAAATATGACCACGCGCCTGTAGAGGCGTACAGCTATTTCCCGCAAGACTAACGGGTCGAATTCCTTGAGAACGGAGAGCGTGTATGTCATGGCCTCAAAGTGAGAATGGGGTTAGAATTTCAAGTGTGACTAGAGCGCGGTGATCAAATTTATCGCTGACGGTAGAATGGTTGTGGACCGTAGGATCATCATTTCGAAATGAAAAATCGAAAAATAAGAACGTTACCTAATAGGGCCCAGTTGTTGGCCAACTGGGCCTTATTCGTTTAAGGCAGCCAGCCCATTGTGATGTCTAACAACGATTTTGGGCCCACTCCAGGGAGAGAAAATGATATCTAATGGTCGAACTTTTGGTAATTGTGTTTTTTTGTTTTCTTGGACGGTATACTTTAGTAAATCATTATGTTCAGAAAATAAAAGGAACTTTAGTAAATCATCCACTCCAAAGTTTACCTTTTTCTTATATGCCATTATAGGCTTTGTCTTATACATTGACTATGATTGTACAAACCTATGAACATTATAATATAATTATAGAATTGATTATCAAGTTAATTATTACTTTCTTGAACCGCCGTCTTTCAAGGATATAATGAAATGAAATCGCTTTTAATGTATTTTTTAAACTTTTCATAAGGTTAGATAGATTATGCACTATATATACGTGAGAGATTCATTTATAACTACTGGATCTCATATGAATCATCTACAAATAAATAAATAAATAAAATTAAACAAAAATTATATTGAAGAAAATTTCACTCTGACCACAAGTATATTCACCTAGTTCTTGATCTGATATTAACGGCCCCAAATCTTACTCAATCTCAATCCAAAGCTGTAGAATAGCTGGTGAAGGAATTTAAAACAAAAGAAAAAGGAGATAGAAATATTAAAAACATAGTTAGGAATTATTTAGGTTATATGCTAGTAGGTCTACATCCATTGTTTGTGTATTTTTCCATAAATTATGGGTGGTAATGTGGCTTGGTTGCGATGTTTCCTGAGTTGCAGACCACAACATTTAAATAAGATCACTTGTAATCACGTCTGTATGATTGATTCACTTGTACAGTTGTTCATGTATTTGCAGAGAGATTGGTTGTGGCGTTACAAATAGGGTGTAGGATCAACGTCAAAAAATTGGCATATGTTTTCAAGCATCAACCAACCCCCCCCCCCCCCCCCCCCCCTTGTACTACCTTCGCATGCCAACTCATGAACAACTGCCAAATCAAACTTGTGGTGGAAGTAGTGTTGTATCCTATAATATTCAAGTCTTCTTATTTTTTAATTATTGCCATGTTTGAATGTTTGTGGAAATACCCTATTTGTATAAGTGTATTATTCTTATTCGAATTCCGTCCAAAACAATTGAATAAAAAATTAAGTGAATACAATATTTTTTAGTAATTAATTTTTCGATCATTTTAATAATTCAATTAACCAACACAATAATGTTTAAAATATAACACATTAACAGTGTTTCTAGTTTGAGGTTTATGCACATATTAACCGTGTTAAAATGTTAAAAATTTAACACACACACACACACACACACATATATATATATATATATATATATATATTAATTTTAATCTTTAATTTTTATTTTTCTTGATCAATCTTATCTTATCTCATCAATGCTACTAATAATGTATTCCATAGTACTAATAAAAGTACAGTAATCAAAAGGAATTTGTTATTGTTTATGTGACTTGCAACTTCACTCTTGGTTTTGACTACTACGAATGTTGAGAAGAAAAAAGAAAGCACAAGGGACAGTTTGAGTTTGTCTGTAAGAAAGGCTTTTTAATTTTATGGAACAAAGAAACTTGTTTGATGAAGTGTTTTGGTGCTTAGTTTTCGCAAAGCAAGAACTTCAACAGGGATGTTTTAGTAAACATCTAAAACCGCATTTTTTGCCACTTTCTCAGTGAATTGCCAAAGTTTTGTAAGCATTTCATCAAGGCTACCGCACAGTTAAACATGTTTCTCACTCTTCACGCAAGCGCAATGCCGCCATAGGTGACAACAAGTGTTCTTCAATGGATTACGAGTTTACGACATTGAGAGAAAAGTTAAGTAGACTATAAATCTACACATTTTAATGATTTTTGCCCATTTTTATACATGTTTAATATGAGTTTGCTCCCTCTATTTATAGTACCTAATGAACCCATGAAAGGGTGAGTGAAAGTGGTTTGTATTTTGTGAGTTCCATGGTAGAACATACCTGACGTTGGTACATATACACTGAGTTGAAAACAGTAAATGGAGTTATTACTTCCTTATTCCAACATGTAATTATTAAATGACACTCATTCATAATCAAAAATAAGAAAAATCTAATGGATATAAGGAGCTAATATGAACCAATTAGATTGTCGTTTTTCCTATACCATATGCAAAAAAAAAAAAAAAATGTCTCATTTGGCATTACAGATTTTTTTGGCTTAAAAAATAAAAGAAAATTGAACAACGTTCTTCATTACACCCGTAGACCATTAAAAATCATTTTGGTTTTCACATTAATGCCAACAAAACCATAACAAAGAATGGAAAAAAACCTAATAGAAACTATCGATAGGTAGTAATATTTCTAAATTTTTGTTGGTGAAGTAATTTTTTATTTTAAAAGTAATATGCTAGATAATCGTCAAAGAATGTCTTTACGAATTAGGAGTCCTTCGATTCTAAGAAATCACGAATACTCAAAGTTTGATCCATTTCCTTTAGAATTACTTGCTAATTAGATTTCTCCTACAATAAACTATTCAATGTTTTTTTTAAGGCACTACTGTGACATTATTATGTGGTGCATACAACTTATAAAAAATTGTCACAATACTTATTTCTTAGACCTAAAAGTTGATTTTTTTTTTAAAAAAAATTCTAATAACTTTACAAGTTACAATAATTGATTGAGGATATATAATATGTTATTGGCGATATACACCACATTGTTGGTGAACATAGATAGAGTCCACATCATCTCATGTCATCCACATTCAATTTTTTTATCGTTACCCTTATACGAGGTTTTTCATGAACACCATAACTACAAATATTAGGGCTCAATAAAGTAAAATTAAATATAGACTAAATTCAATTCCGTTCTTCATACCTAACGGAATATATATCTTAAATTTTGATCAACTGATTAAAGACGGTTTCTTGTTAAAAGGCCAGCTATGCAGAGATAAAGGTTCCCAAAGTTGCAATTAAGGCACAATGCACCATTGGCATGTACCCAATTTTTGCACAGTTTCTTCCTTAATTTGTAATAATCTACACTCACGCGTTTTTCAAGGCTTATAGAAGAAAGAACCACCCTTTCCATCACACTTAGTTGTTCCCATAAGTCGTCTATAAGATGCTCAATTCTACTCACGCTCCCTAGGTAAAGCATCGATAACTCCACGTGTATAATCAATTGAAAATGTTCTACACGAAAAGTGTTGTAGTTTTCTTCACAACTAGTATCAGAGCAAGGTTTTCCTTGAATTGCACTTAATGTAACCATTCATTGTATATTTGTCTGATTGATCTAGTATATATATGGGTATGAAGAAGGAATTTTTATGGATATTTCGTATTCCTACCTGATTTTTGCAAAATACCAAAATTTATTCCGTTGCCCTATCCGATTTTTTGCGGTAACCGATCAATAAGGTAGAGTAAGGTTAGGTAGGATCGAAATATTCGAGTAATAAAAAATTTGAACAGTTTTACTTCTACATCTATAAATATCCATAGATTCATTTTGCATCAAACACTTGAAAAATTGCATTAGCACTTATAAAAATCATGATTATTAGAGTCATTATCTTAATGATCTCAGTCATTATCGGTGTCCATTTTTTAGAGTTCAAAAACATATTTATTGGTTTGTTGTGCATATAGACCGCGTTATTTTTTTTGTGTGATCATTATATCCTAGAAAACAAACATTCAAGAATTCATAAGTACGAGAGTAGAGGCAAAATTTGTCTTTAAAGACTTATTGTCAAACAATAACCTTGATCAAATTCTTAAATCATTCATGTTCTACAATCAAGTCATTTTATTTTATTTTTACTATTTTTATTCTTAATTGCATGACACAAATCAGGAATTATAATAAGTATTCTGCGTATTTTATACATCCTCCCAACACTTTCTCCCTCTTACATAATACTATACGATTTATTGGCAATTCTAGTGTGGATTCCTTATTGCAATAAAAGAAAGGGGAAAAAAATTCACAACTATCAAACATATGGACAAGGGCCACCTTTCCCTACAATTTTTTTTTCTTTCTGTTTTCTCTTTTTGTTGGATCACTTAACATAAATTAAAATATGATCTATTGAATATAAGTAAGCTTTTCACTAATACGTAAAAAATGATTTAACATTTTATAAAAAGAAGAAGAAGAAAAGAATTTTGAAAAATATCTGAGTCACACCATACAACAGTCAAGGCCTCGTCCAAAGTTAGCCTATCATAGAAAAAATAATGATAAAACATGGGAAACAAAGAAGAGAAATTTGAAAGCCGGTCTTCCTTTGTGGATTTATTTGGTGATAAGTTCATCAATGAAACTTGTTTAATAATAAGTCTATTTCGATTTTCATTGTCGAAAATATTCTCATTAGTTATATTTAATTATAACAAATTTGAAAACTAACAACTCCTAAATTTTAAAAGTTTGACTAATTTTAAAATTTTTCTCTCACATATCTATCTATATCCATATATAGAATATAACTATTTATTTATTTCATATATATAATTGCCCGTGCCTGAAGGTATGGCGTTACAAAAAATTATAATAAAACTCGAAAAATCTTACATTACCTAGAAACTCTTTGCAATCTAAAATAACCTGTCAATTTGAAATCAAGATAGTGCATACTATTATCCAAAAATTTCAGCATAATTTTCTCTAAAAATATGAACCCATAAAAATCTAAACCTGTCTACAGAACTTACAATTATACATAACAATCATCATAATTCACCATATCACCACAATAATCAATACATACTCAATCATCAACACATATCCAACCACCAAAACAATAAATTAGTCCCTACTAATTTCAAGAAATTTGGGTAGAGTTTCCTCTAAAAATAGAAGCCAAAAAAAAATCTAAACCTGTTTATAAAACTTACAATTATACATATCATCACAATCATCGTAACCATATTTATCCAAACCACCAAAACAAAACCATCATAACCATATATAATTAGTTAACTGTACAAAAGACGGAACACAAAAAATACACACATGCACAAATAAAGAAACACCTTCAACTTCATCTTCATATCCTTTCATATATATATATATATATATATATATATATATATATATATTAGTATAATCCGTACTTGAATGCACTAAGTAATTCAAAAAACATCGAGTACCAATTATGCAATATAAATATTTTCAAACAATACTTGATTTTTTATTATTTTCTTTATTTACACAATTCAAAATCAATTTGAAAATACTATTTTCTAAAAAATTTTGACAAACCTTATCTAAAAACACGACCACTAAAAAATATCAACATATACACAATTTATATATTTAATCATTATACCTAAAAAATATCTTTTTTTTTTTAGGAGTTGATATTGGCGTGTGTGTAGAGAGATGAAATATGAGATAAACTTAAAAGAGATATGAATATGATACAGAGAGAAATTAGAGTTTTAAATTTTTAATAGGTATTATATGTATTTTGTTATTATTAGATATATATAGTCGTCTACGCCAAACTCTCCAACTTCTATTACTTTATTATTATATGTGTTTAGGAGAGAGAGAGATAGTGAGTGTGAGTGAGGTAGATAGAAATATAAAGTTATATGAGAGATGAAAGTGTGTGTTTAAAATGTGCAAGAGATAAGAGATAGAGATGTAAAATGAATAGAAATCCAATTAATCATATATATACAAATATAGATAGATAGATATATTTTTAATGACATATATGGGCAGAACTATACAGGAGCGAGAACCTCAATTTTTTTAAAAAATATAATATGTATATTTATATTTATATATTCTAAAAATTATACACATTTTTTATTTGTGCTCACTTTATAAATTTCTTATTTCAATTATTTAGTTTTTTTTATTATAATAAGGCTTTCTTTAGATGTCCTTCATTTTATTATGAATTTGTGCAAGTGAAAGTTATTTCAATTGATCTTCATTTGACTTTATTTTTTCTACAAAAATTGTCTTTTATTTTTATTCGAATATTAATCATAGTCTTTATTATATATCAATCAATTTTTTTTAATATGTTATCTCTTAAATTTTAGTTCAATAGCTTTACTATACTAATATTTTAGTGATAATATTTAAAATATTGTTTATTGAATAATTTTAATGAATTGTTAGTGAATAACTAATATTTTTTAATTATAAAAATAATAATTAGCTTCACTTTTTTACAATGGTGATAATTAGTCAATTTTTTATACATATACAATATACTTTTTTCTGGCTTTTTTTTATGTTAAATAGACTTCATGTATCAAATATGATATAATAAATATAAATATATTATCTAGTATGATTGATTAGGAGGAACAAAATTAAAGTGTATAATTAAAGTGTTCATCCTAAATAAAATTCTTGACTCATGAGTCATGACATATATTAATGAACCTATAATTTGTTAGAAATAATCATTGTTATTAGAGTTTTAATGTGTATTAGATAAATTTTATTATTATTAGATATATATAAAGCCGTTCAATAGAGAGTTACATGATAGACATAAGGGTGTGTCTTTAAAACATGTGAGACATTGGAGAGAGAGTATAAGATAGAGGGAGAGAGTAAGATAAGAGATAGGACTCTTAGAAAAATTTTGCAGGAGAATCATTAAATCAATATTTGTCAAGCGATCTGAGCTGTGAAAAACTCAATACAAACTTTTTTAACTATTTTAAAAATAAAAAATAGTAACATTCAAATATAAAAAATAGAAACATTCAAAAATAAAAAATAGTAACATGCATAGTAACATTTAATACTAAATTAATTATAGTATTCTCAGCCAAAAAAATAAATGAGAGAGAGAGAAAAAAAATTGTAGTGATGTCAAATTTAAATTTAAATTTCAGATTTTATGGAAAAAAAATCTTCTATTAAGTGTGATTCAAAGATGACTGTGTTAGGAAACTGATTTAATGTTGAAGATTACTTTTTAAATTATTAGAAGGGCATTGTGAAGTTTAAAAAAAATAGTGAATTTAATTACTTATTAGAAAAATTAAAAACAGACTTACACTCAAATAAATTTTTTTGACAGACTAAATTTATTATAAATCCTTTAAGGAGGACTCAACCTCAATTTTCAAAACAAAGAATGTCCCACCTAAAAATGCTAGCATTTTGTCAAAACAAATACAAAAACTTCCTATTATTTGGAAATGAAACAAAAATTCAAAAGGTATCTTTATTAATGTTGTCGCATACAATTTCTGATCTCTTCAATTTTAGCTTCGTTACCATCCATTTGCTGTTTTTTTTTTCTTTCATTCTTTGGCATTTGTAGTTTAATATTACACTCCCGATTTTAACTTGTCTATTACTGAACCCTATGTTTATGCTATTGACACCTGATTTATTGATATAATTTATTGATTTAATTCATTATAATCTTTAAATTAACTTTAGACCCATGAAAAAGTTGATGAGATCCATTCATCCAAGGGATGATATGCATTTGAATTACATTTCATTTAAATTGTATAACATTTTTCATTAATTTAACGGTTACAAGAAAATTATATTATTAGATCAACAAATTATATCAAATTTTTAAATTTCAACAACATTACTCTTCCTCCATATCTAGTTTCTAATTTTAGGGCCGATCCGGTAGTCTATACTCCTTCTTGGCCCGTTAAAAAGTTTGGGGGTAGGCCCAGTGTTTATGTAGGTCGGTCAGCTCTATCTAAAACCTTTGATCAGAACGGTGCTGTGTCATCATCGCCAAGCACGAGCGTGTCATCCTGTGTCTCATTTAACTTTAGGCCGGAGTAGAATTTTTTCACCATTCTCACTAAAAGCGCGTGTAATCCCATACAGAACAAAAACACATTAAGGTAAATGATATTTTGTACCTTAAAAGATTCGTCTTAAAATTTTAATTTATACCTTAAAAAATTAAAATTTTCAGACATCATCAATCAGATGAGAAGGTCACAATGAAATCCAAAACTAAATTTGCATTACCTTTTCTAACAAATTTTTTTACTGTAGTTGTCACATTATCCTATTTTTATGCATAATTATTTTCACAATACTTAGTTTTAAGTGTTTTCAATAAAATTTTTGAACTCAATATTAAGTATTTTTAATAAAAATTTGTACTCATTTTTTTTTGAAATGGTATATTGCTATTTTTATTTGATTGAGAGTTAAATGTGAGAATTTCAATGTTTTAGGGTATAAATTGATAATATAAAATATTTTTGAGGTACAAAGTGTTATTTGTCCAAAAGCTTTAATTCCTCTTCCGCTTTTGTCAACAGGGAACCGCCATAACTTTTAGGAAAGACCAATGCCGTCACCGTCACCGTCACCGTTACCGTCAGTTTTATTCTTTCTATTCAGCTAGCTCAGTTGAAGAGTCGCCTATGTGAACTCTCCCTCGTAGAACTTGAAGCCCTTCAAAGGTCTTACATTATCCTGGACGAACTAATAATTTTTTTCTCTCATCAGTGAGTCGACATGGAAATGCAGAACGAATTTGATCGTCTCCTTTTCTTCGAGCACGCTCGCAAAGCAGCCGAGTCCACCTATGCTAAGAATCCTCTCGATGCAGATGTTCGTATTCGCTCTCCGTTTATCTGTCTATCTATCTATAAATATGATATCTATGGTATATTTTTCTTGGACTTTGATTTTTATCGTGGATCTTCTGACATGAAATATTTTTGTTTTTATTATTTTGGGCTTTAATTTATCAGAACCTGATGAGATGGGGAGGGGCGTTGCTCGAGTTGGCACAGTTCCAGAGTGTTCCCGATTCAAAGAAAATGATTTTGGGTATTGATTTGCACTTTTCCCTGTTCCCGAACTTATAGTGACGCTACGTTGATACTGTTAATGGATATCGGAAATTAATCGACTATACTTGTACTCTTATGTGTTCTTGATAACTGAGTATTGGGGGCATAAGACACATGGAAAGATTAAAGGTTAATGAAAGACGGGAACTTTAATTGGTAATTGGATGTTTATAAAGGGGAATCAATTTTATGTTTTTGGAAAAGTACTTGGCTATTTTATCCCAAAAAATGCTTTGTGGATGATTTGATCATGTAGATGCGATATCGAAGTTGAAGGAGGCACTGTTGGTTAATCCAAAAAAGCATGATGTAATTTGGTGCTTGGGGAATGCACATACTTCTTATGCGTTTCTGACTCCTGATCAAGATGAGGCTAAGGGTTATTTTGACAAGGCATCTCAGTTCTTTCAGCAAGCTGTTGATGAGGTAGAATTGATTGTGATCTCCAATGCAGTTCGTTTAATGGTTTTATTTTTCGCTAGAATTGCTTCTTTGTATAGCTTGTATCATGTTAGGGTCTTGCATATAAGTTACGCAACACTTTCAGAAATATTCACGAAACACGAGAGTTTTGTATTTCAGTGGAAATAAAACGAAATTTTGATCTTTGCTTACATATGTAGGTCAACTGTGTGATATTACAGATATATAACATAGTTCCAGTGTATTGCAGGATCCAGGGAATGACATTTACTGCAAATCTTTAGAATTGACTGCTAAGGTACATTCTCTTATAGTACTTTTTGCTCATATGTGAGTTTATATTGGCAAACCTTAATAACGTTATGACATGACTTGGGTGAATCCTAGAGTATATGCGCATTACTCGAGTCTTGCCAAAGAACCAAGGTCTTTCACACTTTGTGATGTTGAAGAGTTCTAGTGCCTGGGTGGCAATCATAATTGTAGGTAGCAATGATGAGAAAATGGGTATGTGTCCGTGGTTGTGCTTCCTCCCCCCACCACCCAAAAAAAAAAAAGGTACCAGAAACACACCAGTTCTCTTTGTTCTTTTTCAGACCCTTTTTGGTTTTTTGGAGAGGGAGAAAAATAGGAGGGAGGGAGGGGGGGGGATGAAGGAAGGGGTTGGCTTTCTCCTTCAAGCTTGATGGTCAATTTGGTTATAGCAATGGATTGGATGGAAGGAGATAGAGAGGGGTAAAGGGTGTACCAATCAGGAAAGAAAGGTGCCTTTTTTAACTTATGTTTACTTGAGCAAGCAGAAAAGAGTAAAGAAAAGGGTTGTTCTTGCTTTTATAATTATATACATGTAGATGGAGGAGGGATGTTTTTGGGAGATGCAGAAGGGAAGAAAATTAGTCCCACCTGTCTTTTTTTTTTTTTTAGGGTCAAGTCCCCGCCGGTCTTCACTTTCCTATTCTTTCTATCATTTTTGAGGACCATGAAGTTCACTTCCATATCGTTCTTTCCCCCCTTTCTGGGAAATCATATCTGTTCTCGCCCTTGTCCCTTTGTTCAGCCTTCTGCTTTTGCTCCTGCCAAAGAGCCTGTAAGGTTTATGCTGGGAATCTGTTTCTCTTTTATTTTATTTATTTGTTGCTTCCCTTCAAATATGGTTGATTTGCTTATAAATGGATTGAAAATTGATAGGGCTTATGTATTATTATGCTGTCAGCAGACGAACTTGAGAGTAAGTTATTGCCTTACGGCCCTTACCAACTAGCTAATAAAACACGAGCCTTTCTTGAGCCAATTTCTCCTTTTGCTCCTCATCCTAAAGGGTATTAGCTTCCATTTGCAGCTGTTTTCCCTTTCTAGGGGCTTATGCATCCCAGATTAAGGCTGTCTAAGCACACAGGCAATCGTAATGAATTGTGTAGATACCCAGATGTGCCTGTGGGTAAAAGACTTAGTGGTGGCATTGTTGCCTTTTCAGAATTCAACCATGAAAAGGGGGATTAATAGGCTTGATGGTCAGTGTTGGTGCATATTGTTGGGTGCTTAAGTTCCTATTATTGTTCATCACAAATTAAAGTTGCCATATTTCTTTTATTAATTGTTGTTTACTGTAATCTTTAGGCTCCTGAATTACACTCAGAGATCCATAAGCAAGGTTTCGCTCAACAGGCTATGGGAGCTGGCCCTTCTACTTCTTCAAGTGCAAAGGTAATCAAGGTTTTACTTACCGTATGGGTTATAAGTGCTGTTATTGATCGACTCGCTTTAATATCTGTTAGCATTAGCTTGCCATGTTGCTGATTCTTTGTCAGAATGTAGGATTTAAACTTTTATGTGGGTGTTTATTCCCTTTAGTTGTTGTTGTGTGACGGGGGTGGTTTTGGTGTTTGTGGGGAGTGCATTCATCTGTTCTTGTGGCTGAAAAATTTACATTTATAACATTATGTGATCTCTCTCATTCTCTCCCCCCCCCCTCCCTAAGGTGGTCCTTCCATCTCCCCCACACCCCAATGGACTTTGCCTATATGCAATAAGATTGCAAAATTTATTCCGTGACTGCCTACAGATATATTATTCTGTTTCTGTTACTTTGTCATTCCTTGAAACTTTTGTTTCAGTGAAACTGAAACTATTCAGGCATTGCATTCGTGTTTGATGGTGCGGTTTGGTTCCTTTTTGTTTTTGCTTGATAGCACATATCCCATCGTTATCTGTCAGAGCATAGATTTCTGCCCATTGTCTGGTTATTTTGTACTTGATTCCTTGAGTTCATCTTGTGGCTTTGATCATATGATATAGCCATATATTTTCTTGCAGAGTTCAAAAAAGAAGAAGAGCAGTGATCTTAAGTACGACATATTTGGTTGGATAATCCTTGCAGTTGGCATCGTTGCATGGGTGGGTTTTGCTAAATCTCAGTCTCCACCTCCTCCAAGATAAGCCAGGCATTTGTCCAGAAGTCATTTTGTGGGTGAAGACATCTGTCAGAGGCTTTTGTTCAAGTGTGGTTGGGATCGAGACTTACACCCAGCCATTTGCTAGCTAATTTTGAACTGGAGTATGGCTTTTCATCGGTCCAATCTGATTACCTAGTAATAGTTTTTTTTTTCAATTATATTTTTCCTTAGAAAATTCCAATTGGGGAAGCTTTTGGTTGGATATGATGCATATTTATTCCTCTATAGTAGAGTCTGTGTAAGAAGCTTTTCAGTATGTGGTTCATGTTGTATTCCTCTCACTCTCACCTGATATTTTATTAAGATATCGTTCTATGTATGTTCTGTGGTTTGAGGTTCTGTTGCAGCTTTGAGTCTTTCTTTTTACGTGTGACCATCTTGGCAAAAGATTGTGATCAAGGATAGGAGCCAGGTGCCAGAGCCTGGCTGGATAATGATGAACTGAAGAAGTGGTGCATATGCAGTGCATAATGTGTTTTGCTTTATGACCTTCAAGCTTGAAGCAATTTTGGTGTTTTCTGATTCTTTTTGTTTGGTTTTAATTTGTATTGTTTCAGAAAGACTTCCTCGAACAGCAAATGGATTCCTCTCCTGCATTTTTCTTTCATCTCAGCAAATTGGACTCTTACCCTTGGTTTTGCACCCGTCTTCCTTGGGGGCAAGGTATTAGTAATATCATGCTAGCTTTCCCGTTTGGATTAAAAAGTTAGAACTAAATCTGGAGAGAATATGTTAGAACTATCCAGATCCTACTTCGATATCTGCTTAGCTTTGTGGTGTTGGGTTCCCAGCCTCTGGAAACTTCATATTGAATGCGTCTATTTGACCATGTACAACCTGGCTTCTTAATGTCTTACATGGTTAGAACCGGTGCTTCACAGACTTTCTTCGGTAGTTGGTCATGCCAAGGAAACTCCTTACTTGGAGGTTGGCTGAAAGTGAGAGAGGATAATTTGTTGTTTGAGGTTGGGATGCATGGGTACGAAAATCTGTAGCGTCTGATGGGGACAATGTAAGGGTTTGGATCAGTTTCAGACCGTGGGTGGTTGCGGTGGCATGGGATGGCCACCTATATTGCCTGACCTAGGCCGTATATGTACCATCAGAATCACTGCAAAAGCCAAATGGTTATCTCGCAGCTCCGGTTCCTCCTCCACATGCTTTCCTCTTCTCTTGGTGTTCCTCCATCCATGATGCTTAAAGTGCCCGTCTGGTATGGGGACGCCTATGATTGGTTCTAACTTCTAAGAACTATATTCCTAAGATGACCTTGGAACACCCTCACCCTCCACCTGCCAACCCAACTAAACATTTCCTGAGCCGCTGTCACCACCACTACTGACACCACCACCTTCCACACCCATGGCACCTCCACAGACACTCGGCCGACATCATTCCACACCTAGTACAACCACCCAACCGCCACAAGAATAACCACCTAACCCAACCCAAACACCACAAGTCAACCAAAAGCACCACCAGACGCCCAACATGGCAAATCCTTGACATCTGCAGAATGCAAAAGTGAATCTCGTTTAAGTCCAAAAATATTAGGTTAACAAAGAATAATATTTAAAATATCATTTCATCTCTCATTGTAACAAAATAATCCTATTTTCAAATTATCTTTTATTAGATTGGAAACAATATTTAGTGCATGGAAAGAGACCTATATTCGAACACCTTCTCTTGGTACCTTATGCATCTCTCATCTCTCTATCACACATGGTGGAAACTACAATTTTGTTCTAAGATTAGTAGGTTTGACAAAAAGTAGATAATTTAGTTCAATTTTTGATTGAGATTGTCATGTCACTTTGACACTTCATTGAACTATGTGACAATATTTAAGAGACCAAACAAGATTTTCTTATATTTTTTAGTGAATTTAGAGGCATCAAACCTTTTTATTGTTGTAATTGGATGCCTTTAAGAAATACACATGTTTTTATCAAAAAAAAAAGAAAAGAAATACACATGTTGAGGCCAAAAAAGAGAAGAGAGAGATTTGAGTAAATAGAATGGTGGTGCGGGACGACTCTACTTTCTTTCAGTTCTCCTACCGCATTGAGAGGTCTATATCAACTCCCTAGATTGGACATCCCCTCTATGTTGAGACATCTAAATTTCTTATATTTTTCTATCAGATTAGTTTTAGTTGTTGAGACTAAATTATCGTTCTTTTTTCTACGATGCAGTAATAAGTTGTAGAAGGTAAAGGTAGTACCATCTAACAACATCACTTTGATACAATGTTCTTTACCATTAGTTTTAAATTTTTTCTAAATCCTCTTGTTAGGTTTTACTTCATCTCATTTAAGGTGTGTCTGCGTCCCCTTGAGTGGGCAATCACAAGCAAAGACCGCTTGGCTAGGGCATGCCAGATGTGCTTCGCGTGACTTTGTTCTTTACTCTTCATCAACCCTAACAAGTTATTTGAAGCATATTGTTTCTAAGCTATTTATTTTTCTTTCTACCTTATTTCTCACTTGCCTGGTGCTTCTTAGGCCACAGCATACTACTTAGTAAAAGTGCATGGGAAGTGTACCACTGAGACAGGGAGGAGGAGGAGTGGGGGATGTGAGGGGAGAAATAGATTGTAAATGGTAGATCCCAATCAAGATTAAAATCAGAGCTATTGAACTTAATTTAAGAATTTCATTCATTAATAGTGTGTTTGGTATGGTGGAAAAATGGGTGGAAGGAAAGTGAGAAAGGAAAAATGGAAGGAAAGGAAAATGTTTTAATTGTTTGGTAATAAAGGAAAGTATGATGGAGTGGAAAGTGGGAGGGGATGTCTATCCTTTCAGCCTACCAAATATTTTCAACCCAAATTTGGGCAAAAAGTGAAGGCAAGACAATAATTTTTTAAGTTGATTGTTTTACCCTTTACTTATTGGAGTGAAAAAACATATTTAAGGGTAGAATTATAAATTGGGTATATATATATATTTTTTTCTATTAATTTTCATCAAATATTAAACAATAGAAAATATATCTTTTTTACTTTCTATCTCTTGTACCATACAAAAAAGATGAAAAATAACTTTTTTTTCTTCAAGGATAAAAATCTTATTTTTTATATTTTTTATTCATTCATTTTTTTCATTTTTTGTACCAAACGGACTATGAGTTAATTCGTTGCAGTTGGAATTTACTTTTAAATGAATCAATTTTTTTAAAATTAATTATAAATAATAATATTCTAAAACTCATTAAGCATCAGAATGTGTTTGAAATTAATTCAAAATAAAAATAGGAACGGAAAATGGATTGCCAACCGGACCACTACGTAAGCTGACTAGAATTTTTCGGAAATTCATTCAAGAGCTTCGGTAGCTTGCCAGAAGACACTGGCTCTCTCTCGGAGCACTGGAGTGGGAAAAATGGCGTTGGAGGTAAAACCATGCGGTGGCGCCGCTGCAGTGCTACTCTCATTTAGGCGGTCTCTGAATCCATTCCCAAGCCGCTTGTCTTTCCAGGCCATCGAACCTACTTCTCAAGGATTTCGTCGCTTCACACCTTTGGCTGTTGTCAAAAGAAGCCCTAAACGCCTCAAGTATTCTTCCCCTCTCTTCACCAAGGTGTCTCTCATACCTTATTACTTATTGTTCTCATCTCTCTCCTGATTGCTTCGTCTAAATCCATTTTAATACCTATTTTTGTGATGTATAAAATAGATATTTGTATGTATGTGATGTATTCTGTCAATGATCGAATGGGTGTTAGGCCTTAGTTTCTTTGGAGCTTATTGTTGTGCAGTGAATGTTTAAACTTAGAATCGGCAGTGTAGGTTGCACTATAACTTATGCCAGAGAGGGAGGGAGCATCGGATTGTGACAATGGATAGTCGTTGACGTGTCGATGGAAGCATTTTAGGATGTCCTGATTTATTGAAAAACCATTAATGCAAAACCATATTTAAGTCGATCCAGTAAATGCTGCTACAAATTGGGGCTAGTTAGCACTTAATATGTGTGGCTTGTTGGTGGTCTTGGTTTTGGGTATTAGATGTTAGAAGGTGGCGTCTGGGAAAAATTGAATCTGATGGGCCAAGCCCAAGGGCCTATCTCAAATTATAAGCGGGACTAGATCCAGCAAGTCCAGCTCAATGTGGTCAAGCATGTCAAGCTCATCAAGTACATTAGCCGGGAGCACAGGGTCATCTAAGAGTTTCCTCCTAGTCGTCTTAGAGTAAGGGTCATCTAAGAACTTCTTTTTAACCATTTTGGAGTAAGGGTGACTCAAGAGTCTCACCCTCGTCGTCTTGGAGAGAGTCAACTCTCACCTCATCCTTTGACCGAGTCCTATGGAGTATGACTGTCAAAATTCGACACGACACGATTAATCGACACGAATTAAACGGGTTTGAGTAAGATCTTAACGGATTTGACTGTCAAAATTCGACACGACACGATTAATCGACACGAATTAAACGGGTTTGAGTGAGATTTTAACGGGTTTACGTGATAAACGGGTTGACACGCCAAACATGTTTAATAAACGGGTTGTGTTCGGGTGAGACGTGTAAAACCCGTTTATCACACGTTTACCCGTTTAAATAAAATTAATATAATAATAAATTAATAATTATTTTAAAAAATTAGCAAGAAAAAAGAAGTAAATAAATCAATAAAAAACAAAAGAAGTAAAGTAGTAGTTTAAAGACAAAGGAGAAGAGTTAGAGAGTACTTCAAAGGCAAAGGCAAACAAATGTCTTTTATTTTTGTCCCACATTGAAAAATGAGGGGAGATGGAGAGGGTTGAATTGCCTATAAAAGACAATGACCTCTTGCTTTTATTTTTAAAACCTTCAAATTTTATTTTTCAAAGACAAAGGAGAGGAGTTGTAGAGCACTTGAAAGACAAAGACAAACCAATGTCTTTTATTTTTGTCCCACGTTGAAAAATGAGGGGAGATGGGGAGGGTGAGTTACCTATAAAAGGCAATAGCCTCTTGCTTTTTTTTTAAACCCTTCAAGTCTTTTTTTAATGAGATTTGATTTAAAATTTTTTTTTTTAAGGCAAGTGCAATTAGTAGTAAAAAAAATGGAGTACTAAAATTTATTGATATAATTTTTTTAAAATTAAACGTGGTAAACGAGTCGTGTCGTGTTACCCGTTTATTAAACGGGTCGTGTTCGTGTTGAGATTTTTTATCCGTTTATTAAACGTGTCGTGTATGGGTTTATACGTTTTTCACCCGTCACCCGTTTAACCCGACACATAACCGTTTAACCAGACACGTAACCGTTTAACCCGACACGATTGACACTCCTACTATGGAGAGTAATGTAACTGTCTCGTCCGTTGAGAAGAGGTCGCTATCTGCGCCTCCGCCGAATTAGTTATTTAATTACTATTAAATCACCCCAATCTGTTATGACCGCCAGACTAGCTATTCAATTACTATGCGTTATGAGGCGACTATAAATTGTAAGTCCCGCCAAGGGCATCATCACACTCATTCGAGCATAATTCTCTCCTCACCTTCTCAACGCTTGTAATTATTTACTCTCCTTACATACTTGAGTTAATAAAATATTCAGCGACCCTTATCATTCAAAGTGGACGTAGTTCACCTTGACGGAACCACTATAAACCTTGTCTTTTCTCTTCCTCTACTTATCTACTACTATCTACTGTATTTTATACTGCTTGATTGACAGGTGGTGTGCAAATCAATTTGTGCATCATCAGAAACTATTTTAACAATCGAAATTCTTCCTAGATATAATTCCGGATGATGTTATTTAATTGAGATATGTATGAGATAGTCTAACACTTTGGAAGTAGCAGATGGGAATAGGTGTTTTGCTTATGATGGTTTTCAAAATACCAGGAGGATGGTCTGCTCTATGTTGAAGTTGATCCATTGGGAGTGGACTCTTGGAAATTGGATCCAGTTGTTGAACTTCTGAAACAGGGAGCTGTCGGGGTTATTCCCACGGATACAGTGTACGTTATGTTTTGTTCTTCTTCTTGACCACTCCTTCTCTTTATTTATTGTTTCCATTTGTGTCCATACCATGGGCTTATTCAGGTCCCTTGATTTGATAAAATCCGTCATTTCATGCTGCATTATGCCTTAATCCACTCAATTTTTTATTATTTGACCCTACTGCATGTGTAGGGGGTCTTGTAAAAGATGCCCTACAGTACTTTATGATCATCTCTCGTATGTGAAAATGTCATTTCAAGAAACATCGTGGTGATTGTTATTGGTGAAGGTCGAAAAGAATGCACATATTTGAGTTGACATGCCTTATCCTAATCTTATTTGGTAATGTTCTCTTCTAACAATTATAGATGCTTTATGTGTTGATAGGTATGCTATAGCTTGTGATCCGAGAAGTAACTCAGCCATTGAACGTCTCCGTAGGTAGATGCGGTTGTTATTTTTACATTAGATTTTGAGATCAAAATTTTCAACTATATTTTCTTCACTGATAACAGTTTTGCATTTTTTGCAGAATAAAGAATGTAGAAATTTTCAAGGCAAGCAGTGCTGACTTCATCCAGTCCCTATTTTAATGTGCTTAAGGAGGATGTCATTGGATAGATACATGCTACAGTACTTATTCCAGTTTCTTGAGTAGATGGTGCATGCATGCAGGATCTCGTGATCACATATTACACTGTTTTGCATTTTCATCATGCTTGTTATCTGTCTGTATATTTGTTATGGTCTCTAACGTCTTTGATACATGCTACAGTACTTATTCCAGTTTCTTGAGTAGATGGTGCATGCATGCAGGATCTCGTGATCACATATTACACTGTTTTGCATTTTCATCATGCTTGTTATCTGTCTGTATATTTGTTATGGTCTCTAACGTCTTTGTTTTTCTCATGTAGCCCCTTAGCATCTTATGTCGTTCCTTGCGGGACATAGATACATATACTACTGGATTCCCTCGTGGTAATGCTCAAGGTTTTTCCAACGTTTTTCGAGCTGTAAAGCATTGCTTGCCTGGCCCTGTAAGTATACTCATCATATTGATCTTTCTGTGCTTATCATATTGAAATTGGTAGCAGTGGAAAGCTATTGTATCCAATAGTTGCTTCCTAAAGGCTTTATAGCAGTGTCAAATTGCTATGTGTAGCGCATAGAAGAGTTTCTTACACAGGACCCACCATCAATGGTTTTTCAGCAGAATTTTAATTTTGTGGTTGTTGCCGCTCCTAGGTAGATACAGACCCATGCAGCCATCCAAGTAGTTAGGGTTTAAGGGGGTTGATTTGAGTTGGTCTCTAGCTGTCATGGGAGAGACACCATAACAAAATTCCTGAGAAGGTTTGTAACATTTGTAAAATTGTAATGCTGTTGGTGAAAATTTTGGGTACAGTAGGTTACTCAAGTTTCTAAAGTAGTGTTTGGACGAGTAACAAAAGTATTGTTTATTGTATTTTGAGTGAATTCTTTTTTGATGGGCACTTTTTTCATAACACACAACAGTACACTTTCATTTTAACTGCAAGCAAAGCACTGCCAAAACAGTGTATAAGATATGGAACTACAACTTCCAAATATGCATCGAGGAAAAATGTTGGTGTGCGTATGCCTGATGATGCTGTATGTCAAGCAATTCTAGAGAAGATGGATGCACCTTTAATATCCACAAGGTAGGCTTCAAGTTCAATGAAATTATATTTCTCTTTTATTACCCTTTTTTCAGTTTATGAGGATTTAGCAGCTTACATACTGTAGAAGCAATTAATTTTTCCTTATATGTGATTTTGTTCCTATGCTCTGTACATTTCCTCCCTAGTGTGAAGTCACCAAAGGAACATGAGTGGATAATCGATCCGGTTGTAATCGCTGATATATATGGACCAGAGGTACAACCTTTCTTCCCCAGTCTCGGCTAGTTTCACATGAATTGGAATGACTGTTTTGGTTTACTACCTCCAATTCAAAGAAAGATGAAGTAGTTCAGTTGGATTGTCTGAGGAAATCGAATTATTTGTTTTCAAGAAGCTCCTTGCTCCCCTTCCCGCCAAATCTCTCTTTTCGGAGGAAAAATAGAAAACTTAAACAATGTTTTGCTCATTGGTAGGGCTTTTGTTTTTCGGGGCATCAAGTCTTCAATATTTACAGCACCTGTTACTTGGACAAAGCATTCGCTCCCGTTGCAATGCAATCCCGGAACTACGGCTCCAAAGGATTTTAAAAACCCTTAAAAGGGGTTTAGTTGTTTGTTTGCAAGCATATTTAAGTAGTTATATATGCAAAGATGCCTCCTCTATGCTTCATTTTATTTTCCAGAAGATTGAAAATCACTTGAATTCAGTCTTGTGAATCTCTTTATTGGTTATTCTAGCTTTTTGATTTGTGCTGAGCTTTTCCTTTCTTTGTTTCTTTTTAAGGGTCTTGATTTTCTTGTTGATGCTGGTGTCAGAGTGGCTGATCCGTCCACTGTAGTTGACATGACTGGGAGTTTTCCTAAAATCATACGGCAAGGAAAGGTATAAATGTCAATACAGACGTTTATGAGGGGCAGATTTTTTTACCTTTAAAACTGCTCTGGATATTGCATAATTGACTCCTTTTATTTTTCTAAAGAAAATATGCATCTTACCTCACTTTGAAACTTATAAATAGGTAGTTTTACTACTTACCGGAGTTGTCTCCCATATATGGATCCATTGCAACATGGGCCACTGGAAGGATAAGAATAGGAAAGCATGAAAGGATAATTAAGAAATTTTGCAGCATCAACCATTTTAGAGTGTACACTGCATAGAACTTCTTTACATATTGCAAATGGTAAAGGGTAAATTATTATGCTTTTTATCTGTCCCACAAAATCAGCAGTTGCCTGCTCTTTAACACTGGTTTAATCATAATCTTCCCCTGCAACCGGGAGAAAATTATGCATAGCTAGAGGACGAATGCGAAAGATGTTGAGAAACGTCAGTTAACTGGTGGTAGATAGAGTTTTGAAAAAGGAAAATGAAAGTTAAAGATACTATGGTACAAGAGTACATATTCTGGTGAACTTAGTGGAAGAGAATGACTGATCTCACAGTTCAAAATGATAATATAAATAAGAAATTAGGAATTTAAAAAGAATAGAGTGAAATGAAGTATAACAAGGAAATCAATGGGGCTGCCATATTTTTAACAGCACCATATCTGTTCCCTTATGACCCCCCCTCTTTTCTTTTTTTCCTTCGATCAGTGTTTTCTGTTGACAAAATAGACTTCATGTATTGTTTCCTTGGCAACTATTAGCAATGGTTGAATTTACCATCTTCTCCGTATGCTTATTGAATCTGATATTTGGGTTTATGGGGATTCAGGGACCTAAACAGCATTGGATGTTAGCAGAAGATGACGCTGTGGAAGAAAAAGACCTCAATCCTTATGCTGCTTAGAAACTACACCTTCCTTAAGGGAAACCTGTACAGTGTCAAAATGCTAATCACGTAAAACCATGGAAGTTTATTGTTGGCTTACTCACTTGGTTTGACAACATATTTTTGGGTGGACTAGCACCACCACTTCAAGCAAAGGGAAAGGAAGTTGTGCATTGTTTTGTAAATGTTTAGTCAGTAAATGAAATAAGAAGAGGGAACTTTTATGGTCTATGGTGCTTTGTGCTTTCTTCTTGGTCGTCTTCTCAGCTAGTACCCCCCCCCCCCCCCCTTTTCTTTTTGGGAGAAAATTCATAGTTATTGGACAGGATCACTCCCTTCTTCCACGAATCCTTTATTTTTTCTTCCCAGTTCGTGCCCCTGGTGTGATCTATTGATCATGCACCTCCGGCTAAACTGGCAAGAGGGCCATCATGAATCGAAGAAAAAGTCCATCATCCTTGAAATCTTCAGCAATTACGAAGCTTTAATATTTCTTGGAAATGGTAGGTTTCTTCGAACTAATTATTTCCTACACGCAAAAATATGACCTTATATATTGCATTTCGTTTTATGTAACTTTCAGTTAAATTAATGAATTAAAGTTTTCAAAATAACAAATATCACATTTATATAATAAATTCAAAATTTTCACGTAACATTTCCCTCCAATTACTCCAAAGTGGAAACACAGTATAATGTTGGTAATAAATTCACTTACACGAGGACACCCAGAAGAACAGAGTAAGGTCAATGAGTGCATTCAATTACTCCAAGTGTACATCCTAAAGTAAAGAAAGCCTACCAAACAAATCAATGCGGTTTCCAGCTGCACAAAGGTAGTTAATGAAGGTATGTGAAACTATTTATAGCAGCAGTTATGAGACTGACAACATTGGAAGTGGTGGTTACCCTGAGCTCCTTTGCTGTTCTTCAGATCAGGTTGAAAAGCCATGTTCAACCATTGCATAGATAAAATCATTTTGAACAACATCTAAAAGTTACCAACAGTCCCAAATCTTCCCTCTATTCTCTTCTCTCCTGTCCTGATATTCCTTTAATGCGAAGTTGAAAGCAGTTTCTAATATGGGTCTACTCAGGCTTATTCAAGTCTATCTTTGTACTGCAGTGGTGGTTTTATGTATATTGAACTCATCTGGATCAGTGGTTCTTATTCGTTTTGATGAAGCTCCACAGGCTCGATCAAGGTTCTCTACCGCCATTTTCCGGTACTCGGTTATAAGGCCAAATGGCTCAAATGCCTGCACGAACAATACTGGGTGTTCCATTTACTGCGAGGTATACTTCTCCTCTAATCTTTTCTATTTGTTGGCGTGTTCCACAGTTGATTGGTAATGTGGATACCTTTACTTCTCATATGTTTTTATGTTACTTACCAGAAGCTTCAAAGTTCTACTTGAATCAGTTTAATTTCATTGTCATTAATAGTTCAGTGATACCATAACCTCTCAGCACCCCTTTGACTGATGGATCCCACTAGGTAATGACACTTTCATAGGTGCATGTTTAATCCTATTGACAATTTCAGCATTTTTTGCAGTCCTTTCTGCTCTGTTTAAAGCTCGTCCCTTTTACAAAATAATTTATGTTTCTCTACAATGTGCGTAAATAATTCTCTCAGCAACAATCTTGAATAATCATAATGAACACCTATGCAATCCTAATAATAATGAAGAGCCACGAATCAAGCAAGTCCATTCCCCCCCCTTTCTCTGTTTTTCTATAAAATTTTTGACCTTTTATAGTTGTTTATGCTGCTTCATATTTGATAGACCAAACTGGTATTTGAACAGCTTGACGGCCAAACTCTTATACCATGCCCTGCGGATGTCATAATATTGAGAAACTTGACTGTCAATCAGGAACACATTTTCCACCTCAACATTACAACCAAGGATGGAGAGAGAAACTCTTCGTCTTATTCATGGTTCATTGGTAAGCACTTGTCTCCCCTATAAGCCGTTTCTCAACTTAAAATGTATGTTCCGATGGCTGGGCCTTTAAATATGCAATAAGATCATGTCAATCTCTTTCCGTCACCAAGTCATTTGTCATCTCAGCCAGCATTAAAATCTCATCTTGCAAAACACAAACAAAATGTGATACAAATTAATGCATCTAAATTATTTTCATGTATCTGCTCAACAGATACAATACCACCAACTGCAACAATTTTCAGCAAACAGAGTTACACAAATGCGGAAAAAGTATCCATTGATGTTACATTCAGTGAAGCTTGCACTGGAAATGGGGGATTTAAGTGTTTGAACATGTCTAATTGTGATGTAAGTACACCTCTCCTCAAATTGTTACATGTTTACAAACACGCAACACTATATATATAACAGAAGTTCATATTTTTAGTATGGATTCGTGAAGTGTATGTTCATACTTTGATATACGCCCTAATTCAAAATTTTTAGGTCACCATAGATGGTCCTGCCCAAGTGGACGCATCTTCGCTGAGGATAATCAAACGTGACATCAAATATAGCCTCGATATTATTCTGTCCTTAGAAAGTACTTATGCACATGTGGTAATTAAAATGGCAAATGATTTTTGTACAGACCTTGCAGAGAACAATTTCACAAGGACACCTGGTTCAACTTTTATTGTTCACTTGGGTGAGGACATATCAATGCCAACTTTTTTCTAGGCTTTGTAGCTATTCAAAAATGTATTTGACTCGTGGCACTCCTGTTTCAATGGCTCTCTTAGATAGAAGACCAGTGCAAGTGGATTTATGGACTTCAATTCAATCCTACGAGTTGGAGATTAATGGGATCCCAAGAACTGTTATTGCAACTAACAAAGTGGAGGACTTGACAGTTTTCTTGGACTTCAGCATTCCTATTACAGGTTCAATAGAACAGATCCAGAATGCATTACACGTGAACTCGGGTAACATGATACCTATTCATTCAAGAAGTCATGGAAACCGAAGATTTGCCTTTGAAGTAAATACTAAGCTTCAACTTTGTCATTGGAATCATTTTTTTCCGTGTACTTTTGAAAATAAGAAAATCATGTTTAACATTTTGCTTCATTTTTGGTTGGGTAGCTGAAGAATATTTCTAGGACTGAAATAGTTACTGTGGAACTAGAAGCAGCTTCAGTAATAGCCAGGACAGGGACTCCTGTGTCACCTGTTCCCCCAATTACATTCCTTTATGGTATGAAATTTCTTACTTTTGTGCTTTCAAAGATTTATAAACAAGAAGTTATTCATGTATTTTTTCCCCCTAGATTGCACGCAGCCTGGTGTATGGCTAAGTACAAGCTCACCAAGAGTTACAAAAGAGTCCAACATCAACGTGATAATTGAGTTTACAAAACCAGTTTTTGGCTTTGAGGCCTCCAAGGTAGAAGTCAAAGGAGGAAGTCCTATAAGGCAAGTGCATGCAATGCTTTTTAGAAGCATTAAGTTGATCACGTTACATATAGTCAAGTTATATTAGCTTGATTCCAATAGAGGAGAGTGGAAACAAATTTTTTTTAGTTACAACTTTGAGAATATCAGAAGGGCAAAATTTTGTGCTTATTTTTTGAAATCCATGTTGATTTGAAGTGAATGCTTACTTGGTTTCTGACTTCTGCTTCATGTAGGTTTGAAAAACTTTCAAGAGCTCTATACTCATTGACAGTCCTGGCAGTATCTCAGAATGTATCTGTCATTGTTGCGGCAGGAGAAGTGTATGATATCTCGGGAAATCTGAATTTAGCTTCAAACCAACTTGAAGTCGGGCATTGTATGCACAGCTTCACAGATATTATGACATTTTCTTTTTTTTGTTTCTTTGTTCACTTAGATTTAGAAGAACTTAAGCTGTTTATGGCTGCATGTCACGTATTTTAATGACGTACTACTTTTTGAAAGCTTCTTTACAGTGTCCAGCCTTTCTTATTCACTTCTGATTCTTGTGCTTAAACAGACACAGCTCCTATTATATCAACTGCACTTCACTCCTTTGTGTCTGTGGGAGTATTAGCAACCTCACTAACGGCTGCAGTTCTTTCATTTTCGTATGCAAATCTAGCAGCGATAGGCACTATAACTACTGGAGGTGCCAACACAATTTTTTCTGACCCATCAATGAATTTACATGTAAGTATATGTGTGCTCCTAAGTGCCACAGATTGAAATCATATTCCTTTTGTTGGATTATAACTTACACTTCACATCATGTCTTCTGTTACATTGCATATAGGAACGTATTTACAGAGTGGCTACTTATCCTTGTATAAAAGCCTACTCTGTCGTTTGATTTTATGTATTGAAATCTCTGTTCCGTTGCTGATGTGACTATCTGACTTTTGATGGGAGCTTTTGTCCGTCACAGGGAATGGTGGGACACCTACAAGTGTTCGTCCTCTGTGACTGGCTCTCATTTAACTTACCTGCAGAATATTCTGAGACAGTTAAAGGTCTCAGGTGGCTTATTCCTCACGAGAAACTCCCTTGGAAAAGTGAAAGTTCGTTAACTTGGCCCAACCATTTACATCTGGCTGGCGCAAGGTCTGGAATGAAAGTTAGTGGCAGCTCCAATTGGTTCTCCTCTTCAAAAGAATTTCAACATCCGACTGCCTTGAATCTAACCAATTTCTCCAACCATTTGAATCATTGGCTACCATTTCTAACTAATTACTCGAATGATAATCGGCTCCATCCACAGCAAAATATGATCATGAAAAACTCAGCTTATGGTCTACCCCTAGATTCCAATGAATATTTTACTTATTTCCTGGTGAGTTTTTCCTCAACATTATCTTATTGGACAGTTATAGAAGTTTACTGATCAATGTACTTGCAGCGAGGAGAGCCATTCTCTGCTAGTGGTGTGGTTAAGAGGCTGGAGAATTACACAGGGTAGCTACACTTTCTCCTTCCCTGCTTCAGAATTTGAAATATAGAATAAACCACTGCAAACTATGGTAGCTTTTACTTGCTGGAAATAGATAAGGGATTGAATAAACTAAACAATGAAAATAACAATGCTGGTTTGTTTTCTCAATAGGTGGCAGGACTTAGAGATGAACTTGTTCTGGCTTGGTGTGGAAGGAGGCAGTTTACTCATAATCCATGCTTTGACCTTAATTTTTGTAAAATGGAGGACTCAAGTGTCAGCTCATGGGACACTTTCAATACCAAGGTTTGAGCTGTTTCTTCTGATTCTCATGCTACCTTGTGTCTCTCAATCTTCAGCGTTTGTTATAAGAGGTAAGTGGACACAAGTTACTGTACTGAAGTAAATTGTTTTATCTTACTGGTAATATGAACTCGAGAGTGTTGCAGGTGGTACGACAAAGGGAATTCTCACTGGGGCTTTGTTGCTAGCCATCCCAGCAGGTCTTATTCTATCAGTGTGCCTCTTTCTTACGATCACAATCTTCTCTGGCAGCTTTGCTCAGTATAAGGAAGTTAAGCAGATCGGCACCAAAGAACCATGGTATATGAAGCTTTGGCATCTGTTCACCGGGAGGCCTACCACTGGAAAGTGGTTTTATAGAGAAGGGCTGACTTCATCATTCCTCCCACGATTTGGGATTCTATTTGAGAACCGGAAGGGTCCTCCATTTTTCGTGTTACTTGATCAAAATGACCCGAACAGCATACCCAAGTGGATTGAAAGTGGCCAAAATGGGGTAGGAAGAATGAGAGCAGTCAGCTCAGATGACAGTACTGAGGATACCAAAATTCCTATGCTCAGGAGATTCCTGGGATCGGCCAGATCCTCCTATATCAATCTTGATCTTATAAGGAGAGCCGGTCTGGGGATACTATCTGGAGTTCACAAGTCAAGGGGTTCAGGACAAAGCCTTATAGCGCTAACAATCACGGTCGTGCAACTGTTGTATCTGTTAACTCTTAAACCATACATCGCTAGGGGAGTTCATGTTGTGGAGAGCGTGTCTCTCTTGTGTGAAGCAGGCCTCTTTGGACTATCTATCAGTAGCAGTAGCTCCAATCCAGTCAGCGATAGCAATTTGGGATACATTATGCTGGCTTTCCTCTTCCTTACCTTTGTTTCTCAGATCATAAATCAGTGGTATGCGATGATAAAATGTCTTTCAAAATTCTCACCGCCTCAGAAGAACTCACTAAAACATGGCCTGAAAAATGCCACTAAAGGTCTTCTGATTCCTTTCCTCCCGAGGAGGCATTGGTCAAGAGTCATCCCTGGATCCTCCAAACCAAAAGAAGGCCTCTCTGCAGTCCCTCCTTTGAGTCCAGAAACACACTTTCAAAGACAAGATGCAAGAGCACCACATGTTGGCCCATTAGGATCCATGTCTGCAACAGTGGTTCCTATGCTCAGTCCTGGCTCTCCTGGCTTTAGTACTAATCCAGTTTCAGGTTCCACAAGTGCAGGAACAGCTGATCATGGACAGAAAACAGGGGGAGTAAAGCAGCCAAAAGGACTTACATCCGAGCCGAAGAGTGAGATGAAAACTCTAAGGGAGTTGGCAAAAGCTAGTTTCTCAGGGGTGGCGAAGTATGAAGAAGGCTCTACTAGCTATGGCGCGAGAGTAAAAGGTTTTCCAGGTAAAAGCTCTCTAGATAACATCAAACCATACCCAAAAAGCAGGATCTAATGTATTCAAATTTTCACTCACAAACTGCGCAAATGTTAACTTTGTCTTGGCATATGGAACATTTTTTTTTGGGTTCTCCTTGGGATATAGCATGCTTCCAGCTATCTTCTTGATTTTATACCAAACTATTTCACCTGCATATAACCTGTTCGCAGTGTTCTACATTCAACAATGGTACTCCTAAGTCCCGATCCCCTTCCCCCACAAAAAAAAAAAAAAAAATACATTCAACCCATACTTCCCTGCTCCAAAGATCGTCGAGCTAAATACTCATTTTTGCCAAAACACATCGGAATATTACCAAAAAAGGATAAATAAATTCAAGCTATCTATCAAAGCAGAGGGGCTGGGCTGTTCATGGTTTAAAAAAAAAAACCCTACTAGACTAGATGTATTCCAACTAAACTTTAACTTCTACTTGGATCGTAGATGATGGAGCAGCATACCAGAAGAAAACAAAAGTCCTAATTTGAATCACGATCTAGAGTGACACCACAACATATAACAATGATAGTGAAACATATGTCAAAGTCAAATCTCCATTAGAATGCCAACGTAAGAAGCAAGGAATTAACAGCATTCCTTTGAGATGGAAAAGATTATATGAAAAACTGTTTACAACTACATTGTGTAGTGCTTCATTAAACCAACTAAACAAAAGTACAATGGTGTCGGCGCCAACAAATTTGATACCTTCAGGAACTAAAGACTGGATAAAGTAAATCCCACATTCAGTGCCTGTCCATAGAAAATTGAGGAGATAGCAAACAACTCACAAAAGCTATTGCCAAAGAGAGCTCAAGGTTTCTCATGGCAACCTAATCTTTGCCATATCGAGGTGGAGTCTGATCATCTTCCCTGTCTAATTCAGAGAAAGAATCTCCAAGAAGCTTTTGCCTTGGATATGGTACAAGCAAGTCATGAAGTCTGATGAGCTCGGATTTTACTGGACCAAGTCCAATTTAAATAAATTGGGAAAGTCCAAAGAAGCGTCCATTGTTGACCCATCGAGGAGGACACCAAAAGGACATCACCAAAAGCCAACGGCTGAAGGAGGAGGAGGACAAGGGAGCCCTTGGGCGCCCCTCCTCTTGATCATCCTCACCTTGGTACTCCAGGTCCAGATTCAAGACAAGTCCAGGTCCAGGTTCAAGTTCAAGCCAAATCTATTCAAGACAAGTCTAGGTCCAGGTTTAAGCCAAATCTACTCAAAACAAGTCAAGGTCCAGGTCCAGGTCCAACTAATGTTCTTCTCCAGATGAATAAGGGCACGAGGGAAGATAATATGGAGATAGATATAGAAGATCTCCTACCATAGCAATACTTGCCAAAGTAATAGAATTCTTCTCTCTCACGTCACCGCCTCTACTACCTTACTCTAACTATATAATGTAAGCCCTCTCAACATGAAGGGCCGAAAACGCCTCCAAGGACCTTCTTGAAACCTCTACACCTTGAAGCCTTCAAAACCTCTCCGGAGACCATGATTCATCAATAAAGAACACTAAGTCACCGCTGCCGTTTCCGAGAGTAGAGTAGGTCATCTGAACCGAACCACTATAAATTCCTATGTTAATCTATTATTTATTGTTTTACTCTTAATTGTCATTAATTATTTGTTTGTCACTCATTAATTGCACCTTTACACATATTTCACTGTTGACCTTACACGAAGACAATTTTTGCATCATCAAAGTCCATGCACCAGAAGCCATTCGCTGTTGTACATATCTGGAAAGATAACCGGAAGACCATTAACCTCAAGATTATCACCAGACTTTTTGACTTCAATATTAAAGCTTTCCAAACATGTCTGCAGCGTTTTGCCATCATCAACCGCGACCAAATCCCTCCATGTGATCCAATCAGGAACAACATGCCTCCGAAACACCACTGAGTAATCACTAAAATTGTTCTTTACATATTCATCGATTTCCCTATCTATCGGTGCAAAAATCGTCAACTTAGTCCCATTGCTGGACCCTGCCAATTGCATATTAAGAAATGTGGCCATTCTAGTATAGCCCCTTGACCTTAGCAAACCGGACGCTCTACCATAATAAGCCAACCGTTTGCTCAGAATTGGATAATTGGGCTCGGCGATTGAACTAGGGGAAGGCACTGGATGCAAATTCAGGGATAAACGGAGAGAAGAAGCAAAGAATTCTGCAATCCCGTGTCCGATCAAAGATTGGTTATTATCATACATGACCGGTTCATTAATCTTGACGTTGTTGATTGACAATTGAGAATCGGAGGGCCAAGAAGTGACGATAAGTGAGTGATTTGGAAGTAATGTGGGAATGGTAGATCCGTACGGAAGGGCTTTGAGGTTCTTGGTGGGGAAGTGAACTGGAGAGATGTGGCATTGGAGTTGATTGAGGGAAGGTTGGCCTATGTGAACGAAAGCAGCATCGGAAGGAGCGAAGATTGTGGCGGTTGGTGACCGGAGGAGTAGGGTTTGGGAGACGAGTTGTAGAGTT